CATCATATCCTGCCTCATGCTTGCCTCCAGGGTTCCAGCTGGATGATCTGCAAATACACATCTAATGTTGGTATGGGAAGTACCTTTATTTGAAGAGACACTTTAAGAAGACAAACACTTTAAGAAATGCAACAGAAAAGCTACACAAGAACAATACTTTAAGAAGACAAAATAGGAATCATTGGACTTAGCTGTTCAAATTCCGAAGAAATTACCTCAAGCTATGTGCAGATGTGTAAACAACACTAAGCTACACAGGAAATTAAAATGTTATCTACCATCCAACAATTTTGTTAAATAAAGGAGAGAGAAAAAAAGTGTGTACTTGTATAATTATAGCATTTTTGGGGTTATGTATTAAAAACAGAAAAAATGCACAGTAAAAGGAAAGGCCTGTCACATGTATGAAAACTGTTGAAAACAGTATGGTTATCAAAAGGGTCAACTCGGAGACTTGAAAGAGTATACGAGCTTACTCACTGACTACGAGTAGAGGCATACTCAGAGTAGACTCGCACAGACTTGGAAGAGACTCGGGATAAACTCAATAACTTGGAAATGATGTCATTCAAGGATGGAAGACATAGAAACTTGAAGACAGTTGCCCTTTTTAGTTGTTTAATTGTTTCCACTTTAAGAACTAATGTTTTGTTGTTGTAAGAACTTTTTTATTTGGTGCAGTTTGAAATTAGACAGTAGCCATGTACCACTAAACTTAGTTATTTATAGCATTGTAGAATTATTGTTTACTATTTTTCTTAATTACAGTGTTGAAATGTTTAAGGTATGGTATTCAAAAATATTGTATTTATTTTTCATATGAAATAGACTCTTGTGACTCCACTTAGTCAAGTCTAGTCTACTTGGAGCTCTTGAGAGTCTACACACAGAATCTTGAGTTTGATAACTATGCGTGTAACTACAATCATTTGCAAACTAATAGTTGAAACATAAATTCCACTGTCATAAATTTACGAGTTACTGATTTTGCACCATTAGATTGGTAATTTTAAATCACAATAGCCAGGCCAGAACTTACAAAAGAAAGCAGAGACAAACCTCGCATCATCAACTTCAACATCCACTTTCACATGTGAAAGTGAACCTAGATCATTGCTTCTGGAGCCAGCTGCAATTTGTGGGCAAAATGAAGTGAATGCATCTGCCAGTGATTTTCTGGATCTTTTCATCTTTTCCTGGAGCATAAAATTAGTGTTCAGGAGTATCTTGGTGTCAACAATGTGCGGAAAGCACTTGTTAACAGTGGAAACAAATTCTTCAGGAGTACCAGGAAGAGGGCCTATAAATTTGCTGTGGACATGAGCTATATCTGTATCATGAAATGGTATATAACATCTTAGTGTCGTGTAAAATTAAGTACATTCTCAAGGATTCAAAATGTCAGTGTTACCTAGAAAACAATTGTGCCCAACAATCAACTTCTGTTCCGATGAAAGGAGATCAATAACATGGCGAAACCCCACAGCAGCTTGGATTTTCATCTTTTCTGCCCTGTGATTTTCTTCTTTCACTTTTTTCTGTGAGATATTAATTTAAAAAATATGCATTTAAGAATTTAATAAGGTGACTGTGGTATCAACATAACTCTGTTTACCACATTATACTTTAGCTTTCTCTTATATTAGATCTAAACATAAGATAGATACCAAATTATATGCTAAAAAAGCATAAACATTATTTTTTTAATATTAATTGCATCCAATATTAATATAATTAGGGTTACGCTTTGTTTTTAAAAATAATGCTTAGCCATTTACAGTCTGAACTTGAAATGAAGGATAACATTAGGTCAATTCTTTCAATGTTAATTAAAAGACATAGATGGTTACCTTTGATGCACAAATACGTTGGTAAACCCAACGTATCCGATACCGATTCACCTCGATACTTAAAGAATTCGTATTGAAAAAGAATTGAAAAAAAAAATCCAAACAAAAATAAAAACAGAATAACAAATATTTTTCTATTATTATTACTGTTAAATTAATCAAAACAGACATGGAAGTTGTTATTATTTAGAGTGACAACATTATCTCTTGATGAATTAAACATAAAAGCTATTTTATTTCCTGATGATGCTCAAGAAGGAGATGAAATTGATACTATTTCTATTTCTAAACAATGAATAGTTATTGTTAACTTTTATTTTACATTTAAAAATATATTTAATATGTTCAATTTAAATAATATTTAATAATTATATACAATATATTTTTTTATGAATTATATATATATATATATATATATATATATATATATATATATATATATACATGTATCTTAAACATATCGTATCTTATATTTTTTAATATAAGACGAATTGCATTATACGATACTCGTATCGTATCCGATATACGATACTCGTATCTGTGCATCATAGATGGTTACCCACCACCTTCATCATTTCTAAAGAGTAGAAGGAACAATTATATTTCATAAATTATACCAGAAGCAAGTTTAATTCATCCTTTGAGTCAGTATACACAACTAATTGCTGTGAACCAGAAGCCTCACAGTTGACACTGACATAAGAAAGATCTTTGAAGTGTTTTCTGATGACCTGAAATCATTTAAGCTTATAGTCAGCAAAACTCAGTACAAAACTTCATAGATGTAAACACCGCTATGTCCTGAGGCAAAGGATTCTGATAAATGACACAATCAAATAGCAATATGAGAAGAGAAAAATGTGAACATATCAGCTTAGGACACAAACTATAGAAGCATTACCAACTGAATCAATTTAAGCTGGTGAGGGGTGAATCCATTAAGCCTAAGAGCTGGATGCATCTCAAAAAAAATCACTTGAAATTTGGAGTCTTCTGTAATTCCTTGGCTTTGGTCTTCTTGATTTTGCTCGTGTAATAACCCATCACGCCATTCACTGAATTTGTTTTTCATTCGTTCAGAGAACAAAATGTCTGCTGTGCTGAGCTGCGGCAAATCCCTAACATCTTTTAATTTACAAATGTCCAACCACGCCTTATCATATGTAGAATTCAAACTCCTTAATGCTTTCGTTTCTTGTTCTCTGGATAAATAAGATATTCCTGACATTATCAAGGGTGCAAATTCTCAAACTAGAGAAACCACAAAAGTCATGATGAGGTTACACGTGCAACCAAATACCCATCCCATGAGTCAGTGAGGAAATGGAAGATCAACCAACACCAAAATGTCCCAGCAATTCAAACTATGGTTACTGGTCAAAGATCATAGGCCTTCCAGTTTTATAACTTCATATAACTCTACTAGTCATAAATATAGAGACCTTCCAGTTTGCAAATAAGCTAAAAAGTACAGTACACAGAGCTCTTTGTATATTACCTCTTTTCCCCTTGAACTACTTAAACATCGAAGTTATAGACCTAGAGGTGAAACATCCATATCTTAGTTTTTCCATGTATATGCATAGCAATAAAGCATGCAACCACAAATTCCTTTCCCCTATTAATTAGCTTAACAGTTAATATCAAATGCAGTGGCAAGAAATAAAAAGAAAAGTAAGTAACCTTCGTGTATGCAAGCATTAAAATCAAAATGGTATTTAGCCAAGAAATCCATTGAAGTGGTCTGGCAGAGAAATTCATCACATGGTCCCAGACCTGCAAGCTCCTGTCGAGGAAAAATATAGAAATTGTGCCTGCCACGGAGCAATTAACTATTCAAACCAGACTTTAAAATAATGTACAAATATACTTAGCAACTCCACTTAAACCAGCCTTCAAAAGAATCCACGTTATACTGTTGCGTTCCATTTTTTATAAATCCCAGTAAACAGCAAATTATATAAAAACTAACCTGGTTAATTTAGCCACTGAAATTTATAAAAACGTCGATCAATTATTTTGATAATTTCAGTCAGTAAAACGACAATTTCGTAACTTCAGAGATTAAATTAACCAGAGTTCGTAAATTCGGCACTACTGAATTAATCCTCTTAGGAATTTACATCGCAAGAATCAACAACGGAACTAATATGATAAACTTTTTACAGTCCAAATAGAATGAATGAAAGAACATACGGATACGCGACGAAGGAGTGGTTAGAGGAATCCCAACGGAAGGGGCAAACGCCGAATTGAAGGATGGCAAACTTGGTAGCGGAGTCTCGGACCTTGAGGTAGCGCACGTCGGAGCGGTCGAAGTCGAGGGACTCGCGCCAGGGAGCGCTGGTGACGCCGCTCATCTCGAGGTCGATGGCCACGAAGTCCGACGACCGGACGTGGCGCCGGAGCTCCGCCAGCGACGGCTCGAAGTTCGCGGTGGTTACCGTCTTCGAAGGAAACGCCGAAACACATTGCGTGGTGGTGGCGGAGCATATGGCACGTGCGAGCGCACGTGCGAGTGACGGAGAGGGAAGTTTGTGTAGTTTCATTGTTTGTGCTACATATTTTTGTTCAGAGGTTTAGAAGAGGGATTACGAAAGAAGAGAAAGGTGCAAATCTAAACGACGTCGTTTCTTTGAGGGGTTACAATTTGTCGTTCAGGCTTGGGCTTACATTTGTTGGATCGGCCCAGCTGAACAAGAATGAAATTAAAAGAAGAGACTAACATTTCTCCTTTTGAATTCTTGAATCTTAAAAACATGGTTATGTCAATCCAAGGAATTTTGCAAGATGATTATTTATGTACAAGTGTATCCTCTCTCAATTATTGTGAGATTCACAAGAGAGATATGCACAAACTCATGTTAAATTTAATGTTTCAATGGTCCTTTATCACCAATTATTGGAAAAAAAAACACAAAATAGGTACCATGAAATCACTGGAAAAGTATAATCTAAGTGTTTTCAAGATAATATCGAATTAACCACTGTGGAGTTTGAAGTACAAATACAAAAGAAACCAAGAAACAAGAAACTTTAACATATAAATATGCATGGCATAGTGAATAGTTAGTCATGTTGCTTTCTGAGGAGCAATCTCCTATTCTTAAGCTTCATAGAAGATCCAAATATCCATGATGTTCTGGACTGATGTATATGATATTCTATAATTTGGATGTGTTTTTTAAGGAAGCAATGAAAACTGTGAAAGAGTTTAAAGAAGCCATAGTTGAACTTTGTGGAAGAAGCCTGGGAGACAAGTAGAGTGGTGTTGTGTTTCAGGCTCAGATATCTGAAGGTCATAGTCCCATGTGAAAGAGAATTTGCAGAAGAAGAGGAGGAGAAGGCGAAACTGTGGTTCATAGAAGTTGTGGAGGGAGGAGCCAGAGGAGAACCAAGAAAACTTCCATAGGCAACAAAAAGTTGTCATTAATGTTGTTGTGTCTCTGAATTATTTCTCCCAAACACATAAGTAGTTCAGGTATCTCATTCTCATATGAAGCCTTGCTAGCTCAATTTAAGTCCCACATCTTTCATAACCAGACATTTCAAATTATCTTTTTTCTGCTCCCTCCATCTAGTCCAATCACCTGCATAATAAATCTTTCTGTTAAAATCTATATTTGTTAATGAAAATAATCTGATATTAATAAAATCTATAATCAATATTTAATTAAAAAAACAAACTTTAAAATTTAAATAATCAATAACAACCTTAAATTAGTATAGTAATTTTCTTTTCATGTCTCACACGCTATTACTCACTTAAGTTAGAATAAATAAATTCATAAAATATACAATCTTACATTGTAAAACACTATTATTTGACAGAGAATATTTTTTTTTCTGTTTCAACAAAGTAACAGATTATAATTTAAATAAAAAAAAGTATTTAAAAATTGAATGAAAGATGAAAAAAAAAGATGAAATATATCATTAAATAAAATGGATTTAAATCTTTGAAGTAAAAAAAATTATGGCTAAATAGAGATTTTATATAATTATTTATTTTAATTATAATTAAAGATGAAAATTGATCAAGATAGATATAAATAATAATCTCTATCAGCCACTTGTATGTATACAGTATCTATTTAGTAGATATTTATGAATTTTTTTAAAGTATGAAATAATTTAAAAAAATATTTACATAAATTAAATTAAATAAAAACTTTATATTCAATAATAAAATTTAAGTAATTTTAAACTAATAGGATTGTCATGTATATGTGTTTATCATCTTTAATTATAATAATAATTGAAATACTGCTGCTGTTATAACATAATATTTTTATAATAACACTCAGCATAAAAAAATAAATAAAATTATAAAGAATATGTCTAATAATTATGATTAAAATGATTTTATTTCCTTAAATTAAAATATACTCATCAACATTAATGAAGCAAAGTGGTATTATACAGAAAAATTGCTTCATAAAAAAGGTATCTTTATTTATATGCTCATCATTGTCGTCATAAAAAAAGTGACCAACCCAGCCAAGTCGCTCCCTTCCAAGAAAGAAAGGCATCGAGAAAAAAGCCAACGGCACCTCACGCCGTCACCGTTTGCCAGCTCACACTTCCGTACCTTTCCCCACGCCACGTCACCACTGACGCTTATTGTCTCGGCACGTTGCTCCGTCCCCGCAGAACACGTAACGACGTTCCACGAATCGCGTTACCAACGCCGTAAGGCCCATTTTCGGCCCAATTCCAAGTCACAACAAGGTCTTCTTCTACCACTGCTGCTACAACTCCTTTTTCTTTATTGTCATCGTGCACTTTCTCTCTCTCTCTCTCTCTCTCAGAATTTTCTCCTCTATCCGATTCCCCTTATTAACTCGACTCTCCTCGCTCCTTTTTTCTTCCCGGAAAACACTTTCTCTTCGAATTGATGTCGGTACGTGTTGTTCTCTCTCTCTATTTTTGTTTTCAATAATTTGTGTTTTCTCAATTGATTTGATTTTCTGTCTGATCATTGTATTGAGCTGTCGTATGCGATTCTCCAATCGTTGATTTCGCTTTTCCGATTTTGGTTATCTGTTAACGTTGCCCTTTTTTTCGCAATAATTATGATTTATTCGTGTTTATTTACTTTTTTTTCTTTTCATTTCCGGATTCTGATGCTGTGATCCTTCTTCGATTATTTGAGTTTTGGTTTCATGTCTTTGATTTATTCTGATTGGCATGTTTTTATTCTTTAGTGGCGCAATCGAAGTCTGTTCAAGTAAGCTATTTAACTCCTGAGTTTTTTTTTTTTCCTATATTTGGATCACCGTGTGCCTTGGTTAATTGGATTGTTACTGTTTGGGGTTTTCTTTTCTTTTCTACTAACTCCTGAATCGTGAGGGCCCTTACTGTAGATCGGATATGTTATAATTTGTAGTTAATTTTTCCTTTTCTTCTTTTTGTGTGGGGTGAAGTTACTGTATGTTAGTTGTTTTGTTCTGGTACAACCTGCCCTTTTCTGAATTACTGCCTCATGGTTTGTTGTATTTTTTCGCTCCTCCTGTTTTATTGATAAAATATGACATGAACTTCTGTTAACTTGGCCAGAGGATTTTTCTTTTCTTTTAGAGAATAACATAATTTTATTAGAAAGGGTGATAGGGAAGTTGATCACTTGCAAATAAGCAATATGTGTAAAGGAAAAGAGTGCTAAGAAAACTAACCATAAGAAGAATCAAATTAACTAGGGAAAACTAGCCAAATAACTAACAAATTGTACAATGTCATAGAGCCTTGTCCTGTTTTATCTTCCCATAATATTTGGAACGGTATAGATAATAAAAGTTGTTCTAGTTTCCTAGCTACCTGGACAAACCCAACATTCTCCATGGATTCCGCGTGTGTAAACCACAGATATTAAACCAGTGGTGGTGTAGAAATGAATGACTGGAAAGCAAGGGGAAAAAAACGAGAAAGTTGAGAAGCCATTATTTGGTTTGTAGACGAGCTGCTAATCATATGTAATTAGTCATATCAAGAAGGGCTGTCCAAACTAAAAATGACGACTTGACCTTTGTGAGAGTGATGTATCATGGATAACCAAAAAGGGGTCTGGCAATTAGAAACAAGCATCTTTCTAGAGAAATAATTTGGAAGAAAATTTACATGAATAAACCCTCAGAATTGTCATACAAATGGCATGTCTATGATTGTAAAGGTTTGGGTTCTAATTCTATGCTAACAACAGTGGTTGCTTTTAGTTAAATTTCACTGTTTTTATCTGTTATGTTTGGTCTTCATTGTCTGGCAATTATAAACAAGCCTCTTTCTAGAGATAAGAATTTGGATGAACAATTTACCTGAATAGACCTCAGAATTATTTAAATGGTATGTCTATGATTGTAAAGGTTTGGGTTCCAATTCTATACTAACAACAGCTGTTGCATTTAGTTAAATGTCACTGTTTTTATGCGTTATGTTTGTCCTTCATTTTTCTATGCTTTATAGGCAACAATATAATCTATACTAGTATTCACATAAAACTTTTACGGTTTGTAGTAAACCTATTATATTATCAGCTTTCTGTTCTTTCTGTATAGAGTTTATAATTATCATATTCAAAAGATCCTTGGAATTAATTTAATATATTTTTAGTCTTTGCATTTGCTAATCTAATTATCCCACAGGAAAAGGGTCGGCCACTACCAAAATTTGGTGAATGGGATGTCAATGATCCAGCCTCAGCTGAGGGGTTCACAGTGATATTTAATAAGGCTAGGGATGAGAAAAAGACAGGTGGCAATCCTGAGTCGCCAGCAAAGACTGCTACTGATCCTCATAGCAAACCTGCCGTAGATCCTGGCAAAACTCAGACTGTAAGATAATATTGCTCTCTCTCTAACCTGACACACAAACTACTGTCCTTTTATTCATAACCTAAAATGGCACATTTTTGCCCGTCTACTAGAGTGAGTTTAACCTATAATTGCTATGTGTGGGCACCGTGTCATACATGCTTGTTGTGTTTTTGCATGAATTGAGAAACTATTGGATAGCATTAACTTAATATGTATGTTGAGAAGATATGCTAAATCCAAGATGTATTGAACCATGATTTATAGTTTTTGAGTTATATATAACCTTGGCTGAGTTTTCTTCCCCTCCTCTTTGTGGTATCAATCTCAGTCATAACCTATAATATGTTCGATCCTTATAATATAGCAAACTGCGAGTAAGATGAACTTCAAAGGATTAGAATGTCCACATCCAAAACAAAGAGGAAAGATGGGTCTATCTACTATTTTATTTGATTTGGACTAATAATTCTGTCTATGGTAGGCCAGCCAACCACTGATTATTTATGAACATTTGAAATGAAATATATTTGAGCAGATTGCTCAGAAATTGACTTGCATTAGATTGTCATAGATGTTGAACATTCAAATTAATTCTGTCAGTATATATTTGCCATTTTCTCCTTATGAATGATTTTACTTGGTTTCAGAAAAAATGGTTTTGCTGCATGCAAAACCCATCTGCTGAATCATAGCATAGAAATGTTTGCTCCCGTGAAAAAGCCTGAACAGAAGAACAATGTTTATGTGTAACTAGCTTCACAGTATTTTCTCAAAGATAAGAGCTGTAGAGCCATAAGCGAATTCTACGGAATTTATATTATGTGCTGTAAAAGTGAGCTGCAATGGGGAGGAGGAAAGAAGACAGACTATTATTTATGTGTGTGTATCAGTGTTGTGGTTTATTATTAGGAGCCGGGGTTGCTTCCTGTTTTGCCTTTTCTTGCTCTATGAGCTAGAGCGTTGCTTGTCACATTGTATTGCTTGTATTATCAAACAAATCCTACTTTATGAACTCATTTTTATTCCTTTGATTTCGTTGCCCCGTCAAGTTTTCAATTTGGTATGTGTCTTGCTATTTATTACCAAGATCGAAGAGGACGAGCTAAAAAATAAAAAAAATGAATGAGAGAAATCTGTATACTTCATTCTTTTGCTCATGAAGACATGACATATTCCTGTATATTATATCCAAATTTCCAAATACAGTTATTTTTAATGGACTAATTTATTCCAAATTCATTTGTCTGTACTCTTTCTATGTTGATGTGTACTCTTTTCTTTTTCGGCTAAATGTTCTAAACTAGATTATCAATAAATGCATCCAAAAACTCAAGCTTGCAATTTTTTGAAGACACTTGATGAGTAAATGGCAAATTACAATGTAATAAGTTCTGAAATATTTTTTTATTAATTTTTGTTGTTGAAAGTTTTGCAGAAATTCCTTTCAAAGATTTCTGCTGACTAATATTTATGATATATTTTGTAATTTGCTGCGAAAATGTAAGAGGACTGGACTAACTAGTAAGGTGTGGGAGGCAGCAATAGGATTAGTGAGACAGAACTGAAAGCATGTCCCTGTGCCTTTAAAGAAGAGCTGAGCTGCTAAACAGTCTTGGATGAGGTGGTTCTGTTCCAATTTCCAATGCATGCAATGTAATTGTAACCTATTAAGGCCAATAAAATTTAGTGGCTAACAAGTTTTGCTCCAAAATCAAGGTACAGATTCTATATTGTAAGTCTTCCTTCAAAGAGGCGACGAAGAAGATAAACTTGGAGGCCGCTGGCACCCATTAGTGCTGCTGATTCAAACAGGGCCTTGTGAATTGTTCTCGTGCTCATTGCATTGCTTACTGTCATTGCAAATCAACAAATAAATTCAAATATCTGCATTTATGTTAGTCAGGTGTATATATAAAATATGTGAACCTGTCTCTTTAAGAATATTCTTGGTGGTCTTAAGTGAGCAGAACATATCATCAACACACATTCCAGGGAATAGTTTATTCTAGTCATCAAATTTGAAATCTCATGTTAAAAAAAATAATAATAATACCTGACTTGTGAAAATAGAACATTAAAATTCTGCAGGAAAAAAAATTTGCAAAGTTTTAATTTCATTAAAATCAAGTCGAAGGTGCACTGTCCAAAGGTTCTATTTTCTTGCTCCATCACTTCTTGAACTAGAAAGGCAGCAAGACGCAAGGTGGCCACAAAGTCAAGATGAAACTGTCAGTTTCTGTGGAAATCCGAATTTTTCCAAAATCTAAACTAGTTCAGTTGAAGATGAATGAATAGTAGTTCAACCCCACTCCGGTCAAGTGTAATGAAAACTGTCAACTTTTATGTTAGAAAGACACTTCTTTTCAATTACATTTTCTTCTTGACATATTATTAGTTCAAAGCCTTCATCTAACAATTGGTTTTAGTTTTTCACTAATATCTTCCTTAAAAGTCAATCCTTTTTAAAACATGAACACTGGTTGCACATAAGTAAAATTTCTAATCTTGATTCCTAGAGACTAATCCCTTCTATTAGACTCAATCTCATCATGAACTGTATCAGTTTATTAATAAAAAGTTAACCCCTCCTCATCCTCTTTTTAATCACTTTCAAATCAAAATTTTTAGTTCTTAGACATGAATCCAAGAAATCAAACCAATAAAACCCATTATGATATGTTATGTGCGTACTTATTGCCTGGCGTTCTGTCTGAGCCTCAAGCCAATGCTGTTCATACTGGATGTTGAAAAGAGCTTGTTCTAACTTAACTATCTGTTCAAACAGAGGAGTTAAATGCTCTGCAAAGATGAACATGTAAACAGTAACTCACCAACATGGACTAAACTGTATCAAATTAATTAGTTCATGTATATCCCACCATCTTTTGCATGCTGATCAGTAAAATCAACGTGGTTAGAATGGACATCAAAATCAATTGTTTCATGATAGGGAGACTTGTTGGTGAAGCAGAAGCGATAGGGTCCAGAGCTTCGAGCCACAAATTCGAATATTTCACTTGTCATGTCATGATATTCTCGAAGGGGCTCCCCAGAAGGATCCCTCACCTAATCATCCAACAAAAATTATCAAGTCAATAGTTGACTTCTCAAGAATTATACTACAAAAGGGCATGTAATGATTTCTTGTACTTTATAATCTTATCCTCACATGGAAACCAACCCTTTAGCAAACATGTTAGAATCGTAGATACTTTTTAAGAGGTTAATAATTTCTCAGCACTGTAGTGTTACAGGTTTAACCATATTTCTACACTGCAAAACTTGTATATACAAATGCACTATCTCTTGTTTCAAATCATACATGATCAGAAAAACAATTTCACCCACAGAACTTACCTCAAGGTCTACACCATCATTAGTATATTGCCAAGCTGCCTCAACCTTGATGACAACAAACGAAGCATGGATTCTATCCCCTTCATGCTGAACATCATGAGAGAAACAGTCATGTCTGTCAATCACAAATCTGATCCCAAGCACTGCATTCAGGCTGGAAAAGATTACCACTGCGGTGGCGAAGTTCGATAGCCCTACCTTCATCTCTATCACTACCTTCATTGACACATTCAACACGACTCATGTGAGTTGCTTAAACCGATCTATGCTTTATGAGTTCTCTAATCCCTCCAATTATGTTTCCACCATTTTCCATCATATTTTTCCTAACAAATTCTTACAGTGCATGCCATGATTTTATATTATAAAATGTCCTTCAATTTCCACGATTTTCACATGCATCGCAGAGACTTTCAAACGCAAAACAAAATGTTAATTTGCATCACTGAAATGTTCATGTCAGGAAAAGGAATTCCAAATTATGAATTTAACCATTCAATCAATGGATTGCATAAGAATGAATCAACATGATTAGAAGCATATACACACACATGCAAGAATCAAATTTGAACAATGTTTACCTTTTTATTATCAATATTTTGCTTGAAAACGAATATGAAAACTAAAAGGAACTAGGATTCTACGAGGAAAAACTACAGAGGAATGTAAGATCGGTTGGTTTTATAGAACAATTGTTGAAATTTGAGGCCCACATTGCTAACGAAGATGTGAAACATGTGATCCACTGATTCCAATTTAGAACAACACGTGTTGGACAAATAATGTTGGAAATTATCTTTCAAACAAAATTCATGGACACTTTTTATCCATTTGAAATAGTAGAAGAAAGAAATAGGAGAGAGAAAATTATAGATATAAAAAATAGAAAAACAGTGAAAATTGTTAAAAAAAACTTAAATTTCAAATCTAATTTTCTAAATTCTAATTGGACTAATTGGATCTTTCATATATTAGTCAAGTTTCTCTGCGTTGACCTCACTCATCAAACCAAATTCAATTGATGTAATTAAAATTTCATTAAATTAAAATTACGCAATTACATTATTAAAAAGATAATTAAGAATAAATTGTAGAAAACAGTATTCACGGAAATAAGTTTAAAATATGTGAACACAGGATCATCTTAAACTAGAAATTAAGCTGAACTTGAAAGCTAAAATATTTTACGGCTTGAAAAAAATATTTAATGTTGAATTTTGGGATTATTATACTCCATTTTCATTTTAAAATTTTATTATATCATAATTTCATCGTTAATAAATATTCATTAAAAGATGAGAATTTGTATAAATTATTTTTAATAAATATTTACCAAAATTAATTTTTATAAAATAAGAAACAAATATACACTACGGAGAATAAGAATTTACTTCATTTAATTTTTAAAATTGGTTTTTGATAATGAATTTTAAAGAATTTTTTTAGAATAAATTGATAAAAAAAGTTATTTAATAATTTTTGTTTAAAAATTATTTTGAATAATAAAGAATTGCACCGAAGAAAAAAAACAATAAAAAATAAAAATTGATTTCGACAATCTCATAATAATAAAAATAAAAATTATAATATAATGAAGAAAGAATATAAATTATCAATAAAAAATTATTAAACAATTTTTTTAATTTTTAAAAAGTAAAAAATAGAAATTATTTTTTGAAATAATAAATGAACAAATTATAAATTTTTTCATAAGAAATTTAATGATTTCGAAAGTAAGAAATTACATAAAAAAATATTACAAAACTAAAAAAAAATTATTTAAAATCTCAAAGTAAAATCTATCATTAGAATAAAATTTAAATAAGGTCTTAAAAGATATTACTAAAAAGCAAATAATATCTGAATGAGGTATTGTACGAAAGGTTCTCTTAAAAAAGTTTTTATATTATATTTAAATAAAGATGAGTAAAACGATTGATATTATAAATAATGTCATAAAAATGAAAAAAAAAATGAACATAACGTTTCGTACTTATAAAAAAATGTTTAACTATATATAATCATTTAATTTTTAAACTTGTTTTTCTCTATTTCACATATTTTGATATTGTTTATAATGGTTATGATGGTGATGCTATGGAGATGATGAATTAAGTATAATATCTTAGATATAAATGTTATGAAAATTAAAGGACCTTCTAAAAAATTGAGTTATTTTCAAGATTTACAATTTTTTATCTAATAACTAGTAAATCATTTTTATGATTATATTAAAATGATACAAACTAATAGTAACTCCCGTACCATTAATTTTCCATTATTATAAATAATACAAAACTTGTTGATTATTATTAAAAATTAGATATTTAAATATTTGTAAAAGAAGAAAATAAATCTGCAGAAGGGAGCATTAATATATGATATTGTAGTACTCTAAAATCTATTCTCTATCATTTTTGAAGCTCAATCTTCTGATAATTATATATCAAATACTGTTGACAAACACAGATAAAAATGTTAAGGTGAAATTGTTCAGCACTTGAATAAAAAGCACAAGATTATTGGTAAATTTTGATTACATCACTAAAACAGTTAAACTTGGTAAAAATCAAGAACATTTAAACTAAAACTGATAATTTTAAACATCCTAACGTGTGGAAATGAAGAGGACACATGCACTTAGAGCCAATGTTGTGGATTGAACTGCAACAGATATTGGTAATCTTCCCTTGTCTTTTCTTAGGAAGAGTCCTTGGTACACAGGTATGTTGATGAGAACCAAAACCCCACTTAGTAGAACTTGCAATGCCATTGTGTCAAAAATTCTGAGACCCCCTTCAATGATGAACACTTGCTTTATGAACATGCCAAGGCAAAACAAATTGAGCAATGCAAGTGTTGCTAGTAAAGTCAGCATTGGGGATGAGTTTCCAAACTCCATGACTTCTTTCTCATATCATTGGGAAACATTTTCTTCTGCTACCTTTGCAGATACTACGAAGGTTGATTCTGAAAAGCCAAAAAGCTTCATGATGGTATCAACAGAAGCAAAAAGGTAAGAGCTTGTTCTCTTGTATAGCCACATCCGTAGGTCATTCCACCAACCCTTGACTGTGCCTCCTGACCACAAAAACTCCATCGGGCAGTAGGAGGAATCGCCAAGCATGACATATGCAAAGGGTATAAACCATGGACTTGACATCTGATCAATGCAACAAGATAAAAGTTAGAAGTTCAGAAGTAGATTCAAAACAATTCAAACCAAATCACATATTTCATTTACAATAATGAGGCACATAATTAACTCAGGTGCAACGCTTAGGTGATTTGGAGTTGTTTTCTTAATTAGGCTTAGTATGTTGATCTTAATGCAAACATTAAATTGATAGTCAAAGTGAAACTCAAAATCTGATTAAAAAACTTTGTCAAAATGTACTTGAGAAACTAAATATAAGTTCTGTCTAATAAAAACAATTCAACAAACACATTTCACGTAGAGGAAGAGTCTTACTTTCTTTTGCACTGTGTCACTTTTTAATTGGAGAGGTAATGAAAAGAAGTAATTTCAATCTAAACTAGCCCCTAAGTGGTAATAAACAAAATGTTAGAGCAATATATTTCTCTGTTTGGAAAAAAGGGAGATGGGCCACTTATAATTAACCAAGATGTTAAAACAGTGATGCTGCCAATTACAAGGGTAAAAAAGTTTAAAGCATTAGAACGTGGCAAGTGAATTATTTATCTTTCTGTAATGTCCCTTCTATTAAACTCCCATGTGCTTGAAGAACATATATTACCTCACTTTGTAGTGATGAAATTAACCTTTTTATTGTATAATGGCGACACTAAGCATCTTTTGTAATTTCCCCAATCCTATCACTGAATGTATTGGATTGAAACTTAATTGAGACTAATGACATGAAGGATCAAACATAGAAGAATAGAAAGACCTTATAAGGATTGAAGTAATTAGTATTTTGGTAGCATGTCAAAGACTAAAAACACAATCATTCACATGATTTTATCTAATAGCTTGAAAGAGAGATTCAGTGCTTGACAACGATACTTGTGCAGCCAAGGTGTCAAATTCATACCTGTGGAAACAAGGGAATGCCTTTGAGGAGATAGAGTGAAGGGATGATGCAGTAATATAGAGTTGGCCAGGAAAGAAACACCCATAGGTTATGGTAACAGTATGCCATTTGGAGGCCTGCACTGATGAATCCATAAGCATACCATGCAGGACTCTACTTAGAAAGCAAAATTTGAAAGCCTCCTTCAGACCATCTCTTATGTTGAACTAGTACTTGTGGCAAGGTGGTTGGAGCTACACCTAAGAAAGCACTCCTTCGAGGATTATAGTATGCTGATTTCCATCCTCTGCATTTAATAGACAATCCTGTCATCAGATCCTCTATTGAGTTAGCATATTGCAGTCCCATCTGCAATCAAATATTCATATAGCTTCAATTGATTAGTCATTACACTTTTAGTGATAACTTCTTATTATTGTGAAAAAAACTGTAAATCTGTGTCATCTAATCATGCATGGAAGATTAAAATTATAAGTTAGTTACTGATTACATGACCACTAAAATTACATGCATTGATCTTTTAATCTTGATCATTTAAATATGATCCAATAATTATCACAATAACAAGAGTTTGAGACAAAGACAATGAGAAAGAATGTGACCTCTTTTCCCCATAAAGTGTTTTTGTCATAGGTACAACTAGCAAGAGCCTTTGATTTTTCTTCCAGTTCATGCAAGCTTGCTTCTTTCATATGATCAATATTCTTGCATTCATTCCAATCTTTCTTGTATTGGTCACTGAACTTTCTTCCACACAGTATCTCTCTTCTGTGAAAGCAGCCAGTTCCAATATACATTGGTCCACCAAGTGAATCTGCACCATGGAGTTCCACCTTCATGTTTTCAAAATTCAAACCATCACAAATTTGTATAGGAGAGTGTCTTTTGCGAAAAGAAAACAATGCATATCAATCATGAACAACTTTGGTTTGATAAGCAAAATTCATTAACTAATTTATTTACCTCATAAACTACTCTTAAAGCACAACCATAGACATCATTCTTCGTGATGTTCTCAAAACACTGTGGAGTCTGCACAAAGGCAATTTGATGGCCTTTATCTTAATCCATGAAGAAGCAGAGTGCATCCCTTAGAGATTGGGAATTGTTCGAGTACATGTCACAATCTACATTAAGGATAATTTCCCCGTTGCTAATCATTGATGACACTCTTATCTGCATTACGGACCAAGAATACATAATGTAACCAATGATTAATTTCACAGCAACATGCACAAACCTTATCATAAATGTTAATGCATGGAAGTTATATACAATACCAATGAATTCATGGCTCCAGCTTTGAAGTCATGTGGAACCTGAGGTCTCTTCTCGCGAGCCAAATAAACCAATATGGGCATAACATTCCCATCTACATCTTTGGCACTCGAGTCCTTTCCATCAAGTAATATCTATATAAAGAAAATAATATATTACGCATTAGTATACCAGTAAAAGAAAAGAGATTAATAGTTATAAATTATAGGGATAAAAACTTAAACAGTCAATTAATAAAAAAGAATTAGCAATATCTTAAAGAATTATTATCTGTGGATTGACCTTTTACTATATCTCATGTATTTATAAATATGATATTTCATTTATAATAAATGAATTGGTTTTTATTCTCTTTTTCTTCCTTGTATCTCTATTTTAAGATCAAAATAAAAACAAAAGTGGTTAAGAGAAAGTGTCATACTTGAAGAATTGTGTCATGGTCTGGTCGAGAATAATATGAATCCCAAGCAGAAAATCCTTTATGCTTTGAGTGTAGTTCTTCAGGTACTCTCTCCATCTTGCCTGCATTTTCTATGCGACTTTCCATATCTTGGTATAATTTCTGCACCAAGGAATAAATTTTTTATTAACTGTTCATATTTTTTATTCTGACATTGTATTGAGTGACAACTAAACTGTGTCAAAGAGTAGATGATAAGTGAGTGACCTTGATTGTGAGTAATTCTTTGGCATGAGAACTTGAATGAGTTGACGAGGCAATGGTCTTGAAATAAGCAGCAGGTGAGGTGGGGTCGACCTTGAATTTTCTGCAGAAAGGAAGCCATTGTTTGGCAAAGATGGAAGCCTCAAAGAGAGCATAGAAGGTAATGTCTGATGCAGCATCATCTGAAAGATACACACTGAGTTTGTCTGGTGGATAATCATAAGCCATAACTGATAACACTGTGTTTATCACCATCACTGCTGGCTCTATCACTGGATCTGCTGTGCACACAAATATATCCACTTTTGGCAACACCTTCTCATACCTGTTTCAAATCAAATGCAGTTTATTTTTTCTGTTTTATTCTTGTCTATGGAATTTATCACAATATTGAATGAAAGTGTATATACTAAAAGGGATGAAAACACATGACCTACGTATGCTGCGCCACTTTTATGGTGCTTATATCAAGTCTTGACGAGGGACATTATCACATGAAAGACACATCCTTAAATTAAAGTTTACTAATCACACTACCCAACATAAAACCCCAATTAAAATATCAATAACTCATAATTTTAAATAGTTGTTGTCATCTCTATTTTTTTTAATATTTAATCTATTCAATTTTAGATTATTTAAATAGTGTCATATGCCAACATAATTACAAATAACTTACTAGGTTTATTTTATGTCAACATCAAGAATATATAAATTAATCAAATACTATATGTCAACATCATTAATTCAACAATAATTAAATTAATCAAATTTCTATATTCCTTGTATGTTGAGTATAAAATATTAGAGAAGCAAATTTTTAATATACAACATTGTAAGTAAAGAAAAATTATGAAATTCTTTTTATAAGAAATATTAAATAGATTTTTTTATCAAAATTTTGTATTAATTATATATTATTAAATAAAAAAAATTATTTAATTTTTTAAATATATATCAATATAATAATAATGTATAAAATTAATATATCTACTTATTCAATTATATAAGAAAAAACAAAAATATTACTACCTAATAAAATTTTCTGATAAAAAGCTTATAAATAAGTTGACTCTAGTTTCTTTAGATTATCTGCATTTTCAAGTACTTTTATACGAAATTTATTGATCGACATGTGAATTCATTGAGTTTGATATCCAGTTATTGTCTAATTTATAGTAAATTAATTTCAAATTTTAGATCACAGTGATGAACTAACCTTTTAGATCTGACTCATCTTAGCCTGCAAGAAGTGAATGAAAGAAAGAAGAATGTACCTTTGTGATAGTCTATCTCTGAAAGGTTCCCTGAAGAGAAGGTTCCATCTTAAGGAGTGTCTGAGGAGCCAGTAAAGACCAAACCATAGTTCAACACAGAACATCCCAATCCAACCCCATCTTCCATCTTCACCTTCTCTGGGCATGTGACTCACTCTGAAAACCCAGATGAAGCATATCCCCACAAACAATGACAAACATAAGACTTTGTAAAAGACCCTTCCTTTTGCTCTCTTTATCTCAAACAACGGACTATTCTCCTCCTCTGCCATGTCTGCTTTTTCTTCCACTCTCTTCTGTTTATCACTTCATCTACTATTTATACAACAATACACACACACTTTGTTATGGTGAAGAGGATTATACAGTTTGAAGTTTATATTATTCATGTCTGGTCATGAGTATGGTTTATATTGATATACTATACATTAATCAAATGCCACTTGAAGAAGCCACACACCAAAACGAAATAGAAAAATGATCTGAAATGATACACCAATTACTTTGATTAAGTCACTTATATATAGTCTTTTCCTATTTATGTCAACCCAAATTGATAATTTACTCTAATAATAACTATTGAATAATTAATGTATATATAAATTGAATCATTTAATTAATCTAAACTCCAACTTGGCAGTATAATATTAGTCTAATCTAAACTTCAAGTCGGCAGAGTATTATTAGTTTAATGATCATACACGTAAATTAATCTAAACTCCAAGTTGGTAGCATATATTATTAGTTTAATAATATGGCTATGTTAGTAGGACCTCCTTAAATTGTTCCTTATCCACATAGCAAATACCATTTTCTCATTTGTAATTTGTGACCTTTTTCTGGCATTTGCAACATCAAACAATTGATCAATTTGTTAGGATTATCACCACTTTCATCATACCAGTCAAGCATTATTGCCTCATCATTTACAACTGACCAAAAAATTGCATGCTTATTGGTCTCACTTGTTATATTATTTTGTTCATTCATGTATAGACTGATTAGCATTCCCATTATGAGAATATCAGAATTTATCATTCACATTTGTGCTCGTTTACGAATTTTCCATATTTTGATAGAAAAATTTGTAATGACGCGTAAAGAAGATATGTCTTCTGTGATTATGCTTCAACGAGAAGATTGTCACATTCACAATCCCATGCTTCACATTTACACGTATCTTAATGCATCATAATTAGTTCTCAAACTGGTTGCTACTGTAGTAGGACAATTCAGTCACAGGATCTTTTGAACTGCCAACTGATCCAAATAAACGTTTGTAGCATTTACATAGACTACACATATCAAGATTGGATTATTCCCTCCAAATCTTGAGTCTCTGGACATGTCAAATAACATTATAATATTAAATACAGAGTACAGGAACGATATAATTTCCTACTCCACAAGAACTTTGTATTCAAGTAGAAGATTGTCAGGGAAAGTATCATTTATCTGTCATTGCAATGCAAATCCGCATCCTTTACAGTAGACTGATAATTAACATAATTATTAAGACTAGAAATAAAAAGGTATACCCAGAAGTAAAAGACATTAAAAAAGAAACTGTTAAAAGATCATCAAAGTGCAAGATCAGCTAAGTCAAAAGTTTTACTAACAGCTTTGCACCAAGATTCAACTTTCTTTTTCCTTGCTTCCTCAGTCATTATGGGACGGAAAATTGTAGCAGTCTTCATCTTCTCCCCGGCATTGAAAATATATTCTTCTTTCCAAACCCCAGTAGCCAACCCTGCAGCAAAGGCTGCTCCAAGTGCTGTTGTCTCTATGTCAGCAGGTCTAACTACTGGACTTCCTATCAAATCTGCCTGTAGAACATTATTAACAAAAAATAAATAAATATCAGTTATGTGAAAGGTAACAACCAATGAACACGAACACTTCATTAACTATAAACACTAAAGAAGCATTACAAACTAGAAATCGGATAATGTTATTGGTAGGACAGAAGTAGCATGATAATTAATAAAATAAAAAAAAAATAGAACTACAAGGAATTAGATGAAAGAAAGATATTCGTATAAAATAATATGCAATTAGTCCAAACCTGAATCTGCATCAACAGGTTGTTAACAGTTGCCCCACCATCCACTCTAAGCAAAAAATCCTTTTTTGAGGATTCATCCTGTTCCGAATCTTTATGCATTGAATCCAAGACATCTTTCACTTGGAAACACATGCTCTCAAGCACGGCTCGAGCAATGTGAGCTTTGCTTGTAAACCTTGTAATTCCAACAATAACACCGCCAGCATCATCACGCCACCATAGAGCAAATTATCCATTAAAAGCGGGAACAAAGTATACCCCACCATTGGATTCAACCTGTAATGCCAGATTCTCTATGTCTGAAGCACTTGAAATGAGGCCAAGACCGTCTCTAAGCCACTGCACTGTAGCTCCAGCAATAGCTATTGATCCTTCCAATGCATAATTGGTTAGCTTGAAGGCTATAGTGTAATATATATATATATATATATATATATATATATATATATATATATATATATATATATATATATATATATTACAGAGAACTACTGATACCAGAAAGTTTGAAAATTCATAATCTGACTTCTCTTAATCTGCCAGTTATGTTGTCTTTGTTATTGATTCCTCATGTTCTTTGTAGGAAAGCTCTATTCTTCTAATCAAAATTTGGTCTCCTCCACCGTCCTCTGCATACACCCAGAAAAGGGTAAGAAAGTTTCCATAATGTTGAAGGCCTTGAGGTCTGTCCTCTTACATCAGTTGTAAAGAAAAAAAATACAAAAATCAAGGGTGGGAAATAAATAAAGAAAAGAACAATAGCTATATTTTTTAAGAATGAGAAATCCTCCCAAGTGAAGGTAAAAATCAAGGAACTCACAGGTCACTTAAGCTTTCACTAAAACAATAATGGGGATTACAAACTTCATCCTCGGATGAATCTCTCCAACTAAAAATAAGAATGCATCTTGAATTTGGATTAAAATTAATTGACTCACCGTTTTTAGTTAAAATAAATATGCAAGGGTCTGATTTTTCTCTCACATTTTCTAATTTTGAATACCTCAATTTTCATTGTGCTGGGAAGAATTGCACCATTCACTGGCTGCTGATTAATTTTATTTCCTAGCTTATTCGACGTACACAATTCGACGTAAAAAAAATCTAAAATTTATATTCAAATTAGATTTATATTTTATAGTTGTATAAATATTATGTAATATGGGAGAATATTTTTTTTTAAATGGTATTTTATAAAGACAAGACAACGTACGAGATCTATTAAAAAATATATTATATAAAAAATTATATACGTTATATAATAAATTCTACAGATATAATTTTAACTTTTCATTTTTTAACTTTAATATCTTTGAAAATTTTATTGAATTTAATATAAAATATAAAAAATAATAAATAATTTTATTACTTAAATATCATATAGTTTTAATTTTCTCTTTCAGTAAAATGTTTAGTTTAATTAGATAAAAAAAAATCAATTCAAAATTTTGTTACAATTTTTAACATGAAATTTAAATTTGAAAATCTTAATTGAATATAAATTAATAGTATTTTATTTCTTTTACACCTTAGCCTAGAAATTGTGTTTAAAATATGTTTTTATATAATATACATAAAATATAACAAAAAAAAACTCTACTTATAAGAAGTGATTTATAAAATAAATACTTCAATCTTTTTCTTTATATATATATATATATATATATATATATATATATATATATTAAAATATAATGTTTATTATACTCATATTAATAATATGTATTATTAATTTAAAATTTATTAATAATTATAATGTGTCTGCGACCATAGTAAATCCAACAATAACACAAACAAATGTGGGTTTTGAGAAGGGTTTTTACAATTTCCGGTGTTGTCTGAGAGAGAGGAAGAGCAGAGGGCGAGTGAGGAAGACGGATGGTGCTTCGTATGCGCACATGCCGAGGGTGAAAATCCGTGAGCTGAAGGACGATTACGCTAAGTTCGAGATACGGGACACAGATGCGAGTATCATGATCGCGGAGGTGCCGACAATTGCAATCGATCTGGTGGAGATAGAGGTGAATTCTTCGGTGCTGAACGACGAGTTCATAGCGCACAGACTCGGCCTCATCCCGCTCACGAGTGAGCGAGCCATGTCCATGCGCTTCTCACGTGACTGCGACGCGTGTGACGGGGATGGTCCGTATGAATTCTGTTCCGCGGAGTTTCACCTTAGGGTTAAGTGTATGATTGATAAATTTTGTTTAGAGTAACACGTATTCGTTTTTTATTTACTTAAATATATTTTTTATTTACTTAAATAGTATATTAGACAGTTTTTTTTGTTAAGGTGAAAATTTAATTTTTCTAAATACGAAACTTAAACATAATTTTATAATTTTTTTAAATAATTTAAAATTTGATTTTCCTATAATCGAATTTTGAATAGTTTTCTTTTTATTTTGTTAAAAAAATAACTAAAATATATATATAATATGTTATAATATTTTATTTAATACTTATAATTTTAAATTAGGTATTTAAAAAGATATGTATATTTTTAAAATTAATAATATATTTAGATTTATTTTTGAAAGTACTAAAATAATATTTTTAAAAAATATTATTAAATATTATATTTAAATTTATTTATATGATTAAACTTTTTTAAATTTTTTGATTTATTTGATATTATAATTTTTTAAAAAATTTATAATAAATTAAGAGGATGATAAAAATTTCAAAAATTATATGTATTTAAGAAAAAATAATATTTTGATGTAAAATTATATATATATATATATATATATATATATTCTAAAATATAATTTATATTAATTACTATAATATAAAATATATATTCTAAAATATAACTTATTTTCATTTATGTATATATTATAGAAATTAAAATAAATTATATTTTAGAATATATAATTTTTCAAATAATCGATTACTTTTTTAAATAATCGATTACTTTTTCAAATAACTGAGATTTTAGATAGCGGTTTTAGAACTAACTCGCTATTAAAAATATATATTAGATAGCGGTTAACGTGGAATTCGTTATTATATATTCACTTATTAAAAGTGACACATATATGATAATCGGTTCCAACTTTAACCGTTTTTAAAAGTGAATATATAATAAGCGGTTCCACGTTAACCGCTACCTAAAATATATTTTTAATTGCGTTTAGTTCTAAACCGCTATCTAAAATCTCGATTATTTGAAAATATTTTGATGTAAAATTATATATATATATATATATATATATATATTGTAAAATATAATTTATATTAATTATTATAATATAAAATATATATTCCAAAATATAACTTATTTTCATTTATATATATATTATAGAAATTAAAATAAATTATATTTTAGAATATATATATATATATATATATATATTAAATATAAATTATTTTCAAGTTAATAATTATTATTCTAATTTATGCAAAAAAAAAATATATATATATATAATTAATTTAAAATTTTTAATTTAAGTAATATATCTATATATAATTATAATTTATATAATATATTTAACATTAATTTTATATTATAATTTTTTTAAAAGTTATAATTATAAATATGATTTTTTTAATTATATAATTATAATATATAATTGATAAATAATTTTTTTTAATTTTAATTTAATTTATTTTTTTATTTATAATTTTTTAATATATATTTGAGAAATTAATCAATTATAATCTATTATTTAAAAAACTAATTAATTCTAATCAATTATTTAAAAAACTAATCTATTATAATTAATTATTTGAAAAAATTATCGAATATAATCGATTATTTAATCGATTATAATCATTATTTAAAATTTTAATCGATCAAAATGAAATAATTAAAAAATTATATTTAATATATTATTATTCTAATAAATACATAATTCTTTTTTAAACTATATTTAAAACTATAAATTTTATATAAAATATTATAAAATTATATATATATATATATATATATATATATATATATATATATTACTTAATATAAATTTGAAAAATTATTTAAACAATTAATTAATTAATATTTATATATTTTTAAAATAAATAATATATTTAGATTTATGGTTGAATTTAGTAAAATAATATTTTTAAAATATATTATTAGATATTATATTTATATTATTTGTATGGTTAATTTTTTTTAATTGATTTATTTATTTGATATTGTAACATATTTTTAAGAAATTAATAATAAATTTGGAGTATAATAAAATTCTTAAAAATTATATGTATATAAGATGAAATAATATTTTGATGTAAAATTATATTTTTGAAATGTATTTTTTTTATGTTTTTGTAATATTTTGAATGATATATATATATATATATATATATATATATATATATATATATTAAATATAATTTATAAGATTAAAAAAATCATATTTATAATTATAACTTAACTATAAAATTTATGTTAAATAAATTATATATATTATATAAATTATAATTATATATAGATATATTACTTAAATTAAAAACTTTAAATTAATTATATATATATATATTTTGCATAAATTAGAATAATAATTATCTTGAAAATAATTTATATTTAATATATATATATATATATTCTAAAATATAATTAATTTTAATTTCTATAATATATATAAATAAAAATAAGTTATATTTTGGAATATATATTTTATATTATAGTAATTAATATAAATTATATTTTAGAATATATATATATATATATATATAATTTTACATCAAATATTATTTTTTTTATATACATATAATTTTTAAGATTTTTATTATCCTCCTAATTTATTATTAATTTCTAAAAAAATTATAATATCAAATAAATCAAAAAATTAAAAAAATTTAATCATACAAATAAATTTAAATATAATATTTAATAATATATTTTAAAAATATTATTTTACTAATTTCAACAATAAATCTAAATATATTATTAATTTTAAAAATATATAAATCTTTTTAAATATCTAATTTAAAACTATAAGTGTTAAATAAAATATTATAACATATATATACATACATTTTAGTTTTTTTTTTTTTAACAAAATGAAAAGAAAACTATTTATCGAATTCTAAATTATTTAAAAAAATTATAAAATATAATTATATTTAGGTTTTATGTTCCAAAAATTGAATTCTCATCTAAAAATAAAAATGTGCGATCTAGTTAAATAAAACTATGACTCTGTCAAAGACCTCTACAGTTCTGACCATTCGGTCGTCCCCGAAGATTTCTCTGACCCTGCTGCCACTGATTCTTCCGACAACAGGTGGACACTTTTCTTCTATATTGTTTTAAACCCTAGATTTTTAAATGGGATTTTTATTCCATTTAACTGGGTATTTGGGGTTTTCAAGTGTGTTTTCTTCATTCTCAACTAAATTTTTGTTTTTGTAGTATGGGTTTTCTTTGTTCTCTAGATGGTATTTTCTTTTTTTAAATGGGTATTCTTCGTTTTGAGTTGTGTGGGTTCAGAGGGGTTATCATTGTGAAGTTGAGGCGAGGACAAGAGCTGAGGCTGAGAGCGATAGCTAGGAAGGGGATTGGCAAAGATCATGCCAAGTGGTCACCTGCTGCAACTGTCACTTTCATGTATGAACCAGAGATTCATATAAATTAGGACTTGATGGAGACACTGACTCTTGAGGAGAAAAGAGGATGGGTTGATAGCAGTCCTACACGTGCGTTTGACATTGATCCAGTAACACAACAGGTTTGGGTTCTTCTCATTTGTTTTCTCATGAATTTGGTTATGTTCTTTCTACTGTTGTTATTTGATCCATATTCTAGGTAGAATTAAAAAATTACCTAGCATTTCTTTTGTGTTTGGTGATTAAATGGTAGTTTGTTTGATCACTTGAATATATTGCTTTTTGGAATTAATCGTATATGCATGCCAATTATGTCTGATCAAATTTGCAAGTTTATGCTAATCCCTTAACCTGAGCATTGCATGCTGTCTCGTCAACCATTTGGATTAACGTGGAGAACAATGTGCAATTAGAGGTACTTATGCCTGTTTTCTGTGTGTTCAATGTTGACACTAGTAATTTGATGCTTTGAATGCATAATGCTGCTTGTGAATAAAGTAAACATAAGGCCCGTGCAGTAATTAAGAGGCAACATTCTTTATTAAGGTCAAGCTAGCTGCCACCGGGAAAATAATATATATGTTTTCCAGTGCATAAACATTAGAGAACTAATGTTTTGTATAACTTCCTGTGTATCCAATATACATGAACTTGGAGTTCTTGTAACCCTTCAATTTTATGGAGTCAGGAAAGCTGTTTTAGATAGCCTCCATAACTTCTAATATCAAGGAACTGTAGCCTCTATCACTTCCAAGCTCCAATCTCAGGTAATGTAAAACCAAATTCTTCTGTCAAACCTGAAAAACAGAGGGGAACTGAACAACGTATCATTCTGGAAGGGTTTTTCAATTTCTTGTAGAAACGATTTTGCAAGTAATGCAATAACTGAAGTGGAGTTATTATTATTGTGCTACTGCAGCAGAGAATCGTTTTGCGGTGCGTTTTGCCTTTGTGGCTTTTGTAGCCACAATCAAGGTCCAAGAAGCAATCATTTGTACCAGTAAAGTGCCTTTATTACCCTTAAAACAGTTGTTTTACTGGGTTGGGGGGGGGGGGCAAAAACCAAGAAAAATGAGTGGTGTTTTCAAGAGAAATCTTTGTCTATTTTGAAATGATGTTATTAATGTTGATATTGTACTTAAACTTAGTAGTTAATATCCATTTTTAGTTTCAATAGAAATCTTTGTCTATTTTGAAGTGATGTTATTAATGTTGATATTGTACTTAAACTTGGTAGTTAATATCCATTTTTAGTTTCAATTTGTTTTATTGTAGTGAATTCGTCTTTGAAATATTATGCATTGTCGAACTAAAACATTGAACTTTTCCATCTTTGAAAATCAAATGTGTTGTTTTTGGCATTTATTAGGTAATGATGGTTGACTCTGAGGCATACTCGTATGATGATGAGGTGATTAAGAAAGCAGAAGCCATCGGGAAGCCTGGGCTTGTGGAAATCATTGCAAAGCAGGATAGCTTCATATTCACAGTTGAATCTACTGGAGCAATTAAAGCTTCTCAATTAGTTCTAAATGCCATAGAAATTCTCAAACAGAAGCTGGATGCTTTGCGGCTATCTGAAGATACAGTGGAGGCGGATGATCAGTTTGGTGAGCTAGGTGCACATATGCGAGGAGGATGAGTGATTGATTGTATTAGAAGGATATTTATTTTCCTGAGAACTTGTTTCTTGCTTCTTGTACTTAACTGAATAGCTGAAGCTTTTGTTAACTTTTTCGAAGATGCTAATCACTATTAGGAAATCTCACGCACACAAAAGTTCTATCAAAAGTTCTATCATCTTGTCACGTTTTCGTCCTTTATTTTGTTTATAATGGTCGAAAGAAAAACACATGATCTCAAATTCATAATTGTTCATTTATTTTTAATAGTATAAGTAATTATACAATGTGTTTATGAGGAAGAACAAGACATTTAAAGAAATACAGAGACTTTACCTACATAATTACTATTAGAAATACAGAGACTTACATATCTGATTAATGTACAAGTTGTATTAATTACTATTAGGATAGTTGAGATCTTGCTATTAATACTAAGGTAGTTAAAGTGTTGCAGAGTATTGTATCTACATTTATTCTTTTCTTTAGTATTTTTCTTTATCTTTCTTTAGATGATATTGAATATAGAAGAAATAGAGTTTGAGATTAATCTTCCTTGTGTATAAATCACACATAGGGTAGTCTATTTCTAGTAGAGAGATACAACTAAAAGAGTAACTGAAAGTAACATAATAAATAGAAGATATTGTTTGATATTGTGGTTAACAATATCTTAACAATATCAAATAATATCTAACACTCCCCCTCAAGCTAGAGCATACAAATCGTATGTACCAAGCTTGTTACAAATATAATCAATTTTAAGATCTCGTAAAGATTTAGTAAAAATATTTGCTAACTGATCACTTAAGTTAACAAACTCAGTCTTGATGTCTCTAGACGTAATCTTTTCTTGAATGAAATGACAGTCAATCTGAATGTGTTTGGTCCTCTCATGAAAGACAGGATTATAACTAATATGAAGAGCAGATTGATTGTCACACACAAGTGACATTTGAGTGACATCTCCAAATTGTAACTCTTTAAGCAATTGCTTGAGCCAAACAAGTTTACAGGCAACTGAGGTCATAGCTTTATATTCTGCTTCGGCACTAGATCTTGCCACAACACTCTGTTTCTTACTTTTCCATGAAACCAATTTACCACCAATGGAGACACAACATCCAGATGTAGATCTTCTATCCAAAGGAGATCCTGCCCAATTAACATCTGAGTAGCAAACAACTCTTGTATGGTTATTAGAATCATATAGCAATCATTTTCCAGGAGATCCTTTAATATACTTTAAGATACGAATGACTGCATTCTAATGATTTTCACATGGGGAATTAAGAAATTGGCTTACCACACTGATTGCAGGAAATGTCAAGACAAGTAATTGTAAGATAATTCAATTTTTCAACCAATCTTCTATACTGCTCAGGATCAGGTATAAGCTCCCCCTGATTTGGTAGAAGTTTAGTATTGGAATTCATGGGTGTATCAACACACTTTGAATTTATCAACACAATTTCCTCCAAAATATCCATGACATACTTCCTCTGAGATATAACAATACTATCATTGGACTGTGGCACCTCAATACCCAAGAAATATCTAAGTTTGCCAAGATCTTTGGTCTAAAAATGGTGACAGAGATGTTGTTTCAACTGAGAGATGTCATGGTTGTCACTACCTGTAAGAACGATGTCATCAACATATACTATCAAATAAACACATCCAGGACTTGAGTGTCGATAAAAGACAGAGTGATCTGCTTCACACCGAGTCATACAAAATTGTTGAACAACCTTGCTAAACTTTCCAAACCAGGCCTTAGGAGACTGTTTTAGGCCATATAGGGATTTACGAAGACGACATATCATCCCAGAAGACTTCCCCTGAGCAACAAACCCAGGAGGTTGCTCCATATAGATTTCTTCTTGCAAATCATCATTGAGGAAAACATTTTTAACATCTAGTTGATAAATAGGTCATTGTTGAAGAGCGGTCATAACGATAAATAAACGAACATAAATCATCTTTGACACGGGGGAAAAGGTATCTCCATAATCCAACCCAAAAAAATTGAGTATAACCTTTGGCACAAAACGTGCTTTGAGGCGATCAATAGTACCATCAGGTCCAACTTTGATAGCAAACACTCACCTGCAACCAACAACAGATTTCCCAGACGGTAACGAGACCAATTCCCAAGTTCCACTATTATGAAGAACACTTAGTTCATCTAACATGACCTGACGCCAACCAAGATGGGTTAAAGCTTCACGGACAGTTTTTGGAATGGTTACAAAAGAAAGAGAGGAAAGACATGTATAAAAAGGTAATGACAGTCGATGATAACTCAAACCAATATAATGGGGAGAGGGATTATGTGTAGAACGGATACCTTTTCGGAGGGCAATGGGAAGGTCAGACTCAGGTGTCACATCCGGAGGAGACGGAGTAGTTGGCACATGAGTAGAGTCACATGGTGGTGGTTGTGATTGATTTCGACAACTATAAACCTGAAGAGACAGTGAAGAAGAAGCTGACCGCAGAGCAGAAACTAATGGTGAAGAAGACACAGTTAGAGAGTCACAAACAACAAGAACATTAAATGTACTAGGAGTGTTGACAAGATTAGATGGAGACAGAGGTGAAGATTGACTTTTAAAATAAAAAGAGAACTCATCAAAATTGACATCTACAGACACAAAATAACGGTTAAGAGAAGGAGAAAAATATTTGTATCCTTTTTGTGATCTTGTAAACCCTAAAAAAACACATTTATGTGATCTAGGAAAAAGCTTGTCAAGACCAGAATTGAAATTATGAACAAAACATGTAGACCCGAAAACTCTTAGAGGTAAGGGATGAAATGGTTTATGAGGGAATAAAATGGAATGAGATATTTTATTATCTAAAATTGAAGATGACATGCGATTAACGAGATAACATGCAATAAGAAGAGCATCACCCCAAAAATGCTGAGGAACCTCTCCATGAATTAAAAGAGTGCGAGTTGTTTCAATAAGATGTCTATTTTTACGTTCAGCTACACCATTTTGTTGAGGTATAAAAACACAATAAGTTTGATGCAAAATACCATGAGAAGTCATGAATTGTTTAAAAGGATGAGAAAGATATTCACGACCATTATCACTGCGCAAAACTCTAATAGAAACACCGAACTAAGTTTGAATTTTATTGAAAAAAGTTTAAAAGATATGAAATAATTCAGAACGATTTTTCATCAAAAATAACCAAGTGCATCTGGAATAATCATCAATGAAAGTAACAAAGTATTGAAAACTTAAAGTAGACTTAACGCGGCTAGATCCCCAAATGTTAGAGTGAACCATGAAAAAAAGGGGACAAAGCACCACGTGTGACACTACGAGGAAAGGAAGTACGACTATGCTTGCTTAATTGACACAACTCACATGCCAAACTAGACAATTTAGATAAGGCAGGGACAAGTTGTTGTAACTTGGCAAGACTTGGATAACCTAACTGAGCATGGAGAAGAGAGGGAGACTCTATAACTGCACCAACATGTGTAAATGGACGAAGATGATAAAGACTATGAGACTCACATCCTGTGTCAATCACCTGTTTCGAACTCAGGTCCTGTAAACACACAGAATTATTGGTAAAAGAAACAACACAATCAAGAGAACGAGTTAGTCAACTGATGGATAACAAGTTAAAAGGAGACACAGGGACATAAAGAACATTATCAATGGTTAAAGAAGGGAAAAGTTTAACAGTTCCAACACCATGAGATGATATTCTAGAGTCATCAGCCAGTGTAACAAAAGGTAAAGAATCAGGAGAGGATAAAGAGGAGAACAAAGATTTGTTACCAGTAATATGATCAGTGGCTCCTGAATCAAAAACCCAAGGACCAGAAGAAGATTGGGTCAGACCAGCAAAAGATGTACCTATGTGTGCGACAGACACAGTGGAACTAGAAGACTGTTGATCCTTATACCATTTGAGAAATTTGTTGAACATAGCAGGTGTGTCTGATGAAATAGAAGGAGGATCCTTAGCAGATAAAAGTGGGGAAAGATCAGTCTGAGCAACTGCAGCAGATCGAGGAGGACGACCATGTAATGCATAACACTTATCAATCTTGTGACCTAGTTTGCCACAATGTTCACACTTAGGACGTCATTTTCTCTGTTTGCAAGGGCGAATTCGGTCATCACGGTGAGATACCAATACAGAAAAATCATTAACAGAAGCAGGTGTGACAGGGTTGGGTTTTGCTGGTATAAGCAAAAGAGTGGAGCAGGTCGATGTCAAGGTGGGAACAACCGGAGAACCCAAAATCTGATCACGAATATGTAAATATTGATCAGCAAGTCTATGTAATGCCCCTAGCATGAAGAACTTTGATCGTTGTGCTATCTCGGTGGCAGGGTCGAGGGAAGGAGGCAATAACTCATTGAACTCATGAAAAAGAACATGAATTTTGCCCATATAATCAGTCATAAAATCTTGATATTTAGAGGCAATAACATCTACAAATTTAGAACAAACATCATAGAGACGTTGAGTATCATTGGTGTATAATAACTTGGCATGTTCCCAGATTTTGGCACATGTTTCGTAGGAACGAAAAATTTGTTTTAACGAAGGATCAAGAGTACCCTTGAGAACCACACATAATTGAGCATCAATGGTGTCCCAACGGTCTTCCTCACCAGGAGTGAGAGTAGGTGCTTTCGGGGCAAGATGATCAAGATACTTCTGACTCTTAAGCCATAATCTGACGTCTGATGACCATGTGACATAACTAGGGTCAGTTAACTTGTCAATGGATAAGTGCACATTAACATAGTTAGTGTAGATGGAAGGATAAGATGCAGTACTGACAAGGAGCAGAAGAAAACATAAAGAGCGGAGGCGATAGTGATAGCGGCATGAACCAATACACCAGATAAGTTCCCAGGAAAGAGAGGTGGGTCACTAATGGACATGCTTAAATACCAAGTTTTTCCTTGTCAAAACATTCCTATATATGCACTTTCACACTATCAAATAATATCCAGTAACAAAAATAACATTTTTCTGATATGGAAGATCAGTTTAACCGACAGCGATAGCGGCGATGGTAACGGCTCTAATAGTGATCAAAGGCGGAAAAAAAATTTCAAAATAACCTTAAACTCTAGATACCATGTTAAATATAGAAGAAATAAAATTTGAGATTAATCTCCCTTGTGTATAAATCACACATAAAGTAATTTATTTATAATAGAGAGATACAACTAAAAGAATAATTGAAAGTAACAAAATAAACAAATATTATGATTAACAATATCTTAACAATATCAACTAATATCTAACAGTGATCTTACCATTTATGTTAACCCTAATAGTTTTAGTTGTGAATGTCCTAAATACATCCATTGATTTTTAGGATTACCTAAAGTATTCTTAAGTTACAAGTTCATGTTTCAATCCTAATAGTTAAAATGTTGTAGAGTTCTTATTTTGATCATAATTCTTTCTAGAAGACTTCACTTGATTTTGTTTGGCTATGCTATTCAATTCTTGTCCAGTGTTCCTTTTTTTTTTAATATTTATTATTATGAATTTTAGTGCATGTTCAACCATTTCTTTATTATAAAATGTTGATATTTCTTAAACTTAAACTTAAATGAAACATACATAGGAATCTACAACAAGAGAATGTGTTGCATACTCGTAGTACATGACAGGCGACAGGCTACACAGACTCGAGATATCTATCGTACTTAATGAAGCCCCGGAGAGAACTTTTACAGTAATGGATAATGATAAGTACACCAATAACTTTCTCTTGCATATCTCATACGCACTACACGTTGGGGATGAGTTGTTGAAAAGACTGTGATTATCAAATTTCGTCAAGTCACCCCATATGCGAAATATAAGAGACCATATTTACAACTAGCATCATCCCTCGTTCAAATGTGTCCTCATCACCTCGTTCAAATGTGTCCTCGTCACCTCGAAATGTCCTCACAAAACTGACCCACAGATTTCATGGAATGCCAATCCTGATAGAGGGACAAGTGCTATAGGGTACTAATCGCGCTCTGGTTTGTACATATGCAAGAGCACACCGATTCTTTTCCAAAAAGCCTTTTCTCACGGTTAATCATCAATTTAATCAAGGGTAGTTTTTTTGAAACTTGACGCCAAATCTCATTAACTGTCCCGTCACGATCTTCATATTCAAAGTATCGCTTAACCTGAAACAAGTTAAAATAAATTAAAGCTTGTTGTAACAAGAGGGGAAATTTTCAAAATAGAATCAAGAAAGAATGCGTGCTCTTTAAGCAAACTTCGCATATTAAAAGGTATAAGAACCATAACAGGTAAACAATGACAAATAAGCACCCCTCTTACTGATGAAAAATTAATAATTAATTACTTCAGTTAAAAGACCACAGAGAAGGAACTTGTCTTCCGATCACTATAAGATAATGATGAATCAGTGTATGAATACACAAAATAATGATTAATCAGAGAGAAACAAGAACAAAGAATGCAATAACTATAAGTAGCAATATCAAAGTTCACCAAATGTCATTGTACGTACTGATTCCAAGAGATTAAACAGGTGAAGTAAAAGAAAATAGTAATAACACCCACAAACTTCATAGCAAAAATAAATTATACCAGCACTACTCACCTCCTTTAGTTCTTTCTGGTATTCTATGATTCTTTCTGGGGACACAGATCTTAATTTTGACACCAAATATCCTGGCGTTATAGCAGAAGTAGTTTCAACAAATACAACAATTTTTGTGTAGTCTATAGCATCTTCAAAAGGCAACTCAATACTATCACTGACAATGACTGGAACACACAAGCTAACTATAGCATCAAACAGTCGACAGGCTGATGGAGTATCTCCTGCAGGATGTAAGCAAAACTTTGATGTATGCATTCCTTGTGAAGCTACCCGACGACTCTCTCTGGATTGAGCTCCATGCTTTATTATGACATCCTTTTCATTTTCTAGAATTTGAAAGAGTATATCACGGATTTTCCCTCCCTATAAAACAGACTTGAACAAGAAGGAATCAATACAAGAATAAATCATCCAAATCAACAGTAATGTTCTGGTTATTTTAGCACATACAAGGAAAACAACACTAGTACAGCATGATGCTAGAATATTTAAATGAAAATACAAAGGAAAAACCTAATGTAGATAGTTAGTGCTACTGTTACTACACAGAATACAAGACCACCAGAAAGTACAACATTACCCCAAGCAAAGAATGCATACAGTTTAAAGATTGTGTTTCTTGTTTTTGTTTTTGGTCTCCCTAAGGTACATATTTCTTTAAAGACAACCTAATTTAAGGCATTGTTTAAGACACCAAATGCAAACGCCTTTCTTGATGGGATTCCAAACCTTGGGTTCGTCACGTCTTGGAAACTTGGCCTCTTGCGAATCTAACTTCGCATCAAACCTTGGGTTCGTCACGTCTTGAAAACTTGGCTTCTTGCGAATCTAACTTCCGTTAAAGATTGTTGTAAAATTAACCATTGACAACAAAGCAGGAGTCTGCTCCTGGACAGAGTCAGAATAGAGGAAAATTTAATACCTAGGAAACTAAATAGGCTTGAGACAAAGACAATTGAAAGGCATGTATCGAATGATCATCACATAGGAGGGTCCTCGGTAGTTAGCTGAATAAAATACCAAAATTGTATTGGATCAATCATCCTTGAAAATTGCTGCTTAAAAGTACATTCATAACTTAAAAAAAATTTCAAAAGTTCATAGCGCGAACTCTCCCAACTAGATCAAAATGCATTTGTCCTCCAGCAGCACGTTCATTCCAACATTAGTGCTAAATGCACAAGCTAAATTAATGTTTCCCATTCCAGGTAGAACAAAGGATTTAAAAAAATGGTTCACAACCACAATTTTGGCTGCGATGTCAAGATATTTAGGTTCTATGCAACATTGCCGCATCAACAGCATTTTTTTCACAATGTCCCCCAATGTCATGGATCATAAGAAATTCAAAACCTTGGGTAGAGCTATAAAATATCAAATTATAAATAAACAATTCATCATCTTAAAATTAAAATCCAAAGTCCCACATAGAACAGAAGACAATACCTCTTTGCGATACCGATTGCCCATGAAAAACAACAAGGTTTTGCGATCGGCGACACCGACATCACCAGCGTACGTTTTGATACGGTGCGAGTAGGGCACAACGACATCCTTCACCAACGATCCCTGGTCGGGTCGCAACCGCCCAAAATCGGAGACAAGCAGCACACAATTTTTTATCCGGTCGATAACCCGGTACATAGCATTCGGATCCGAAGCCACGATCACGTGGTCCCTCCCGTTGCTCCTCTTCCAATACTCCTGCTCCTCCAGCCACTCAACCAGCGCATCCTGATTCTCCTCGTCGCTGTAGACCGGTTTCTCCGAAGCGGCGACCGAACCGGGCGGTCGAACCGGGTTCACGATCAAACTCAGCGACGAGAAGAAAGGCACGAAGAAGAAATCGGCCTCCTCGGGATCGGAGACGCGAACGACGGGCGAGCCTGCGCGTTCGGAATCGGTTCGGGAGAGATCCGCGAAGAGGTACCACTCGGCCATGTGCTGGTGGCCTGGGTACTTGAGCGAGGAGACGTGATCGTGTTCATCGGAGATGCGCGCGCCACGCGCGAGGGCGTGGTGGCGGATGACGCCGTGGGTGAATCTGCGGGGGAGATCGTAGAGGAAGACCTTGATGGCAGGGGATTTGGGGTAGCCGGAAGCGAGGAGGACGGAGGAGGCGGAGTTGAAGGAGAAGGTAGAGTCGAAGGCGGAGGAATCGGTGGGGTGGAAGAAGGCGTTGAAGATCGAGTAGAGGACGAATAGGAGGAAGAGCGTGGCTAGGGTTTGCTTGAGAAGCGGTTTTCGCGCCATGGCCGAGAAGAGTGTCTGCGAAGCAGTGGTGAGATGGGAAAAGCAACTGGGTTTGGGTTTTCTGGTGGATCCAGTGGTACCACTCATTTTTACATACACCATTGCATTTACATACAATACATTCCTCCTTCTTCTCTGTTACATATCTATTTATGAACTATGAAATATAGAGCAGTGAATCAATCACAGGGCCATGGATTTTTAAATCCTTGGGTTGGGTCAAGGTAGTAGTTGTTAGATACGTAAATTTAAGAAAAATATTTTCATTACAAAAACATTAATTAGGTTGAAAGGATTATAAAATATTTTAGAAAACAAAAACAGTGTAAATGGATGCATAATTAATTAACAAGAAGACATAATGATTATGTATAACACGTAATCAAATATATTTTAGATAATGATTATACATTGTTAAATAGTGATTGTAGAGATCTTTAACTTCAAATATTGTTATAATTATTAGCCACAAAAGACGAAAACTATTTAAAAATAAATTTTAACTTATTTAAATAATTAATTATAGAGTATATAAAAAAATTTGTTTCACGTACCAATTAAAAAAATAAATTCTAATAACAAATTTAAATCAAAGATTAAAAAAGTAATAGTAATTTTCATTACCATATTAGCAAATTTAAGTAAAATTAAAAATAATATAAATTTTATTATAAAAATAATCTATAGTAGGTATTTTTTTTATCTATTATGTTCAAATAAAATTTTCTTTTTAGACACAAATATAATTTTTTTAATTAGTACGTAACTTATAAACTAACTATATATTATTAAATACTAAATTAGCCAAAAATTACAATAAATTATGATTTACTATTGTCAATCATTTATAAATACTTTTTAGACAATTTTTCAAATATTAAGATATCAATTCAGGCATATAAATATAATAATATGACCAAATATATTATTCATCTATTGTAAAAATACTTTTATAATTTAATATATGAATATTATATATATAACAAATAGATAATTGCTATAATGATTAAATAATATGAAATTAAAATGTATTTCTTTATTGTGATTTAGTTGACTTCAAATATGATATTTATATATTTATATGATTAAAATGAAATGTTTGATTTGTATGAATATAAGATATAAATGGTATAATTCTCGTGGGTAATAAGATAAATGAAAACTTAATCATTGGTGGTAATATAACGAGTATTTTATATGAACAATGCATAATGAGATACATTCGTTATCATGGAGAAGTTTTGATCGAATTTTCATGGAATTCTAATATAAGAGGTGTTAATAGGTGGGTAAAAACTCTAAATAGCCAAACTCAATCAATTTTGAATACAAATCTAAATCATTCTATAAGTTTATTTTAAATGGATTCACCTCAAATTCAAATTTATATTTTTAAATTAAAATCTAATTTAATTAATTTAACTAGATAAGATATGAATTGTATTTTTAAAATTCAAAATTCATGTTGGGTTAATTAGAGTAGGTCTAGTTGAGATAGTTCAAACTAAGCTCAATTGGGTCAAGTTGGTCTAGTAGAATTAAGTTAGGTGAAATTGGGTCAATTTACATTAAATTAAATCAAGTTAAATTATGTTTAATTTCATGTAAGGCAAGTTGAATTAATTGGGTTGCATCAAGTCTCATTTTAAATGTAATAAATAGGATTAGACTAAAAATATTGAGTTAAGTTATGTGAGATTGTGTTGAAAGGGTCAAAATAAGTTAGAGTGGACTGATTAGGTTGAATCGTATTTAGTTATACTAGATTAAATTAAATAGGATCGAACTAAATTATATTAGATAAGTCTACTAGGCTGAATATAAGTCAAGTTAGGTTAGATTGTTCATCTTAATTTCTAATTAAATTCAAATTAAACAAAACTAGGTAAAATTGGATTAAGTTTAGGTCAAACCAATGTGAACTATAATGGACATAATTAGATTAGGTAAGTTATGTTAGATTGATTTAAATTAGACCTATCTAAATTAGGTAGATCATCTTAGATTGATCAAATATTAATCAAATTAAATAGTGTTTGACCTACATTAAATTATATCAATCCAATAAAATACCAATATCATATCATAAATATATAACTAAAATATTCTATCAATAATATATATATATATATATATATATATATATATATATATATATATCAAAATATATATATCAACGCATTATCAAAATAATTGAATATTATACTTCACTCTCACCCCATTAAGTATGTTAAGAATATAACATGCACAATCGAACTTATAATATACATAATATTTATCAAGTTTAAGTACAATTTTTTTTCCAACCGTTTTAAGGATTGTAAATTTACTTTATTTATAAAATTGTCACATTATAATTATAACGAGTAAGCGCAATCGTTCTAATCACTTTTTAAAAAGTCTTTCTATTATATTAGTGCGTGTGTTTCGGGTATGAATGGTATTTTTTTTTCTTTTTAAAAGAGATATGTATGTGGCCATTCCAATCACATATCTGTCAACAACTAAAAGAATCACGGTTTTAAAACATAGTGTTCGATACATACCTCTCACTAGTAGAAAACAGAAAAAATAGATTAGTTAAAATCCTACATATAATTAAGGATTAACATGAGTGGTACAAAACAGATATGAAAATCCTACATATAAACTGAATTTTGCATTTCAATAATCAAGGAAATTGACTTATCCATCATCACTTTGGTGTAATTTCACTTGACTGTCGTTCTTCTCCTGTTCTTTGAGAAATTGAACAAGTGCTTCCAAACCAAGGTCAGGATCCACATTTCCGATCAGATGCTCTGCAACTACTGCAGGGGGTGACTTGTGTTTTGTCCAACAATCCTTGGATCTCTTCAAACAGTGGATGATGTCCTTGAATGCCCAAATAATTAGAAGCCAAGACTAGAAAGGCCTTGCCTTTGAGAAAGGACAAGTGAATTTGCATATCCATACGACCATAGTATTGTATCATACAAGAGAATACAATCCTCTCCTAGTTTTTAGTTAGGTAGGTGGGAATTTCTAACATGATCCACTATGCCAATGGTAAACAGAGCATGTACCAATCCTCTTAATAAACCTATGCATTCCCCTTACCACCTAATGTATACTAGGTTCTCACTAAAGACATCTTAAAACACATCAAAATCAATAAACCTTATACTTGAACTACAACCACCAAATTCCAACCTATTATTGACTATTTGATTGACAATATTATATAACAAGATAAGTACATTGCTGAGTCTAGATCCTAGGAGAAAGATGAACCTGCACTGCATTTTTCATCACCACAGTGAACTCTAGTTTCTCTGACAAATCTACATCCCCTCCCACTGGAACCTTCCACTCAAAATTCCAAACCAAATTAGCCACAAAGTACTCCAGATGAAGCAAGGCCAGATTATAGGCAGGGCAAATCCTCCTTCCCGCTCCAAAGGGCATCATCTTGATCTCCTTACTTCCAGTAATATCAAAGCCCTCATCATTCATAAACCTCTCTGGCTTAAACGCCATGGGATCCTCCCAAACCTTAGGGTCCCACCCCATCTCTGCCACCATGAAATTCACTGTTCTATTCTTAGGCACCACGTAATCATTCAAAACCACGTCCCCAGTCACTGCATGCGGCAACACAAAGTGGGCAGGTGGGTGGTGCCTCAAACCTTCCAAAATCACAGCTTTCAGATAAGGCAGTTTCGGCAAGTCCTCCTCTTTCACTTCCCTCTTTTCTCTCTTACCCAATACCTCCCTTATCTCATCCACCACTCGCTTTTGCACGTGCGGGTACTTCACCAAATTGGCCATGATCCACTGCAACGCAGTGGAAGTGGTATCCGTACCCGCGTTTAAAAATTCACTGCACAGCGTCACAATTTCCTCTTCGATGAGCTTGCGTTTCTCCTCAGGCAACTGCAAATCCAACAAAGTATCAACATACGAAACAACCTCTTCTTCCGTGGCTTGATTACACACCAAAACGAAATAGAAAAATGATCTGAAATGAACACCAATTACTTTGATTAACTCACTTATATATAGTCTTTTCCTATTTATGTCAACCCAAATTGATAATTTACTCTAATAATAACTATTCAATAATTAATGTATATATAAATTGAATCATTTAATTAATCTAAACTCCAACTTGGCAGTATAATATTAGTCTAATCTAAACTTCAAGTCGGCAGAGTATTATTAGTTTAATGATCATACACGTAAATTAATCTAAACTCCAAGTTGGTAGCATATATTATTAGTTTAATAATATGGCTATGTTAGTAGGACCTCCTTAAATTGTTCCTTATCCACATAGCAAATACCATTTTCTCATTTGTAATTTGTGACCTTTTTCTGGCATTTGCAACATCAAACAATTGATCAATTTGTTAGGATTATCACCACTTTCATCATACCAGTCAAGCATTATTGCCTCATCATTTACAACTGACCAAAAAATTGCATGCTTATTGGTCTCACATGTTATATTATTTTGTTCATTCATGTATAGACTGATTAGCATTCCCATTATGAGAATATCAGAATTTATCATTCACATTTGTGCTCGTTTACGAATTTTCCATATTTTGATAGAAAAAATTGTAATGACGCGTAAAGAAGATATGTCTTCTGTGATTATGCTTCAACGAGAAGATTGTCACATTCACAATCCCATGCTTCACATTTACACGTATCTTAATGCATCATAATTAGTTCTCAAACTGGTTGCTACTGTTAGTAGGACAATTCAGTCACAGGATCTTTTGAACTGCCAACTGATCCAAATAAACGTTTGTAGCATTTACATAGACTACACATATCAAGATTGGATTATTCCCTCCAAATCTTGAGTCTCTGGACATGTCAAATAACATTGTAATATTAAATACAGAGTACAGGAACGATATAATTTCCTACTCCACAAGAACTTTGTATTCAAGTAGAAGATTGTCAGGGAAAGTATCATTTATCTGTCATTGCAATGCAAATCCGCATCCTTTACAGTAGACTGATAATTAACATAATTATTAAGACTAGAAATAAAAAGGTATACCCAGAAGTAAAAGACATTAAAAAAGAAACTGTTAAAAGATCATCAAAGTGCAAGATCAGCTAAGTCAAAAGTTTTACTAACAGCTTTGCACCAAGATTCAACTTTCTTTTTCCTTGCTTCCTCAGTCATTATGGGACGGAAAATTGTAGCAGTCTTCATCTTCTCCCCGGCATTGAAAATATATTCTTCTTTCCAAACCCCAGTAGCCAACCCTGCAGCAAAGGCTGCTCCAAGTGCTGTTGTCTCTATGTCAGCAGGTCTAACTACTGGACTTCCTATCAAATCTGCCTGTAGAACATTATTAACAAAAAATAAATAAATATCAGTTATGTGAAAGGTAACAGCTTTTGCAACAACCAATGAACACGAACACTTCAGTAACTATAAACACTAAAGAAGCATTACAAACTAGAAATCGGATAATGTTATTGGTAGGACATAAGTAGCATGATAATTAACAAAATTTAAAAAAAAAATAGAACTACAAGGAATTAGATGAAAGAAAGATATTCGTATAAAATAATATGCAATTAGTCCAAACCTGAATCTGCATCAACAGGTTGTTAACAGTTGCCCCACCATCCACTCTAAGCAAAAAATCCTTTTTTGAGGATTCATCCTGTGCTGAATCTTTATGCATTGAATCCAAGACATCTTTCACTTGGAAACACATGCTCTCAAGCACGGCCCGAGCAATGTGAGCTTTGCTTGTAAACCTTGTAATTCCAACAATAACACCGCGAGCATCATCACGCCACCATGGAGCAAATAATCCATTAAAAGCGGGAACAAAGTATACCCCACCATTGGATTCAACCTGTAATGCCAGATTCTCTATGTCTGAAGCACTTGAAATGAGGCCAAGACCGTCTCTAAGCCATTGCACTGCAGCTCCAGCAATAGCTATTGATCCTTCCAATGCATAATTGGTTGGAGCTTTGGGGCCAAGCTTGAAGGCTATAGTGGATAGAAGACCATGTGATGATTTAATTATCCCTTCACCAGTATTTAGTAGTATGAAAGCACCTGTACCATAAGTGCTTTTACCCTCCCCCTTACGGCATGCCTGTCCTAACATTGCAGCATGTTGATCCCCTAAACATCCAGCAATAGGGACACCAGCAATTGGCCATTCAGCCCCAATCTCTCGTATAACTTCAGAATTACTAACAATTTTAGGCAAAATTTCAGCAGGAATTTTAAGGGTTTGTAAAGTAGATTCATCCCACTCAAGGGTTTTTAGATTCATGAGCAATGTTCGAGATGCGTTTGAAACATCAGTAACATGCAATCCCCCCTTCACCCCACCAGTTAAATTCCATATCAACCAAGTGTCTATAGTTCCAAACAGCGCATCCTTTTTCTTTATGGCCTCCTTCACATCATCCACATTTTCCATCAGCCACAGCAGCTTCAATGCACTGAAGTATGTGCTAATAGGCAAGCCACTACTCTCCACAAAATGGTTTCTACCTCCGGATAACTCCTTTTCCAGTCTCCTGCCCCAGAAAAATTCAACACATCCAATCCATGAGACCATGAGATGACAGTTCTAACAAAAACAAAAGAACTGCAAAGGAAAGAAAGAGTGACCAACTCAACTCCAAACACGGACCATAAGTTGGACACACACTCAAAGCATTAGATTGGATAGGTCCATAAAAATAATATACAAACAAATCTATACCAAGCATATACAAATGATGAAGCACTACTCCACAAAATTATTAGTAAATGATTTGGGATTCTTGCACAGATTACTTATACAAGTATACACATGCATTCCTGTTTCGATTCATGTTGGATCACACGATACAAAATTGGAGACAAACACAGTTGCTTCCACAATTGATTTCAATTTCATGTTAAAATAAAAAATGAAAACAACATGTAGTTCCTTCCACTTGTTTCAATTTTTTTATATGATATTAGGGGTCAGAATCGATTTTCATAGTTATCTAAACAGACCGTTGCATGTTTGATTCCCCAATGAAAAATCTGATTCCGGTCCAAAATTAATTTTGAACAGTGTATTCGTATTCCCCATAGATGGATTCGGTCAGAATCACATCAAATTATCAGGTAAAAGTTTAGAAAGTGATCCTGGTCCAGGATTGATTTTGGGCCGAAGCAATAATTTGATGTTTGGATTAAAAAAACATTGAATTTTATTAGTAATTTGTGTATCAAAAGTGAAATCACATCAAAATCAATTTTATAAACTCTCCTCCAATGACATACTTAGAGATGCTACTAGTTTTATAAAGATTGAAAGAAAGAAGATAAAGAGAATGAGAAAAGAGGACCTGCAAATGGAAGAAGTGCGAGCATCCATCCAAACGATGGCGTTGTAGAGAGGGAGACCAGTGGATTTGCTCCAGACGACAGTGGTTTCTCTCTGATTGGTGAGACCGATGGCCTTGAGTCCCTTGTTGACGTTGAAGCCATCGGCAGTGGCCTTGTCAACAGCCTTGGTCACACACACCTTGACGCTCTCCAAGATCTCCATGGGGTCATGCTCCACCCACCCTGCTTGCGGGTAGAGCTGGGTGAACTCCACGTGGTGGCATCCGATTGCCCTACTTGCTCCGTCGTAGATTATGAACCTCGTGCTGCTCGTACCTTGGTCAATGGCACCAACGAACACATCCTCTTCTGACGACATAGTTTTTGCTGCTATTGTTGTTGATCAACTGAGTAGAACAAAACACACAACACCTCTGCCACTGTAAAACCAATGTCAACTAATAATGTGCTGTGTTTGTTTGGTATAATGTTTTTGAAACAGGGAAGGTCAATGTAGGGAGAAAAAAACAGAGAAAGCTTATGTAGTTTTTAATGTTTTTAATACTGAACCAATGATTAAACCGATCCAAATATTGGTTCAAAGGTTTTCGTTCAACAGGGATCAAATAGATATTAATAAAATTATTATATTAGTTATATAATACATAAAATAATATTTAAAAACCGAATATGATGCTAAAAATTCAATAAAACATGTTATGATATTCAAATTGAATTTCAATAATATTTTAGATTCATAAAAAATAATAAATATTTTAGATTGATTTTTTATAAAAAAAAATTAAAATTATATTAAATATTTATAATTCATCAACCTATTTTTATTGATTTTTTAATTTTTTTTATTAATTTTCTTTTTTTTCTAATATGTAACATTAATTTTGTGTTGAAAATATAACTTATTCTATAAATATATAGATTATTTTTAATCTTTATATAGATTTACGAATGTAACATATCATAACTAATTTCAAAAGTTGTTAGAGATATTTTACTTTTTATTTTTTTTTATAAAAAGTATTATTTGTAGTTAAAAGTAGATATTTAAATATTTTAAAAAAGAGAAAAAAAATCCCCTTTGATAAATTTCTAAATCCGTCACGGGAAGTTTCTGGTTGTAGTCTTCGAGAAACTTTGCGCTTTATCAGTTTCAAAGCTCAATCTTCAAGTTTCTGCATAACTAAATATCAATTATTGTTGACAACTACAAATCAAAAGTTAAGCTGAAATTGTTCAGCCCTTGAATAAAAAGCATAAGAGTGTTGGTAAATTTGTGATGATTAGTCTACATATTTTCCAAATTGCTTCACTAAAACAGTTAAACTTGGTAAAAATCAAGAACATTTAAACTAAAACTGATAATTTTAAACATCCTAACGTGTGGAAATGAAGAGGACACATGCACTTAGAGCCAATGTTGTGGATTGAACTGCAACAGATATTGGTAATCTTCCCTTGTCTTTTCTTAGGAAGAGTCCTTGGTACACAGGTATGTTGATGAGAACCAAAACCCCACTTAGTAGAACTTGCAATGCCATTGTGTCAAAAATTCTGAGACCCCCTTCAATGATGAACACTTGCTTTATGAAGGTGCCAAGAAGGCAAAACAAATTGAGCAATGCAAGTGTTGCTAGTAAAGTCAGCATTGGGGATGAGTTTCCAAACTCCATGACTTCTTTCTCATATCGTTGGGAAACATTTTCTTCTGCCACCTTTGCAGATACTATAAAGGTTGATTCTGAAAATCCAAAAATCTTCAAGATGGTATCTACGAAAGCAAAGAGGTAAGAGCTTGTTCTCTTGTATAGCCATATCCGTAGGTCATTCCACCAACCCTTGACTGTGCCTCCTGACCACAAAAACTCCATCAGGCAGTAAGAGGAATCGCCAAGCATGACATATGCATAGGGTATAAACCATGGACTTGACATCTGATCAATGCAACAAGGTAAAAAGTTAGAAGTTCATAAGTAGATACCAAACAATGTAACCAAGTCACATGTTTCATTTACTGTTTCCTTCCCTATTCCTCCAACTCAAAGCACATAAATTAGGAACAACTCCTTAGGTGACTTAGTGTTTTTTTAATTAGGCTTAAAAAACACTATCAAAAAGTACTTGAGAAACTAAATATAAGTTTTCTCTACTAAAAAACAATTCAGCAAAAACTTTTCAATTAGAGGAAGAGTCTTACTTTGTTTTTTTGCTTGTATTCAACTCATGTGTGCTTGAAGAACAAACATGAACTAAACTTTGTAGTGATGAAATTTAACTCTTTTGTTGTATGATGATGATACTAAGCATCTTATGCAATTTCCAATCCTACCATTAGACTGACTCTATTGGATTGAAATCTAATTAAGAATCATGACATGAAAGATCAAACGGATGACCTTACAAGCATTGAAGTCATTAAAATTTTGATTCAATTTCAAAGACTAAAAACACTTCTATTAGCATAAAAGTGAGATTCAGTCATTGACAACTATACTAGTGCTGCCAAGAAGGTCTCGCATTCGTACCTGTGGAAACAAGGGAATGCCTTTGAGGAGATAGAGTGAAGGGATGATGCAGTAATAGAGAGTTGGCCAAGAAAGAGTCACCCATAGGTTATAGTAACAATATGCCATTCGGAGGCCTGGATTGATGAATCCATAAGCATACCATGCACGACTATACTTAGAAAGCAAAACTTGAAAGCCTCCTTCAGACCATCTCTTATGTTGAACTAGTACTTGTGGCAAGGTGGTTGGAGCTACACCTAAGAAAGCACTCCTTTGAGGATTATAGTACACTGATTTCCATCCTCTGCATTTAATAGACAATCCTGTCACCACATCCTCTACTGAGCAGCCATATAACAGTCCCATCTGCAATCAGATATTCATATATATAGCTTCAATTGATTAGTCATTACACTTTCATTGATAACCTTTTATTATTGTGAAAAAACTATAAATCTAAGTCACACAGTCATACATTGCAGATCAAAATTAAAAGTTAGTCATTAACATATGACCACTTAAAAGAATTATGTGCATTTGTCTCTTAATCTTGATCGTTTAAATATGATCCAATAATTATTGCAATAACAAGAGCTCAAGAGAGGGACAAATGAGAAAGAATGTGACCTCTTTTCCCCATAAAGTGTTTTTCTCATAGGTACAACTAGCAAGAGCCTTTGATTTTTCTTCCAGTTCATGCAAGCTTGCTTCTTTCATATGATCAATATTCTTGCATCCATTCCAATCTTTCTTGTATTGGTTATTGAACTTTCTTCCACACAGTATCTCTCTTCTGTGAAAGCAGCCAGTTCCAATATACAGAGGCCCACCAAGTGCATCCATACCATGGAATTCCATCTTAACATGATCAAAGTTCAAATTGTCACAAACTTTAAGGTAATCTATCCAGCAGAGTGCCTTTTTATTGCAAGAAAACAATGCATAGAAATCATGAACAACTATATGTTTGATAAGCAAAAATCATTAACAAGTTTACCGCATAAACTACTTGCAGAGCACCACCATATATATCATTCTTCGTGATATTCTCAAAACACTGTGGAGTCTGCACAAAGGCAATTTCACGGCCTTGATCTTCATCCATTAAGAAGCAAAGTGCATCCCTTAGAGACTGGGAATTGTTTGAGTACATGTCACAATCTACATTAAGGATAATTTCCCCGTTGCTAATCATTGATGACACTCTTAACTGCATTTAGGACCAAGAATACATAATGCAACAAATGATTAATTAATTCACAACAACATGCACAAATCTTATCATCAATGTTAATGAATGGAAGGTATATGCAGTACCAATGAATTCATGGCTCCAGCTTTGAAGTTATGTGGAACTTGAGGTCTCTTCTCGCGAGCCAAATAAACCAATATAGGCATAACATTCCCATCCACATCTTTGGCACTCGAGTCCTTTCCATCAAGTAATATCTATAAAAAAAATAATACATGTTAGGCATAATATAGCAGTAAAAGAAAAGAGATTTGTAGTTATACATTATAAGGGTTAAAGTAACAAATGGTGGGTTGTAATTACATATTAATATAAAACAACTTTATACTCTCATTACATAACATTTGTTTAAGAAGGAAAATAATGTTTAATATATGATTGACATAAAATATATTAACTAAATAACGTAGAACTTTATTAAAAATATACATTAATTACGAGAATAACTTGTATAATAAATCAAAAGTGATTAAGAGAAAGTGTCATACTTGAAGAATTGTGTCATGGTCTGATCGAGAAGAATAAGAATCCCAAGCAGAAAATCCTTTATGCTTTGAGTGTAGTTCTTCAGGTACTCTTCCCATCTTGCCTGCATTTTCTATGCGACTTTCCATATCTTGGTATAATTTCTGCACCAAGGAATAAATTTTTTATTAACTGTTCATATTTTTTATTCTGACATTGTATTGAGTGACAACTAAACTGTGTCAAAGAGTAGATGATAAGTGAGTGACCTTGATTGTGAGTAATTCTTTGGCATGAGAACTTGAATGAGTTGACGAGGCAATGGTCTTGAAATAAGCAGCAGGTGAGGTGGGGTCGACCTTGAATTTTCTGCAGAAAGGAAGCCATTGTTTGGCAAAGATGGAAGCCTCAAAGAGAGCATAGAAGGTAATGTCTGATGCAGCATCATCTGAAAGATACACACTGAGTTTGTCTGGTGGATAATCATAAGCCATAACTGATAACACTGTGTTTATCACCATCACTGCTGGCTCTATCACTGGATCTGCTGTGCACACAAATATGTCCACTTTTGGCAACACCTCCTCATACCTGTTTCAAAACAATTGCAGCTTATTTTTTCTGTTTTATACTTGTCTATGAAATTTAACTTTGAAAATGGACCGATGGACGGTTTGAACAACCAATTGGAATAGAAATTAGTTAGATGATTTTTAATTAAATTGGAATAAAACTAAAAAAAAAATAGTTCAATTTTTGGGTTTAATCCGTTTTGATAAAAAAAAAATTAAATCAAATTTGTTTAATATAATTTTTTAAAAAAAGATATAATATATTTTAATTTTTTTATCTCTTATTAACTACATTAATTTTAAATAATAATTATTTTATTATATTTTTATCTTATTTTAATAATTATTTATTTTCACTCTCTAATATATTTTTATATTTGTAACATTATAATTTATTATATTTTTATTATTATTTTTCTTTTATAAAAAAATTTATTATATATTTATAATATAAACTTGATTGAATCTTTAAATCCTTAACATGATGGATTCGATTTTAAAATTATTACATTTAATTATGAGGTTGAAGTTAATAGTTTTATTTTATTTTTAACAAGATATTGAGAAATTTGTTTATGTTTCTTTTTTATAAAAAAATAATCAAAATAACAATTGTTTTTATGTGCTTGACTAATTTTTTATTTTAAAAATAAGTATTAAGAAATAAAATCTTTCTATTTATTAAGGAAGTGTTTTTTCAAAATTACTTACTTTAGAAATATCTTTTAAGATTTAAATTGATTATTTTTTATGTTTTTGGTAGTATAAACATTTAGTGACGGATTCAAAACTTTAATTTGATGACAAATTATTATAAAAAAATTATTATCATGAAAATAAATTATAAAATGTCAAACTGAATTAAGTGTACACTAAAAAAAGATGAAAACACGAAAAGAAGGCAATAAAAACTTAAGAAAGGGAAAAAAATAAAATAATAAGAGAATGGATTCAAATTATAAAAGGAGGGAAAAATAATAATAATAATAAAAAAATATTCTTATACTTCTCTCCAACTGAGTTGGTTAATTAAAAGTTGACTCTTTTTGTTAAAAAAAATGATAATATGAATTCAATCAACAAGGTTTAATGAATTAGGTAGATTGATTTGATTATATGTTTTTTTAACTATTTTTATTTTTAAAAATGATTAAAATAAATGAATTAGATGTATTGAATTCCTAACATATTTCCAAAAATCTATACTTACACGCGATGAATATAAATTAAATTGTTTAAAATTGAAGAAAGAAATAGATTATTGAGTTAATTTATTACTAATCTAATTTAAACTCTAGGTAGTGAAGTTAGAAAATAAGAAAGCTAAATTTTATTTTAGTTATTTTATCGTAAATTGATGAGATTTTGAAGTTTGTAGAAAGGTGTTGTTAAAGACGTACGGAGATATCTTTCTGCCTTACCTTGTTTTTTCCAAATTTTCTATCTACAAAATCATCACCAAATTTATCGATTGTGACATTTCATAAAATGTATTTTTCTTTTTTATAAAGTTTACATATATATTCTAATTTTTATAAATTAACTATTTAATATTTTAATGTCTTTTAACATATTTGAAGAATTTATAAAAAATTTAAGTTGATTTCTTATAAAGTAGGAGAATCTGATACTCTTATTTGATAAAGATATAATATAATATTTAATAAAAAAAACGATAAAAATATTTTTCTTCAATTTAATATGGAATTAGAATTAACTCTCACATATTGTATTATAAAAAAAAAATTCAATAACCTTTTTTTGTTCAGAACCCTTCATAAGTAATCTTTCTCGAATTAAAATTAAGAAGGAAAATTATCCTTAGAAGTCGACCAAAGAGATGGAGAGTGTTTTATCTTATAATATCATTTCTGAGGAGACCATCTCTCTTATAAAATTGAATAAATTATTTCATCATTTTTTATATAAATCTTACTGTGTTAAGAATTTAAAATAAAAAATTGGAATAATTTATATATATAATAAATATGTGAGTATAAAACAAGCAATATAGTTTTGTAAAAGATTCAATCTACTCTTTAACCTTATTACATTGATTTGGATTCATTTTCATAGCTATAATTTATAACAGTAAAAATAAAAATAAGAATGAATGAATGAAAGAAGAATGGACCTTTGTGATAGTCTATCTCTGAAAGGTTCTCTGAACCGAGGGTTCCATCTGAAAGGGTGTCTGAGGAGCCAGTAAAGACCAAACCATAGTTCAACACAGAACATCCCAATCCAACCCCATTTTCCATCTTCACCTTCTCTGGGTATGTGACTCACTCTGTAAACCCAGATGAAGCATATCCCCACAAACAGTGACAAACTAAACACTTTGTAAAAGACTCTTCCTTTTGCTCTCTTTGTCTCAAACAATGGACTATGCTCCTTCTCTGCCATCTCTTCTCTTTCTTCCACTCTCTTCTGCTTATCACTTCTTCTACTATTTATACAACAATACACACACTTCGTTATGGTGAAGAGGCATTGCAGAGTTTGAAGCTTATACGATTCATATGTGGTCATGTTATTGACATTGACATACTTACTATGCACTAATAAGGTCCCACGCCAAAACAATTCTACTCAAAATATCTATTCGGTTGGATAAGAAAAGTCAGAAAAAAAAAGTTTAAAATAATCTGAACCTCTCTCTCTCTCTATATATATATTTGAGTTTTTTTAAATTTAACAATTTTAAATATAAATTAAATTTATTTTTTAATTATATATTATAATATTACTATATTTAAAATAGACGTATTTTCTTATCATCGAGGAAATTATATTGTTCCATTCTTTTATTTTAAAAAAAATATTTCTTAATATTATTAAAGTTAATTTTTATATTATCATTAAAATAGAATGTATCTAATTTAATTTTATTTTTTAATAAAATAAAAATTATATTTATATAAATATTATAATATTATTGTATTTTTAATTAATATAAAATTTTATTATATTCTTTTTTAGAGATTTTTTTCTTACTATCCTCATTTTGAATAAGGTTTTATCTTTTTATCTATAGAGAAAAATTTCTTCTTAAAAAAAATATAAAATTTTACATTAATTATATATACAATAATATTATATTATAAAAAATGACTACGTATACGATAATATTTTAAATTTAATTATATTATAATTGAAAAAATTATTTCGTAGAAGCTTTTAAATACACTTTTAATTCTTGAACGTTGACGTTGTCTCTATTGGTATGTAGGAAGGCAAAACAAGTTGGATTTGACATGTTTAAATGTTAACTTGTCCTTATTATCAGTTTTTTCCATTCATTACTTTGTTCTTATTTATTTTGTCTATTTTATCAATTTTATGCACTATTTCTTATAGTTTTATTTTATATCACACCTAATTTATTAAAATTAAAATAAAATATATTACAAGTTAAATAATTAATATTTTTATTTTATAACTATATAATTATTTAAAAAAATTGGTACTGTTTTTCCACGAGACAAGTCAAGACTTATAATTTATCAATATGACGGGTCAAACAATTCTAAGTTATCTTTATTTTTAACTTTTTCATTAGTTGATTTGGGCACCACATACACAACTAATTAATTAAAAGTTTAATATATAGATTAGTCTCCATTAAATTGGTTGAACTTTAATCTTAGTTTATATAATTTTGTAATATCTCAAAATTGAAAATTGGATTCCTACTTAATATTAATTATTTATATGTTAAAAGAAAGATTGAATGTTTATACTAGGTACCATAATGCAATATCAATATATGATATATTTTCTAAATCTATAAAATAAAATTATTCATTTATCCTAAAATCATTTTTAAAGACTAAAAATATTGATACATTGTGCTAATAATTAATGTTTACCCATTTTTGTCTCATACATTTATTATATTATGTTAATAAACCAATAGCAATATATTTAAATTTTAAGCGACAAAAAATAGACATTTTATCAAAAGGAAAAAAAATCAAAATTTAACTATTTTAAGAGTATGAAAAAAATAATTTCGTAAAATTTAACAACTAAAATGATGATATAAATTTATTTTTTTTAGGGACTAAAAATAATAATTTAAATAAATTAAAAATAAACAAATAATTAAAGAAAAAAATATTCTTAATTTCTTTATTCTGATTTTAATTCATCATAACTCAAAATGAATAATAATAATAATAATAATAATAATATTATTATTATTATTATTGAAACCTAGGTCAAAATATTTCCTACTAACTTCTTATTAAAACTTGAAGTGATGTTTTGATGATGATGATAAGTTTGGTCAATAAAGTTGCAGAGTTCAAAAGTCTTCATAATTACATAATTGAAGTTCAAAATTGAACTTTCATTCAATGAATCTAAACTCCATCTTATTTTATTAAGTGGTCAATCTTCAAATATAATAATCCAAATCCTATGCCACTAAACTCCATTAGTGGATAAACTTTCAAATATACCGATCCAAATCATATTCTACCATTTATAATTTTCATATTTACAATAGTTCCATCTTAGAAAATCATTAATAATAATAATAATTCGAATGATAGTATTTATAATAATAATAATAATAATAATAATAATAATATTATTATTATTATTATAAATGTCCACAGTGATTATATGATATGATCAAATGGACTGTTGATCGGTTTGATATCTTTATAAAGTTAAAAAAATTAATGATTTAGTTTAATTTATATTTTTAAATTGATTGTAATTTTTTTAAGTATGTTTTATGTTAGATTAATAGGTTATCTACATAATGTTGACCTGATTGAAGATAAAAGTTATTAATATATTTATATTAAAATAATCAATTAAAAATATTTAAATAAAAATATATTTTTAAAATATAAATTATATTAATAAAATTAATTTTTATTTTAAATATAATAATTTAATATATTAATTTTAAGAGAAGAGATTAAAATCTTAAAATAAGAGTTAAAATTTTATTTTTCATTATCGTAATTTTTAGTTATCATTTATTATTCTACCATACTAATTCATCTTAATTATTGAATTTTAAAATAAGTGTATATTAAAAACCTTTTTTATATTTATTTTTAAAATAAATAAAATTTTATAAGACGGGTTGTATGATAGGTTTAAGAATTAACTTAGTTTAAGTTCATGTAAGTAATGTCTTAAACACGTCAAATTAAAATTAAAATAGGTTTAATTTAATTTAAATTACACTTAAAATTTTTTTTAACCTCAACTATTTTTTAGATTTTATTAGATGATATGTCATATTAAAATTATTTTGTCATCATTGTCATGACAATTAAATTCATATATACGGAGATCGATTCATTCTTATCTCGAGTTTGACGAGCAAAAAATTAAGTTGATTGGATTGATTTTTCCAGTTTTAAAAAGTTAGAGACAGGACGAATATGGGTATTGTAATCCCCAACCTGGCCTCGGTCCCGTCCTCGTTCCCCGACTTTATATATTAAATTTAAATTTTAAAATATTAATATTGTAAAAGTAGTTTATTTTTTTCATTATATATAAGGTTATTTTTTTATATTTCACAATTTTTATTTTTCTTCTATCTACTTTTTAATTCTTTTGTCTTTTTACATTTTTTATACCAACTAGTTTATTTCATTATTCTTTATTTATTACCTTTAACTTTTTCACATTTCTTTAATCTCTCTAATCAATTTATTTTGTTTCAATTTTTTAAACTAATTTGACAAACACAAAGTTAATTTTTTTCTTTACATATTTTACATAAAACTTAATAATAACTAATATTATTTTATTTATAATTTATCTTTATTAAGTTTTATTATGTCATATTTTTTTATCTTATTATTTTTATTTGTAATATATGAAATTTTATCTTAATAAAATAATTATATTTGAAAGGATTAAAAAGAATTAATAATTCAATCTTTTATTACTTTGAATTAATTAAATAAGAATTAACTTATTAAATATTTTCTTATAAATTATATATTTTATATTTTTAAATAATAACTTAAAAAAGAAATAATTTATATATATAATCAAAATGTTTGAATATATAATAATAATAATAGTATTTTATATTTATATAAAAAAATAATAATTTTTTACCTACATATTTTAATATAAATATAACAAATATATATATATATATATATATATATATATATATAATTAGTAATAACTATAAATTACAAATATCTATTTATGTATAAAAATATATATATATATATATATATATAAATATTAAAATAAGTATAATAACTTTTTTAAGAATAATGTAGATCAAGATAGAAAAAAATTAGAAAATCCAAATCCATTAAAGACAAAAATAGGATTTAATTTTTAACATAAAAAAAAAAAAGGAACAATAACGGTTAAAAAAATCTGGAGGTAAAACCCGGTCTCGCAGGTCACGCATTACAAAATTCTTACAATAAACGCTCTTGAAAGTTTTATAATTCTTTTTTTTTTAACTACAATAGTGGTTTGTTTCATGAAAACTTTTGTTTCCAAATGGAAATGCAACTTTCCTTTTGTAAAAAGTTTTAAAAACGAAAGTTGTATTTAAAAAAAAAAAACATGTTTAAAAAACAAATTATTTGTATAAATATAATTTACTTATTTTTGTAAATGTTTTGAAGTTCATTCATATAATGAATTGGGCTTTTACTAGACCCAAGTGACGGGTTATCCTGAAATAAGAAATTTCGGCCCACACTTCTAAATGTTGAGTAAAGTTAACATCTTGATCCAAGTGCTAATTAAATATTTAATATGCGTTATTATACCTTTAAAAATTTTATTGTTTTAAAGAATCTTTTAAAATCATTTAATTATTTTTATGTCACAATTGATAAACATTTATATAACTAAACAAATATAATCACCTAAATCAATTTATTTTTAATAGCATAGGTTTATACGATTCATCTATCTAAAAAATATAATTAATTTAAATAATGTTTTAAGAGTTTTTTTTTTTTAACTTTGTGATGGAAATTGAAGAGAAAATCCACTAAAAATAATTAATTAGGATCTTGACGAAGATTAATCATCATAAATTCAACAAAATCTTGACAAAAAAAGATCAGCTTAAAAAGAGACACTTTTGTTCTCTTCACAAATTTTTCGAGCCATAAATTTAAAAAAAAAAAAACAAGAAAAGGAAAAGGAAAAAATTGATAATAACAAAATCATGGACATAGTAATTAATTTTATAGGGCATGGTCGTGAAAACGAGATGGGGAAAGAAACAACAATAATAGAGGAAGTGTGAATAAAAGTGTAGGGTTCAACGTCCTACAAAATCCAATGGTAGGTCAAAATGGCACAATCGAAACCCCACAAATGGCTTCATCGAAGACGAGAAAGCGATTTGTGAATTGTGTAATCTGAGGTTATGATGCAAGGTTTCTCCTTTCGGCACCCATGGAACCCTAATTCAAAAAGAATACAAAAAAACTATAAATTACAAAAGAAAGTAGTTCACCAACAACACTTTCATAGCACAATCAAAATGTTCCTAATCCTACTCATATTTTAAAATACATATTATAAAATTAATTTTCACAATCCTTTATTTTACTCAAATGTGCTGTTGAGATAAAAAAAAAAACTTATGAAATTAACATGTGTAATTTGTTCAATTTTCTCGTATTTTTTTTTTAATTTTCACTTCAATCTATTTTCTCTCAATTATTGGAGACAAACTTAGAAAAACAAGGAAGAAAAAAAAAAAAAGAATTTGCCTTTTTGCTGTCTAAAACATTTCTTTCTCTCACCATCTCTTTCGTTTTCCAATTGGTGTCATCGTCACCCGAGGGTGTTTTCTTGGACGGTGCCTCCGGTGACGTGGCGAACCCTCACGCCAAACCAACGCATAATACAACAAGGACAAAATTGTCATTTCACGAAAAGGCACAAGCGTACAACGTTTTGAAACGAAAAGGGTGAGTCTAAACTGCGAACGGGTGCACACGATTCCGCACTCTCATCCCTTTGAACTTGACTACAGCTGAAAGAAAAAATTTGTCTCGAACAGCTTTCGGAGTTTTCAAACCCACCCATCACTTTCTCTCTCTAATACCTTTCTCTCTATCACTCTCTCTCTTGAGAGATACAATATTGGAGCTTTTGAAAAAATTTCAGAGTCGGCTTTGTGAATAGGCCTTGGAAGGTGAGTTTTACTCTTTTTTTTTTTTTTTTTTTTTGTGAATTATGTTTGGGATTTAGTGAAGGTGGAGACTTTGATGGTGTTGGGGTTCTGGGTGTTTTTGAATTGTTGGGAGAAGCTGCTTTTCGATTTTTCGTTTGTTTTGCTTCGTTGGCTGTGGTTTCAATTCATGCTGTGTTTGCGGCGTTTGATGATGTTTTTCTGTCGTTTTCGGGTCGCTTTGACCGACTTGAGGGGCTATTAATTTGCAGTGTTCTCCACTCTGCCTTGTAGGTTGGACAACCTCTGTTGGATAATAAGGTTTCAATATTTTTAAATATATATTTTTTATATTTTTCGTGATCTTTTTATTCTGAAGGATAGTTTGGATTGTAAAACCCTTTGAAAAGAAAATAGAGAGTTGAATTTGAAGTGTTTTGGTGTTATCTTTTTGCATGTAAAGTTTGGATTGTCTGGAATCTTTGCATTTTGTGTTTGGAGCCTATTTGCATGCAGAAGGGTCCTTGACCTCTCAATTTGTTATGAAGGATGGATTTTGTGAGTGGGTTTTGCACTGGCATTGTGCAATTTACTTGATTCTTTGGTTTGCTTATACTTACGCATTGAAGGGTTTGTGGTGTGGATACTAGTTGGTTATTGTGTGAGGATTATGCCGATTTTTTTAAGGTTCTTATTCGGTGGAACTGGAGATATTCTGGAATCTTGGAGGCTGTTGGAGGTTAATCCAAAAATAAGCTTTTGATAATGAAAGTTCAAAACTCAAAAGTAGTTTTGGGATAGAATCTTGTTGTTTCAATATACCCAAGAGCCACGTGTATTACTGATTTTAGGGTTCTATCATGTCTCTTGATTCTGACAATGCACAACAATAAGTTTTTATTTATTCCCCTTGGTGGGAGAATGATCCTGTGTCCACCACAAAGTCATTGTGATAGATTTTTGGTCTCTGGAGTTTTGCTTCTTTAACTTGGTTTGGTAGTGGTCTTCCTTCGTGTGTTTGACTAGAAATTCTTGAAATATTGAATTTTGAATGATTGACGTTTATAATTTACTAGTTCATGATGTTAATTCTTTTCTTTTAATTTCTTTCTGGTGACTTATTGTTTACAACAGGTTGGTTTCAAAGTACTTCATATTATAAGACACAATGGTAGCAAAAATCCGGCAAAGTGCTACTGAGTCTCCTAATCCGAAACCTGAGGTTGGAGAGATTGACACCAGCCCACCTTTTCAGTCGGTTAAAGATGCTGTCTCTCTCTTTGGTGAAGGTGCTTTCTCTGGTGAAAAACCAATCATTAAGAAGGCAAAACCTTATTCTGCTGAGGTAATTGTTGTTTTTGTACTTCTATGTGTTCTCTACCACAACCATGTTGCAAGATTACATTGAAAGTTGCAGGGTGTAGCATGAACATTGTATGATTTTCAAGGTAGTCTATTTAACCCTTTAATTAATAAGATGAGAAAAAAAAAACTTTATGAAATTAATTATATGCATTTAATGAAGCAGCTAGTTACTCAGTTTACTTAATAAGTTTTACACTATTATATTGTCTTTGAGTCTTTCTCCATTGTGCAAGGAATTACTTGACTCTAACAATGTCAGATTAGTTGTCCTTATAATAGGACTTGAAAATGCAGATTCAATTATATTGAGTAACTCTGGAAATTTTCTCTGTACTGATAAAAATATGGTATAAGTTTCAGAAAAAGGTTCTGCATACAAGAGTATCCTCCCTCTTTCTCTCTCTATAACTTAAACGTTATAACATAAGTCATAGAACCTAAGGAAACCTCTATGACTAAAGGCCCCAAAACCATACTCAATTCATGCTTAATACTATTTCTTCCCCTTATGCACATATACTTCCTCAAATCCTTCATCTTCTCCTCTCACTGCCACATCAACATTCTGTTATGCTGTAGCCTGATAGCATGAACATTCTCAATGTGTAAACGATCACTTTGGTCCCCAAATTTGTAGGGTGCAGTTACATTAGTCCCTGAGTTGAATGAAATTAAATACAAGTCCTTGAAAGTGTAATTGACAATCACAATAGTTCAAAATTAAAAAAAAAAAAAAAAGTGTGACTAAAGTGATAACATTAATATATTTAAGAACTAAAATGCCATTAAATAGTTAAATTTAGGGGTTTATTTGTCATTTTCTTAGTTTCAGGACTAATATGACCATGCCTACCACTTTAAGGGAATGAACTGGTTGTTATACGTTGTTTTTGTTCAGTTTATTTTAAGATCTGAATACAGGAAGATGTTGTGTTCATCATTTAAGCGGGAATCTCTTGATATAAATTTCAAGGGCAACATTACATTTTCCACATAACATTCAAATTTATATCCACCATTTTAGGTAATCAATTACCATACGAATCTGTTTAATACATCACTTAAGTTGATCTAGCAACAGCAGCTTATCTAACTTCTGATCTCTTCATTAGGTTATCCGATAATAATTTTATATTTCCTAATTTCAAGATTAGTTTTCAATGTACTTTGTCTTTTTCAATTTGCAATTTACAAGTTTGTTCGTTCACTAGAGAGTTTTGGCCAAGGAGACACAACTTCATGTAGCCCAAAAAGAGCTGAACAAGTTAAGGGAACAAGTAAAGAATGCTGAAACTACTAAGGCTCAAGCTCTTGTGGAGCTTGAAAGGGCTAAAAGGACAGTTGAGGATCTGACACACAAGATAAAAGTTATTAGTGATTCTAGGGAATTAGCAATCAATGCTACAGAAGCTGCAAAGAGTCAGGCAAAACAACTTACAGAAGAAAAGTATGGTATACCTGACATAACAGATGGTGCTTGGAAGGAAGAATTAGATTCTGCAATTACAAGGTATGCATCTGTCATGACGGAACTTGCTACTGCAAAGCAAGTACTGAGCAAGACTCGACAAGAGTATGATTCGTCCTTGGATGCAAGAAAGTCTGCTGTCAAGCTAGCTGCAGAAGCTGGAGATGCATTGAAGGAAAACACAGAAAGAGCATCTGAGCTTTCTAAAGAAATTTCATCTGTAAAGGAGTCGATTGAACAATCAAAGCTTGCATCTATTGTAGCACAGCAGCAGCAAGCAAATATTGTGGCTGAGAAAGATGTTCTAAGACAATCATATAAAGCTACCCTGGAACAGTCTGAAAAAAAATTGCTTGCTTTAAAGAAGGAATTCAGTCCTGAGCTTGCCAAAAATCTTGAAATGCAGCTGGCTGAGACAATGAGTGCAATTGGGACTCTGCAAAAGGAAATGGAAAATAAAAGGACATCAGACTTGGACTCTGTGAAAACTGTCACTTCGGAGCTTGATGATGCTAAGGAGTCACTGCAAAAAGTAGCAAATGAGGAAAGCTCTCTTAGAAGTTTAGTGGAATCTCTCAAGGTGGAACTCGAGAATGTAAAAAAAGAACATTCTGAATTGAAGGAGAAGGAATCTGTAACTGAATCAATTGTTGGGAATCTGCACGTCAAGCTCCGGAAAAGCAAGTCTGAACTTGAAGCCTGCATGGCAGAAGAATCTAAAGTTAGAGGTGCATCTGAGGAAATGATCTTGACGCTTAGCCAGCTGACATCTGAAACTGAAAATGCTAGGAGGGAAGCAGAAGATATGAAGAACAAGACAGCAGAATTGAAGAAGGAAGCTGAAGTTACCATGCTTGCATTAGAAGAAGCAGAGAAAAAGCTTAAAGTGGCGCTGGAAGAGGCAGAAGCAGCAAAAGCAGCGGAGAAAAGTGCTCTTGAGCAGATTACTGTTTTAACTGAAAGAACTACTGCTGCACGTGCATCAACATCTGAATCTGGTGCTGTGATTACAATCTCAAAAGAGGAGTTTGACTCACTAAGCCATAAAGTTGAGGAGTCTGACAAATTAGCAGACATGAAAGTGGCCGCTGCCAAGGCACAAGTTGAAGCTGTGAAGGCTAGCGAAAATGAATCTCTCAAAAGGTTAGAAACAACTCAAAAGGATATTGAGGATATAAAGGCTGCAACGCAGGAAGCTCTGAAAAAGGCTGAAATGGCTGAAGCAGCAAAGAGGGCAGTGGAGAGTGAGCTCCGAAGATGGCGCGAAAGGGAGCAGAAGAAGGCTGCAGAAGCTGCATCTCGAATTCTGGCTGAAACACAGGTGTCAACAGAATCATCTCCACAGCATTATAGGATTCAAAAGCAGAGTGCTCCTCATACAACAGTGGAGGTGAGGAAGTTTGAAAAGGAGAAGGTTTCAGTTTCAAAAAAAGCCCTCTTGCCTAATATCAGTGGCATCTTCCAAAGGAAGAAAAACCAGGTTGAGGGTGGCTCCCCTTCTTATCTTCCTGGTGAGAACCCTGTATGAAATATCTAATGTGCAGCAGTTTGTGCAGCTCTTGAATGTGAGAGAAACATTTATTTGTGTGTAGTTGAGGAATTTGATCAGATTTTGTCATTGTAGCCTGTTTGAAGGAAAAGATTGTGTAGTGTTTATAGCTTGGTGATAAATTTGGAGATGCATAATGTAAATGGAACCAGAAGTAAGATTAAAATCTATTGTTTTTTTTTTCCTGTTAATACTAAGCTATCATGTCTGGTAGTTTGAACTATATTTGAAGGAAAGGATTGTGTAATGTGAATAGTTTAGTCTGGTTACAATTCTAGGAAATGCATCATGCAAATGGAACCAATAATAAGTTAAAGACCTGCTACCTTTTTTCTGTTGGTAGAAAGCTTTCTTCTGTTCCTACGCAAAGTTCTTGTTTTAACATGCACCCTCTTTGTAAATGCAGTAATTAGACCACCACCACTACACAGTTTTGAGGAAAAAGTTGTGGCATCCTAATCAAAATCGAAGAAAATAAATGTGTTTTATGATGACTTGTATTGAAAGTCTATTATTATGAGAGAATATTTTTCATTTCTTATGTTTCTAGTGGAGTACTCTTATAGGGTGATTAACTCAGTAAATCTTGGAATTTGTAATTTTCCTTTAGTGGGTGAACACTTTTATTAGAGCATTTTCATCATTGTAGGCAATAGAAGAGAAGTTCAAACAATTATTTTGCAATTATATACTGTCAATATAATTTCTATTTGCGAAGTTAATCAATAAAAGATCGATGCTAATATAGTTTTTAAGATAATTGTCGTAACATTCAACAAATTTAACAAAGTTAAAAAATAGAACTTCTTTGCAACATTAATACATCACAACCAATAACATTATCCAGATCCTATCTCTTACAAACGATCAGGAAATTGTGCTTAAATATTAAACCAGCAAGTTCTGGTTATGAAAAATGCTTTATTAAAAATATAAAGTGTGCAACGATCTTTGATATTTGAAAGAGATTAGAATTGTTCAACTATAATGAAGGTTGAAGGTGTGAAATGTGAAGATCATTGACACATTTTATGGTGACAAAGAAAGCATAAAAAAAACATGTCTTGCTTGTGAAATTTTGAAATTAGCTTTAAAAAGAACTGAGTGTCAATTTTACGATAATTCATCAAGTGACCGATTCTACTACATGATTGAGTCTAAGTAAGTTGAAATCTCGTAACTTATAATCTAAACCCCTCGTAGGATGGAAAAATATTCTATATATTTTAACTTGTTATATTTTTTTCATTAATAAATAACACATAATTAAATAAAAGGAGTAAAATATAAAAATAGTAATGATAAGAATAATTTTAAAAATATATAAATATATATTATTTTTCTTAATATAAAGAGGAACATGAAGAGACTCTTCTAATACACACATGAGTTTATTAATTAATAAAAATTCATTTATTTTTTTATCTTCTCTCAATATGAAGAGACTATAACTTACACTTTAGTTTATTGATTTATAAAAATGAATTTATTTTTTATTTTATTTGAATTTTATTTACTAGAGGGAGGAGGAAAAAAGAGGGACAAAGTGTATATATTTATGTAGGTTTAATTTATCACAAAATAAAAAAGATTATATTAAATACATAGTTAATTACTTTGATGTTTTGATCCATTTATGGTTTATTTTTAAAGATACTAAAAATTATAATTTAATGTTTGATTAAAATAGTTTTATGGTAAAATAATTTATAAAATTTAACAAAAAGATTTGATTGTTGTATGTTGAAAAATCTATTCTGTCATAATTTTTTTTCTTAAAAAAATCAAATCTATAAAGTCAATTTCACAATAAAGATGGTACATCCGACCTCACAGGAAAAGAACCTCTCTGCCAAAAACAAAACATCACCAAAGAGAAAGCATTGCACAGACAAACAGTGCACACTCCTGCAAGTTGCAATCAGTTCCACACTCATTCACTGGCCCTCATTCTCGTTTTTTTGTCACAAAAGACTCAAACTTTAGCATTTGGACGAAGATGGGTAGCACCAGCAATGCCTCTTCTTCAGATTTATTCTTCCGCCGCCATGTGTTCCTGTGCTACAAGAACCCCGCAGTGTGGCCTCCGCGCATTGAGGCTGCCGAGTTTGATCGATTGCCCAGGTTGCTTCACGCGGCCATCAATGCAAGGAAGCCGCATATTAAGAAAGAGGTTGTCTTTTGTTTTCCTCTCATCATTCTTGGTTTGTTTGGTGTTTTTTGTATCTGTAATGTATTTTTTTTGTTTAAAAATGATTTATTTTTTCATTTTCTTTTGGGATGGGTGTGAAACTAGAGCTAGTTGGGTGTAGGTTGCTAGGGAGAGAAGGAGAATGCGAAAGGTTGTTATTTTTGTTCTAGCGAGGGATAACGAACCAGTTTAGTTTTGGGATCTTTTGTTGAACTCTTGTAGTTGTTGAGATGGGTTTGGTGTTTCTTTATTGATTCTTTTTGCCTAGGTCCGTGAATGGATGGATGGATGGATGTCTAAGTGTGAGAGGAATAAACTAGAGTGTGTTGGAAAGTAATGGTAACAGCTTGAAATGAAGTCAACATTCTGTTGTTTAATTATTCTCTATGATGGAATGATGATGAAATGGAATGGAAAGGACTTCTACCCCATACTTGAGAAAGAAAAGGAGAAGTATTGGATGAAGTGGCTTGTTTTGTTTTAAAGTATCCAAATAATGGGATCTGGGCCATATTTGGATAGACTTTTCCATGAAAGCTTGCAGGTAAGTTGATTCCAGTTTATGGAAAAATTCATAATTTCCTTTCCTTATTATTTCCTTCTGTAAATACTTGTGGGAAAAGTTTATCCAAATACGACTTTAGTACCATTCCATTTCATTGCTTTTCACCAATCCAATGTAGCCTGGAGAATAATGTAGGAGTGGTTTGATTTAAAGTTCTTTTGTTTATGTTGTTATTTTGTGAAGTTTTCTCACTAAATTCTATATGAATTTCATGATATGTGGGTTCTGTTATTAAAGATAATCTACTAATGTAGTGGAAATGCTGTCTGGAATAAATGATATTCGCTCATTATTCAGTTTCTGGCAGTGATATAGGGCCTGTTTGGGGAGAATGTATAGTTGAAGCAATGTTATTGGGATAGAATAACAGGTGATGAGATAACCCTGGTAATTTGGGGTTTGAGTTCTTAGTTATTTTCTAAAATTAATGCTGCCGAAATATTAATATCTGTCTTGTTTTATAGCCAAAATTGCTTCAAGCTTATTTTGATTAAATCAGTTTACTCCTTTACAGGGTTTTTGGTTTATTTTTGTTTTCGTAATCAGTTTATATATTTTTGGTTTATAACTATAACTTCAAAAATGTCACCTTATATTGGTTCAGTCTGTTTCCTAAATTCCTATTTTATTTCCTTGTTTTCCCCATTTCATTCACATAATTCTAAAACCAGGAAACTGAACAAAAACAATGTAATATATGTGTAATCATTAATGAAAAGTGAATGTTAAAAGTGAACCAAAGACCCCTTAGATTATACTGACTGTGCCTAATTGTTTGGGATTCATCATTTACTAGACCTGCTTAACAATATGTGAGGGGCATGATGGGACTGAAACATCAAATGGGGATGCATTAATCTTTCCCGACATGATCAGATATAGGTTAGTACTTATAGTTTGAGTTCTGTTTCACAACTTCTAATTCCCTTATGAGTCTTCTCTCTTGTTTTCCTTTATTCCTTATCAACAGTAATTTTAGTGAAATTGCAGGAGATTAACCCATTTTGATGTTGAGACATTTGTTGAAGAAGTTCTTGTCAAGGAGGGAGAATGGCTTCCTGGAAATCCTGAATCCTTAAAAGCTTCATATGTATTTGTGTGTTCTCATGGTTCCCGCGATAGAAGATGTGGGGTTTTTGGGCCTGTCCTGGTCAGTAGATTCAGGGAAGAGATAGGGTTACATGGACTCCAAGGCAAAGTGCTGATTAGCTCGTGCTCGCACATTGGGGGGAGTAAGTATGCCGGAAATGTTATTATATTCGGATCGAGCATCAACCGAGAAGTCACTGGCCACTTGTAAGGAAGAGATTTTCCTTGGTTATTAACATTTCTTTTGTCAATAGAACTTTCATTTCTTCTCTAAACTTGAGAAATACCTTTATAACATTGTTTCTTTATTTTGATAGCTGATCAGAATTGCTATTAACTACACTATGTAGGTATGGATATGTTACTCCGGATGATGTGCCTTTATTGTTTCGCCAGCATATCATTGCAGGGGAGATTTTTGACTCACTATGGAGGTAATATCTGTCGACAACATTATTTAGTGTTAAATTTTTAAAGGTTCTTTTTCTTTTAGTTCCATACTTCAAAAGACAATGCTGGAAAAGGTCATATTTTGGAGAATGTAATAGGAATAACTTGTATAAATTAACTTTTTCACAAGTTAATTTTAACTTATGAAAAAGTTGATTTCATTTTTTTTCTCTTCTACAAATGTTTATGGAAAAGTTTCTCCAAACAGCACCCTAAAGTTTGCTGTCATTCTCAAGTTTGAAAGTCTCAAAATTAAGAATGAAATTGATGGTTAAAAGGAGTGAAGTGGCAAATTTCATAGTCTTTTCAGGAATTAGTTTTCCGAGATTGTTTCTAACATTTCTTGGGTTTTATTAGTATATGTAATTTTGTAAGTAGAATTTTTTTTATTTGAGATTATTTCTCGTTTATAAATTTAGTCTGATTGGTTCAACTTATTTTAGTTTTGGGTGACCACTCGTGATTTGAATGATCTTATTGTATAATGATCAGAAACATGTTTTGATATATTTTTCCTATCAGGGGTCAAATAGGTTTATCAGAAGATGAACAGAAGAAAAAGCAAGAACAAAGGCTTCAGGTGAACGGTGCAAGAAATTTAGAAGGAAGCACGGTTGCAAGCCGGTGTCAAACAGATGGGGAGAGCTGTTGCCAGGACAATGAAGACTCTTGTTGCTGTCAGAATGATGTATTAGAGGAAAGGAGAGAGCTTTCAGCTAATAAGAACAGGGAGAATCTGAATGTGCTTTGTCGGATGAACAAGGGCAAAGGAGTGTCAGGCAAATTTAGTTCCATGCCGACGTGGCTTGATAGCTGGGAGCAAGAGGATACCTATGCTGCTCTTGCTGTTGTTTGTGCTGCTGTGTCGGTAGCCATAGCCTATAGCTGCTACAAACAGATGAGATGAGAAGAATCAGGTCAACAGTTTGATGGCAATGTTGTCTAGCAGTGGATGAGATATCTTCATTTTTCATGTTGCAAGTTCAGTTCTGCCTTGTTTCAAACATGCAGGGGAATCAGTATCTGAAATGTTGACTGCTGTTGGTACCTGGAATTCACCCTTACCTTCTTCATCTGTACATACATGAAATCTTAGCCTGGGCATGTTTAAACTAAATATTAGTAGTTTATTTAGGTGGAATGGACTGTAACATCTACTAACTAGATGTAAAGCTAATTAACTTCGGTGTTTGATGGTTTGCAAACTACACACATTTTAGTTTATTAACATCCATAAACTTCTTTATAAATGTCTGAAAAAATGGTGTTAGTTAATATAAAAAAAATATGTTTTCGTATGTTACAGAGGAATTTGTGTTGTTTTCTTCACAAAAACATATTTTATAGAAGTATTCATTAAGATATTTAAAAATAAAATCATTATTTTGTTGTGTAGTAATTTCATGGTTGCATGTCTGATTTATACTATGTGAAATATGGTGTACCAACGCTAATAGAGTAGTTACTTAACGAGTGTCTGATCGGTTCGTTCTTGGTAATGAACTTGATGGTGAAATATATATCGTTCATAAAAACCTGATAATAATAATATATACACTGAAACAAATCCTTTGTGGAACAAGATATAGTAGTATTTTTAAAGTAAGAACAACATTTTAGCGTGTCATCACGTATTTTTTTCCAACACAGATTATATTTGCAGATCTCAAACTTCCAAGTTTCCATGTTTTTTATAACAAAACTTTGATTGCTTATCATTCATGTATAATCAAGTATAATTATATCAGTACTTTTACATTATACTGTATTTCTACTCCTCATTTTTTTTCCTTAAAAAAATAACTCCTTATTCTCAGGGAAAATAGAGAGTAAAACTAAGACATAACTAATTACCATTAGAGTAATTCCATTTACGCAGAAACAAGATTAAGTTACTCTGTTAAAAAGAAAACAAAATGACATAAAATTACAAGTGGGATGTTGGACTTGACACCAAGGAAGCCCTTTTTATGACTACGAGCATTAAGAAAAAAAAAAAGAAGCAAGAATGAATAGTTTCAGTTCTAGCTGCAACAAAACCATGACAAAGTTTTCTGATAATAAAATAAAAAATGTTCAGATTCAAAACTAAAGTCATCGTCTCATCATGATCTTTTAAATCTTTTGCTGCGAAAGGTATAATAGCTCTTACAGCAACAATAGCATGTAAGTGTACCCTGCTAATGCAAGCAATTAAGCTTCCTATTCAACAACACAATTAACTGATGACTTTCCTCAACACAGCTTCGGCCCGATGCTCGAAATTCAGTAAGGCCCAGTCATGCTGTGTTATGTCGAGATTGTCTTTCTCAGCACTCAGACCCTGAAAACAAGATTCAAAATAGACAAAGATTAATTTGTTAGAGACTAAACTAATCATTCATTTAAAACCCCAAGGAGTTGCGGGGATTTTTCTACCAATTGGGATCCTCCCTTCACCACCGCCATGCGGATTGGATTACTCCTCTTATTATAGGACGTTTACCTATTAGTCTGGACCCAGTTACACCTTGCTCTCTCATTACCGTATTTTCCAATTTTCCCATTTTCATGGTCCAAAATCAATGACAATACTGCAAAGCCAGCTCAAAGTGTATCCTAACCCAACTTTGTATATCTAACAAGCACTTCTTCAATAAGTTCTTATGAAATGAGTTTACTCATAAGCTTGGCTGAGAAACTTGCTAAAATAAGCTAAAAAGACTTTATAAGGTTATAAACTCAAATAAGCTTTGTCAAATGCTTGGGCAAAAGTCATTTAAATCATTGGGGTCCTTACTAAAATAAATGATCATTTTTACCTTGTGGAATAAATGATCATAGGGTGCCAACAAGTCATACATGATAATTTTAAATGATTGATCTTCAAAATTAAGAAAAATCAAGAGTAAACCACTCATATTTGTACCTTTGAAGGATCAAATCCAAATCCACCCATTTGCATCATACGTTGTGTATCATCTACAGCTGCATAAAAAACAGAACACATCACAATTTCAGACAGTTGTCAACCAAAATCCCAGGCCATAATAAGAAGGAAAATAATAACATACTGAGAAGTGGTAATTCATATTCATGAAATAAATGAATTAAATAGAAGTATACAAATAAAGATGCTCAGCTTTCAAGCCTTAACTAACCATTTTCTTCACCCAAAATGAGACTAAACAATCCTCTTAATCCAAACAAATTGAGGAAGTACCTGAAATGCAATCTTTTGACAATTAAACCAGAGTAACAGCAAATCATCTAAAGGTTCATAAAATAAAGATTACCAAGAGCGACTGCTGACATAGCTGACGTCTACTGTGCTAAGGTCTATACCATTCTGTAACATCGACCTAAACCTCTGTGTCAACGGAAAGGGTATCTTGGCTGCAGGAATATTTTAAAGGTGAATAATAAAAAGTAATGAATCCACCAAGCAGATGAACATCTTAAAGTCAGCACATATATGCGCTGATAAAAGTTGTATCACTCGCAGAATAGGGCCTGCATCTTGGTGCTTTAAAATGATAGATAAAAAAAAGGCTTAAATATATTTTTAGTCGCTAAAATATAGTCATATTTTGTTTTTAGTTCCCTACAATTTTTGTACCTTTACTCCCTATAAAGTTTCTCTTTTTGGTTTCGGTCCTTGGTATTATATTTATTCCCTCTAAAATATTCATTGTTTTTAGCGTATGTCCTAGTGTTAGTTATAAGGAATAAAACAAAATAACAAGGATCAAAATTAAGGAAAAAAATTACATCCAGCAAAATTAAAAAAAAAAAATTGCAGGGATGAAAAAAAAAATATGACAATCTTTCACAAACTAAAAACATATTTAAGCAAAAAAAAAAAAGCAAAGACATTTTGAAGAATATGATTCACGCAAAGAAACATTCCAAGCAACAGTAAGAAACAACTCAAAGACCTATAGTAATTACCTGCTACAAATCCAGAAAAGAAGAAGTTCACCCAAGCAAAAGTAAGAGTCTGTCAAAAATTAGGAAAAAACATAAGTAAAAGCCAGTGAGGCATCTCCTAAAGCTAGAGCACTGTCAAACTTCGATTCTAACACCTGGGGAATTATCATTGAAAGGTTTTTCTTCATCATATCCATGGCCATGTTCGGATCAGAGAACATCTGTGCTTGCGGATTCTGGCCCTGGCCCTTTGGAACAAACAGCAGACCATTTTCCTTCAAAGAAAATGCTCGAACAATCAGTTCACTGTTGATTTGGTCAGGTACATAAAAAATATATTTAAAATACCACATAAAGCTCGTGACACAGTTGTTAACTTCTAACTAACGGGTTCTAGAACTGATCCAAAAACATCAAGTTTGATACACATTTATCGAAAACTAACTTGTAACTTATACACTGAAACAAGGTTTGAGTATAATAATAAGTACGATAAAACATCAATATTTTCCAATCAAGAACTTAAACCAAAAAACATTCTTGAAAACAGACATACACTAAATAAGCAACAAACCTCGTTGCAAAAATAAATCTTGCGCGTGCGAAAAGCCTTGGAAGGAATAAAATTCGCTCCAGCACGTAAATTCCGAGCTCTAACAATCACTTGCCTGAATTTATTAACATCACCAAAACATCACTTAGATAGTTAATTAAGAAAAATAAAAGCATATAATCAAGCAATGAACAAGGATAGATCATACCCCTCCTTTACAATTTTGGCATCTGGAGTTTGTGAAGAGTGCATAAGCTTGGAGACAAAATAGCGCAACACACCAATGAGAACCATAACCACAGAGAGAGGAATCAACACCCAGTCTCTGATTGCAGTATCCAGCACCAGATCTTCCGCCATTGCTCTAAGTCCTTGCTTCCTACAACCCTGTATGAAATAAAAGCAGATTACTACTCCAAAATCATTTATTTTTTGTTTCCAAGATAAAATACTTGTAGTATTCGACTTTGGCAATCGAATTTGAAGAACTCACCGTGTCTCACTGTATAATTTTGTTTCGCGAGTTACCAAAACGAAACTGCTCAAGAATTGCGATGCGTCAGAGAGAGAAAATTCGGTCGAGATGGCGCGTGGTGCTGGGTGGATTTGGGAAATTGAAGTCAAGTTCCGAACCCTAATTTCACAACGGAGAAACAAAGTAATGTTACTCAATACACTTTGTTTTCACCGCAAAATAAACAATTATGTTTTTTCTCTAACCATAAAACACTTAGAACAGAAACAAGAAAAACCCTTATTAGCATATCAGTAAATTATTAAACTATAATAATTTGTGTACATTTTTTATTTTTATTATATTTTATCATTACATGTTTAAGTTGTATAATTTATTGGCTGATTAAATGTAAAACATGTATTATTGTATCATGAAAAAAAAATAAAACATTTAATCAATATAGTTTTTAATGTATTAATTTTTTTCGTAATTTTGAAATATTATATGGGTAAATAATTAACTTTTTGTTTAATATAGATTAATAATTACAATATAATATCATTTTATTTTATTTTAATAACTTACAAAAAATCAACTCTACTAATGTAAAATTAATACAAACGAAAACTTAAATTTATTTTAAGATTAATGTAATATTTTTTAACCTATTATCTCTTAAATTCCTCCACTGTTGGAATTAAAATAAAAAATCAGAAAATATTTCCTTAAACTTTATTCAAACATGATTTGGGCAAAAGAAAAAAAAAAAAAAAAATATATATATATATATATATATATATAAAAAGAAAGAATAACTTATATATGAATAATATAAATCAATTTTATATTTTCATTCAATTGCAAATAATAATTAATTTTATAATAGTTATGTTCAAAGTAGTACCGATTATATTTTTTATTTTATGATTATTTTAAAACTATATAACATTATCATTAAATTTATAAATAATTAAAATAAAACATATATCAAATTCAAAATGAAAATACTTTTATCAGTTTTAATTTTTTAAAACTTTAAAAAACTAAAAACAAATAAGTTTTAAAAATTATTTTAATAATATAGTTATTGAGCAAATATGTTTAGCTTTTAAAATTTGAAAAACTAAAAAATATTTTTAAAAACTATAAATAAGCAGGTCCTAAAATTTTATAAAAAACTAAAAAAAATTATCTTTTAACTATATCACTATACTTTTATCAATATATTTCTCTTGATTCATACTATTTTATGATGTTTGATAATCTCGTTATTTTCTGTTTAATTCAAATAAATTCAATTTTTTTCTTAATTTAGTTATGATATGAAACATATTTGTTGAATATTTAGTTGTCAACTCATATTCATATAGTTTTTTGTTGAAACATTTTTTGAGTTGTCACCATTCTAAGATTTTTTGGTCCTTGACATGATTCCTTCAATTTCTCTCATTTATAATCTTGTAATATATATTTCTTTTTCAATTTGACATACTGTAACATGATTATTTCTTTTCTTTTAAGACTTGAAGCAACCTTGAAGTTAAAGGTTTTAGTTCAAATAATGATAAAAAACGGATTTTATTGGGAGTTGAAGGGGACCGTAAGCTTCCCAAAATTTTGTAACTTCCATGTAATTTATTATTTTGGCCTCCAAAATTTAATGAAGCATTTAATATATTTACTTATATATTTACAATTTTATTCTTTCAATCCCTCCTCGGTTTTGTAACTTTCATATAATTTATTATTTTGTCTCCCTCAAACTTAATAATCATTTAATATATTTAAGTATATATCTACAATTTTATCCTTTCATTCTTTTATCTTTTTTCTTCCTTTTATATTTATTTATTATTGATTAATAATATATTATTTGGTCCCCAAGATCAATGGTTAAGATCCATAACTGATGTAACAATATGTTGAGAGAGTCATAGAAATGGTAGTAAGCATGATACCATCTTTTCTACATTGAACACATGTCATATGCTTATCATCCCAAGATGGTTATAGAAATTAGATTATGGTATGTCTGAAGAATCTTGCATCGAGTTGATGTATGCATTCCAATATTACACCTCTAATAACTGGGTAGAAGTATAATCTCATAAAGAACAAGTATAACTATCTTTATCCAAAAGGGATCATAAAGTAATCAACAAATAAAAATAGCTCAATTTACTAGCTTTAGCAGCTTGGATTTCAATGGCCATTGACTGTAACACCATTTCGTGAGTTGGTAAAACCATTCTTTTGATTCTCCAATTTGTGGAACTCAGTTTCTATGGTTTTGGCTATTTTGGCATCATCCGGGTCTGGCTCTGGTATGTCAACATAGAAAGACCCTTGTCTGATTGGTGATGAGATTGACTCCATAATGATAGCTTGATGCTTGATGTGATTGTAGAGTTGTTGGTGGAAAACATGATTAAAGGAGAAACAGTTTTCAGTGTTTCCTGATGCATTATGTTTGGATGACTTGGAATCTTCTTTTCTGCAGAAGTGTGGGAGGGATGCATAGTCCATTACCTACAAGTTTTAAACGAACTATTCAGTAGGCCAAAATCTTCAAGGTGTAACAAATCTAGCAAGACAAGATAAATTTGATTTTGCTATGATCATTTTCAAGTCTCTGAGATTAAATTCAAATAGACCTAACCCCACTTTTTAAGATACATTTTGCACTGTAATATAACAACATTAAAATGACAAGTGATAGATTTAAGTTAGACCTAGACATGAAGCAAAATAAACCAGTAGTTGCATTTATTTTCATTAATGTTCCTTTAATTAGTCAAGAGAATCAACAGGCAAGCTCATATACATATGGCATAGACGATATTATGAGAGCTCAAACAGATAATGTTAATGTTTACCTTCAGTAATTCCTCCTTCCCACAACCTTGCAGCACCTGGATTTTCCTCCTTGTTCTTTCTTGCAAAAGAGGTTTTACCACCTTAAAAATATCATTGAAGGAAAATATTTCAGCTGTTTATTTTTAGACTTTGAATGATATGCATGAAATGAAGGATAAATGCGAAGCATTTGAAACTCTTCAAACATTAAGACACGCACAAACCTTCCAACATGCAGAGAATACATAAGGTGCATTAACAATATAATATGTGTCTGTCTTTTCTGGGTAGTTCAAGTCATCTATTGTGGATATAGCAGTCAACAACTGCAGAAGATGATTGAAAAGATACTGTCAACAATGAAGAGAAGAGAAAAAAGGGATGAAACTTTTTTTTCCTAGAGTACTGACCCTCAATTGGTTCAGGGCTGAAAACTTTAAACCAGTCATATCCAAGACTTTCACACAGGTGCCAATGTATCGTTCATTCTTCTTCGTAGCTTTTGGCTAAAACAAAATCTTCAAATAAGCAAGCAGGGAATCAGAGAATTTCTAAGATTAACTAAACAGTCCAAGGGTCTCACCAATATAACTCGATCCCTGTATTCATTAATTTGAATGTGTGACTGTATATAGTATTTGTCCTGGAAAAAACAAAAACTGACAATTCAATATCAAATAGATTTCAAAGGAGTTTAGCTGCCACATTGAGGAATATAGGCAGACGCTGAACACTGAAGCACTCCTATAGAGTTGTGCAATTATTAATATCTGGTGAAGAAACCTCAGAAGGTGTTAACAGTTTCTAAGAAATTGAAAATTTGAGGAGAAAATAAATGACTCCTAGTCAAGAAATTGGTGCCATAAAAAAAGATAGCATATGATCCTTACAGATGCTTTATCATATGTACTTTGTCCAACACCAACAGCAATGACAGGTAAACCCTGAAAAAATTTAACCATAAGATGCAAGAAAATAGAAATAAGGCACGTATGAATAGAAACTTTCATATTGTTTAAAAAGATACCAGTTCTGAATTCTTATAATAATAACATCGACAATGCAGGAAGAAGACAGGGAAGGGTAAAAAGAAACTTAAATTCATATCATAGTTCAAAAGCTCTTATAAGATCTAACTAAACAATTAGTACCTCCTTTGAGTAACCAGACATTCCTATGAGTTGAGAATCCCTCACAGCTCTGTACAAATCCGCAGGAATAGGCTTCTGTTACACGAAAAAGACAAAAATATAACAGTCTAGAACCATTACAATCTTATTGAGAAATGTAATAAATATTAATGTTATGATAAAAAAATTATGAATGGATATCTCTATGACCTAGAAAGAATGTTAATCATCTTGGAGTGACAGTTCTCAGTTCAAGATCTTATACACAAATGAAAATAGATTTAGAAGTTTAATATGTTCAATATCAATATTAAAGGTGTGTACAAACTTGATCATTTCAAAATAAACAAAACACACAATTATTAGAAATATGTCAAAATATCATATATCTTCAAATAGTGTTCTACATCTATATTGATCATTTCAATATAATCACCCTTTCATTATTTGACTTACAATTAGTTCAAATGACCAAACCTAATATAAATGATAATAAGGTCTTTGTCAAATTGAACTTACATAAATATTAAATGCAAGATTTTTCAGAAGTATGAGATGTAGCAAAGAAGGCGAGTGAAAAGATAACCAGAAAACAGAAATTCATGAAACAATAGTCAAATAAAGGAACTCACCGTTAAAACTTTGTCAATCTCATTTTCCACTCTCCAGTTTAAACAATCAATTAGCTGTAACAGTTCCTATTGTCAGCAAAGTATGTACATCTAAAAAGCAAGATCAAGACTGAAGGTAATGCTAAGAGCAATCAACCAAGGCTAAAATTTCAACTGATTCTCTTAACCAAACATAATAGATCTTACTAACCATTTTATGGGCTTTGGAAACATTCCAATCCCTTGCTTTAAGAAACCGTATTAATGTTTCAGATGGATAATCTTGATGCATGTTCTGGAACATAAAAGAAAAATATTTCAGAAAAAATGACCAACTTACTCTCACTCGATAGCAAAAAAAATAACATAACCATGATAGGCAAGTAGCAGAAAAAAATGTAGATACTTAGCAAATAATTGACCCAGAATATACTCAAATCATTATTTTTGACAATAATCACTAAATCTGTATATGTTAAAGACTGCTCCTCGAACATTGAAAGGCCAATTTTACTGAGCTTTCACCCTGATCCTTCAAACACTCGCAACAGTAAGGTATAAGCTAACCATGTACAATACCTACCAACCACAAGTTAACTGTGATCCAGATCAATTTGGCAGTAAAGTTTAATTTTTGTTATATAAAAGATATTCATCTTGTTCCCTCCTCATAAACTAAGATGAATTAAAAAAGAGTGTTGATGCTTTTATTATCAAATCAGGTTTCAGATCACAAATCACAACTTTTATTCATCATTTCTCCTGATACCATTGCCAACACACAAGATCAAGGAAAACAAAGCAAACCAAAACAAAAACCACACCTGGAATGTGTTCTTCAGCTGCTCATCCACTGCAACAAATGTCACGGACACACCAAAAAAGAAAAACTCTGTAAGTGATGAAAAAAGATCGCAGAAGAACAGGAGAATGCAATCTAAGTTTCAAGCAATTGATGCACACCATTTTCCATCAGGGACTTCAACTGCTTGAGAGCCTCTTGATTTCCACCACCCATCTTCTTGTTCAGCTCTCAGCACTGCAAAACCAAAATTCAGAAGCCAATCCTAAGTGGCTGAGAAATTTGCAGGAAATCTGCAAACCCCAGATCCTTTTAAGACACCCCAAGAAGGTATAATTATTGCTACCCCACAATATATTTAAACTGATTTACCAATAGTGGCTTGAAGACAGAAAAAGTGGGTTTGATTTGGCAGAAGGTGAGGATGGTAATCCCTCTAAAAATTATAGCTTTTTTTTTTTTCACCTCCTCTTGCCCCTGTGCAAAGCACAAAAGCTTGAAACTTGGGGTGAGTTTGTACTATGTATGTATGTTGCAGCTTCCTATGTAGGAAAGGAAGTGAGTGGTCAACAAAACAAAGAAAAAAAAGTGAAAAACTGTTAAAATCAAATGACCAATAACAGAATGATAGGGAAATTTTGAAATTGTAACGCACAAATAAAAAATACTTTTCCTTCGGAATGACTTCTCACTTTATATTAAAAAACTTTTTAAAATAAAAAAAAATTAATAATAACAATTTAAGTTACATCTCAAATTTGTGCGTACAAGGAATAATAAGAAACATAAATTATTAGGTTGTGTCATATCATTACATGTACATGGTTTAATTATTTTTATGTTGTAATAAAAATTAATAATATTTAATTACTTGACCTGTAAATATAAGTGAAAAATTCTATAGTTATAAATTATCTAATAATTTTTCATAAAAAAACAGACATAAAGAAAATTTATAAATGTAATTAATGAAGTGATTAAAAATTTAAGAAAATTTATAAACAAGATAAATGGTGTGATGAAAAATGACAAATGAAATAAAAAGTAAATGAAGTGGAAAATAAATAGAAAAAAATAAGAAAATACAGCTTTTTATATAATTTGCATTAAAGTGAAAATATTTCATAAATATAGTTACATAATTTTTTTGCATTAAAGAAATAGAAAAAGATAATGCTAAATTTCTAAATTTACATAATATAATATTATGTAACTCCTTTGTTAACTCAAATTATTTTAAGAGATAATGTTATTTCATTAAGAACGATATATTCAAAGTATTTAAAATAATTGTATATTCAAGGTTTGAATGAGAGAACATTAATTAAACTTAAATAATATTGAATGAGTTAATCCACATACTTAATATTCAAAATTTTGATTGAAATAAATTCTTATTTATTAAATTTAAAAAATTGGGCGAAATAGAGGGATGTTAGATGTAATTAAATTTAAGTTTGTGAATTTGAATGTAAATTTTTTAACTTGTTAATAATTTTGCTTGAATTGCCAGAAGAAATTGCACGGGGATTTTTTTTCTCTCAAATAAATATAATATACATCGCATTTCTCATTCCTTATTTTTTATATGATAATTTGGATAAATATTTAATGTGATTAGTTGAGGTTATTTATAAAAAATAATAAATAAAATATTTTATCAATTTTATAATTTTTTTCAAAATAATTAAAATAAAAATAGTAAACCTTTTTTTTCATGAATTTGAATTCACCTCATTGATGTAAGAACTGCATTAATTTCTCATGATTAGATGTGAGATTGACCAATTATAAAATTGTTCTAATATTTTGTAACAGTTAATTGTGAATTGATATGTCACAGTACAAATTCAATTGTTAGATACATTAATTCGAGTTAGTTCAAATTAAATATTTAATTTTTTTATAAGACTAAATTGATATAGTCAAGTTAATAACGCCAACATCTCTAATCAAATAAAAAAAATAACGAAATTTCAATCAAGTTTTAAAACTAAAAATAAATTTAAATCAATTAACGTTAGTCAATGTGAGTTAATCAATATTTTTTAAATCATTGAAAACTCAAATTGAATTAAGGAAATCATATTTAGATTGAATTCAATGAAGTAATGCAAACTAAATAAAAAAAATAAAAATATATATAATAATAAAAATATATGATATACATGAATTAATATATAAAAAATAATAAGAATTTTGAGAACATTGAGGATAATTTGTATATATGATTCTATCTCGCGATTAAAGTTATAAAATGAATAATATCTCTGATATAAGAATTGTTTAACGATGTTATCATAACGGATATGAGATCAGGATATTCTTATTCTTAGACAAAATATGATGTTTCTTCAAAGTCTCACATCAAGTAGTTTGAAGGAAGAAAGTTATAAACTACTACTATAAATAAAGGGTGATAGTTTAGGTTTTGTGTCAAATATTGGGGACTTGGGTAGTTGCATGTCAAAAGAGGATTTACAATTTTATCCTTGTAAAATTGCAAGTTGAGTAATAAAATTTTGTTGAGTATGTCAGTGGATGTAGGCAAAATTTGGTTGAGTGTATTAGTGGATATAAGTAAGAAGTGTCGAATCACGTTAATTTTTGAGTTTATTTCTTTATTTTTGTTTTCCTCGTGTGTATACTTCTGCAGGTGAAAAATTATTTTTCTCTGGTACCCAACAACAATGAGATTGAGAACTTCTCACTCCACCTCTATCCCTTAATCTTTGATTGGTGGATTATATTCTTGTACACTAATAAAATTCAAATCACTTAATAATAATAATAATAATAATTTATATTCATTATCTTCTTTATTAAGATATTTTTTTAATTACAAAACTAAAATATAATCTCAAAATAAAAAATATCTCAAACATACGTATTAACTCCACCTATATTCTCAACGATAGATATTAACTTCACCTAGTAAAAACTACCGACTCACTAAACTAACCAATAATGTACATAAAAATGTGTTTAAAAAGTAATTATTATTAATATTTTAGTTAATATTAAAATGTGACATGTGTTATCTTTCTTATTCATCTTAGACAAGGACACATATCAATCATCAAATCAACAATAAGATTGTACAATTTTCTTCTTTTTTGTGGCCAAGAATCTTCCTCCTATCTCACACAAACTAATGGTACAACTGAAATGTCAAATTTCATTGATATCTCAACCATTCCAAGAAATAAGAATCCTTTTATAACATCAATGTATAAATGGATAAAAATACAAATCTTTTTACTCATGTGGTTGATGTTAATTTATAATTTAAATAGTAATTACTATTTTATTTAAAACAAAATTTATAGCATATATTTTGTTATATAACTTAAAATTTATTTATAATTATATAATATATTATTTATAATTATATATAAAGATTATTCTTTTTATAATATTTTTTAACAAAAAATAAAAGTTTTATATTTTTATATTAAAAAAATTTTGAGAAAGACAAAAATTTAAAAAATTATATATATTTAAATAACGAAGAGGGAAAATAAAATAAATTTTAAAAATATTTTAAATAAAATTAATTATATAAAAATATGGATTGGTTCATATATTTTCACTAATTTATAACTATATATAAAAAAAAATCTTTTTGTAGTCATTTTTTTCGTCAAAAAGAAAAAAAAACTAAAAAAAAATATTACTATAATTTATATATTTAAAAAATAATAAATATATAGGAAATAAAAATATAATAAATAATTATGAATAAAAAAGAAGATATATTTAAAGAGTAGAGAGACAAAATAAAATAAAATTTAAAAAATAATAATTATATAAAAAATATAACTACTACGAGGTTATAAAATTTATAATTTCACTAGTATATATAAAAAATATTTTTTTTAGTTATTCTTTATTATAATCGAAGAAATATAATTTATAATATGTTATATCTTATTTTATGTATTTCTTTTTGTCAATTATAATCGAAAAAAATATAATTTCTTTTTGTCAATTATAAATTATTATCAATTTTTCTCTCTTCCTAAATTCTACCTCAGGTTTATTTATTTCTAAAATTAATAATTTCATGAATAAATATTTATATTTTAAAATTAATATATACATTAAATTTGAATAAATTAGAATAAAAATACACTGTATTTACTATTATAATGAATAATTATTTTCCTTTGATTATTAGCAACATGTTTCAGTTTTTAAAATAAAATAAAATAAAAATAAAAGCTAAAGATAATAAAGAGAATGGTGACCATTTTTAACAACTTTTGCTATTCACAAAAAGGGACACGCACTCAAACATTCTATAAATGTGAAAAGAGTAACCACTACAAATAAATTTAATATAATATTTTTTTATTACAATATTATTAGTATTTTATGTTTCATATTTTTATACATGTATCTGAAATTTTAACAGTGTGATCAATCTTAATGGTTAAGGAATTAAACAATTTTTTTTTATTAAGGTGAAATAAAATGTACTTACAAATTGTGATTAAGAAAACCTAGAAAATAATTGTCAATATAAAGTAATGAAGTGGTTTAAATTTAAAATTTTAGTTAAAATAGAGATAAAAATGAGTAGGTTTTTTACTCTTAGAAAAAAAAAAATAATAATAATAATATTATGGTCGTAATAATATCATAAAAATATGAGACTAACCATACACATTTCTAAAAAAAATATATAAATTCAAAAACAAACTAATTAAATGCAAAATAAAATATATTAATTAACATAAAACAAATTAGATAGTGGTTGATAGAATATATTAGATAAGTTATTAGGAATAATATTAACGAATTTATTTTTCTTTTAAAAGCAAAAAGCTAATAAAATGGTGAGTTCTATACAGATTCCAACGCAAGAATAATTCATGGAACACGTGAAATACGAACATATTATAACCGACTCACACGTGCATAATTAATATTTATATGAACAAATTACACACAAATAAAATAAAACATGAAGCAGTAATAATGTAATACACACATCTGATGGTGTAAATAAATATCAAGAAAACAAGCTTTTATAATTAAAAATAAATGTGAAACTTTAACGAGATATAATGAGTTTTCTTTATTTTTTTATAATTAATAAAATAATTATTTTTGAAATTGATAAGATTCGTGAGATAAAAAATAAAATAATATTATATTTAAAAACATTTTAATGTTTATATTTTTTTATCAAAATTAGTTTACTTTTGTCAAATGTTTAGTTTTTTAATTTTATATCAATTGAATTAATAATAAATAAATTTAAAGACGGTATCATATCTTATTAAAATAACATCACATGATTAAATTATTCCTTGAGACAAGAACAAGACGTGTATACATTTGAATAGGTAGTATGAAAAAACAAAGGTTGTTACATATTATTTAATGTTTTTGTATGAAAGGGATAAGTGGCGGTGCCATGACAGAAAAAGTTTACGGTGTGGGAGTCACAAAATGCATTAATTAAAAAGCTAACTTTTATGATAGAGACTTACAAACTAATTAAATGTTGGTAGAAAAAACTCTTATGTGTTTTATATTTTTAATTTTTTCCTGCAAATTGGTTTTAACTCTTGTGGTGATCACATGAAGAGATGTGGTTTCACATGTTTGTGATTAGATAATATATATTTAAAGTACCCCACCAAATTCTTATGCAATTTTATGATTCTGGTTCTCTGTAATTGTTTCTCTTTTGGTATCTTTCTCTTTGATAATTCTAAAAAAACCAAAAGTTTGGGACTTGTTTTTAGAATCTTTGAAAAAACGTGTAAGAAGAATTAGAAGAAGAAACTAAAGTTAAAGACACTCACACATACCTTTTCCCAATGGTAAGAAAACTTGGCACTCAAGTTGGCATTGAGAGGAACATGGCAAAAGGGTTTGAAGGGGATAGATAATGCCAAATGACACTATAGTCACTATGTTGTAAGCTTTTTCATGTGTAAGATGCTTCAATCAATAATACACACAAATTTGTGTTTTGCAAAAGTGGGAATCAACTCATTTAATGTGATTTGAGTGGTTCAAAAATAAAACCAACTATAAGGTTTCAATTGAATTGAAAAAATAAATAAAATTAATTTAGTTTTTGAAAAATTGAAGAGCCACTTCAGTCTAATTTCTTTTAGAGAAGTATAACATGTGACATTAATTCAATTATTTTTTTTATAGTGGATGGAAAGAAAAGTAGAAGATTAGAATAAGAATAATACTTTTCAATTTTAATTTTTTTTAGTAAGTTATAATATTGCAATGTCAGTGTCCAATAAGCATATCTTATACACAATGAGATTTGTTTAATTGATGATGGGTTGCTTGCACTCTTTGTGGATAGGCTTATGTTATGTAGGTTGACTTGTGGAATTCATAATAAATATCAAGTTGTGTCATGTAAATAATCATTTTAATTAAACATATATACATAGTACAATTGTCTAATTGAGGTAATTAACATGCTACAATACTTCATGGATCACGCTCTAGATTCTATTATTTTATTTCAAAGTGTGACAGAATGTTACATATCTAAAAATGAACAATTTAAGGTGTTTTTTAAATATCTAAAAATGAACCGAGAATTTAAATTAATAAAATGGTTGGATTAGTTTATTTAAAAGCTTATGAATAAAAAAACACCATAAGAAATCAATTAAATTTATATTAATAATATGGTCATAAAAAAATCCTTTATTAGAGAAGAATGTGGTATGTTTCATGGAAAGCACAAACGATTTGATAGTGGTGAGTGATGAGGGAGAAAAATTTGAATAATTCATAAAATAATTCATATTATCAGATCCTACATTTTCATTTAGTGTCACATCAAATATATAGAAAGACGGAAAAAAAAGTGAAATAACAGAAAATGTGTAAAGTAAGATAATTAATGTAATAAGTTAGCCAAAAATAATATTATATAAAATAAAAAAGGTTAAAATATTGATTTTAACTCTAACTTTTTAAATAATCATAATTATTACTGTATTACTATTTTTAAAATCCAACAAATCAATTCAATTAATTTGAAAATCATTTTATTATTTTTAAATAATTAAATTTTAATTGAATCAAAATAAAATAAAAAATCAATACAAAATAAAAAAATTGGACTAATTTTTTGAATAAACCAATTTTAATAAAAAATAATTCAAAGATCAAAATTTTAAATAATTTTATAAAAGATATAATATTTTTTTAATTTTTTCTTATATTAATTTCATCAATTTTAAATGATAATTATTTTATTTTTATCTTACTTTAAAAATTATTTATACTATACTCTTTAATATATTTCATATTTATGATCTTTATTATAAAATACATAATCATGATAATAACCTTTAATAAAAAATTATTTCAAATAAATTTATTATATACTTGCTATATTATAAAATTTATTTTATTAAATCCGATGTCACTCCAAGTAGAATCTTTAAACCTAAACTTAAGACATGATAGACTAAAATCCATTATATACTAGATTTGGATAAAATACAGATGGGGGCAATGCAGACCTGCAAAACTTATCAATAAGTAAGGAAATTATAAAAGAGTCCTAATAAAAAGGAATAAAAACAGAATTGATCATGGATCACAACGATAAAGTTCATTGATTTTAAGATTACATGGCAAAAAGAAGAATCAAGAAAGCTCAGTAATCACACGTTCACATTTATCTTCCAAAATCTTTACAGCTTCAGTAAATAACACTTCAGGGGGTAATGCTCCTGTTGATTCAATAGTAACTAAACAAACAAACGTAAGATCTTTTTAGAACCTCTCAAACATTATTCCCTGTCAGAATCAATATCAAACCAAATTTGCACAAAAAATAGTTGTATGATAATCAGGTATTTTGCAGATAAAATGTTAAAATTAAGTAGGAAGCTCTTTTCATGCATCACTTCATCTTATACATCCCTAGATATACTTTGTGCTAAACTATCACGACACTATTCTAAGCCCCAGGAATGGCTAACAACACAAATTTCTAATTGGTCGAAATTTATTGGAACATCATTTTTTGTGTTATTTGCCATTTATTAATCACTCTATTGATTTAAAAATGAGATCCACCAAAAGTGGTAGTTTCCAATAAATTTCAATCAACCATAAAGAGTGTCATAAAGAGAGTGTTTCTAGCATTCTTCTCTTGGTATTTGGCTCAATCAACCATTGGCTGTAATCTAATATACCAACATTCTTGAAACTATTTCATCAGACATTCAACATCTGCAAGGTTTTTTTCTCAATAAATGAGAATCAATATATAATGAGAAGGGAACATTAGCAATCAGTCATGTCAACAAAAATAAGAACTTGCTCAATAAATTACACTATTTCTACACTGAACCTCTAGATACGTTGAGACTAGACGCCTTGAGATGATGTAATTTTTTGTATGTTCATACTTCAAACAACTTAGAAGATCTAGGCGAGTGAATTCAATAGGCCATGCATAATACTTACAAATGCAATGATGCTTAACGCGACGTAATGATACACGATCTTCCCATTCTTTGCCCCCTCTGATGCATTCCCTACACAAAGTGCAATCCCGTGGTCTGGCTACTGTTGCCCTCCTATTACCTACTCAATAACCAAATCAGACTAAGTACCAAAGAAAAACGAAATTGAAATTATGTTATTAATCAGCAACAATGTCAATAGCATGTTATGAGCAACGCAAGGTAGAAATTGATGCAAAACTAATCTTCACCATAATCATCCTTCACCATCATGGTCCACAAATAAAGATATATATAAAAATTGATGTGAGGAGCACTGAAGCAAAAAGTGAACTACCTTTTCCAAAATCTTCAATATCAAACACATTAGCTGGACACTTATTTTTTAATTCGTCAGCAACCTCATCCACAACATCTTCCAAGAGAACAACCTGGAGAAGAATAATCAAGCTTATACATGCCAGAATTTGCAAGTTTTTAGCAGTGTGCAAAGAGAATGTGACAAGTAGATAAGACATCTTGTATTCCCTTACCTCCGGAAGCATCCGATACCAAGCAGTGGCAACCGGGGACCATTTTGCATGTGTCCTACCAATGCCTTTAACTGCATGTGCTTCAAGTTCAATTTCCTACAACAGTATGTATTTACCGGATTCAGTATGTTCAGTATTCTATATGAAGACAAGTAAACATAAACAAGTTTGAAAAATCTGATAACTCAATGTCTTGCATTGCATGCTAAAAGAAAAGATAGATAGAAACAGAGATAAAAGAATCTCATGTGGTAACAAATATGCCATTAATGATCAACAATGTTACGATTATGTCTATGATCAGCAGTGACAAAAAGGAAGTTGGCTGGAAGTGTCACTCACTATAAGCAATAAAATAAATGTTAAAAGTAGAAGCAGGGTGGACAGAGAACATCACAATGTCAGTAATAAAGTGTCCAGAAAGAACCCTTTTCAGAGAAGGTTACCCATGGAAAAATTAGTTGGTCTCTCTAAACCTTAACCCATAAAATCTAAATGAGTGATTACACTCCTTTAAGAGAAGAAGGTTACCTGACCAGGTCCAAGTTTAGCTAATATGATATCTGGATACGTAACACTAATTGAATTGCCGGAAAATTCTGGAAGCGAATCCTGGCTGCAAGTAAAAGAAGTAAACGTTTTTGGTTTTGAACCTGCATTTGATCTTACATCTTCACAGGGAAGCTCACTTCCATTAGGTAGCCACTTCAGTTTATCCGATTTCACTGCATTAATATCACAATATCAACAGATAAAACACATTGCTGCATGGGTAAATGACAAGTTTAAATAGCTAAATAAGAAATTAGAAGGAATGAAAATATATTATGAAGCAAGTGCCTCAAGTCATGTGTACCAGTGATACGAGGTTGACCCACTCTACAACGAGCATGTAGCTTGAAGACAATTGTGTTTTTTTCATTCTTGTCATCTCCCGCATTTTCTATTCAAAAGAAAGACAAAATTAACACATTTAACCTCTGCCGTACAAAGCAATACAATGAAAAGTATAAACAGTAATTCCAATTTTCAAGTTATACATGTGAAAGCCATAAAATTAATGAGAAATACAATTACGTATAGGTTAGTGCAGATATAGACCTGGATATTCAAAAAGCCTGGGATCAGCACGAATTGGAACGAGACCCAATCTATGGGAAAGAACTTCATCTTGTACAACTGATGTATTGTTTGCAATATATACTCTTTCAATAGCCATTGTTGGCACCTAAATTACATGACCACAAAAAAATGATTATCTCCACCAGTACTAACAAATTACACTACTACTAATAACCTACTCAAAGTTATCATACAAATGGCAATGAATAAAACCAAAAATAAGACTACCGTAAGGTGCTATACATAACCAGACCTAATCAAAAGAAATTTCCATTCAGGAAAAACATCAAAGCAAATGAATTAACCCCTTGTTCAATATGTCTCCTCTGACTTTAAGAAAGTTTAAATAAAACTTTCTACTTCTAAAGGGCATCACATTTTCTAGATACTCTTATGCCACATAATTTATCATTTCATAATAAGTATTTCCATCACTATCTTGATGTCAACTTTCTGAATTTGTTAATGCATAACAAGCATTTTTGCGAGGATAATCAAATTTAGGGGTTCCAAAATTCAGTTTTCTTAACCAGTTGGGAACCAAAGCAATTTTTAAGAACCAGTTCTGAACTAGTTTTGAACATAACTTTGAACCGGTTTTGAACCAGATTACACTACACCTATGCAATGGGTAGCTGCAACAACTTTAAATCAGATTCTTATTTGTTAAACTAGAGGGATTATATAACAAAGAAAATAACATAAATCTGCAGCAATCCCCATTATAGTCTGCAAAGATTTTGGAGCACCAAAAGGAAAATGAACATTCCAAAGAGCACATGTCAATAACCTTTGTTCCTTGCTCCAAAATGACAATTACCATTACTTATTGATGCGACATTCATCTTATTGTACATGATTTTCTTTTTCCCTATCACAGCTTAAGACACAACAAAAAAAAATGTCAATTTCTGAATTTAAAGTTGGCTTACCAAATTAGTGTCCTACAGATAAAAATCGGAGTAAAATAAATCTGTTAATTTGAAATCAAAGGAAGAAAATTTGATTCTTTCAAGTCTGTCAAACTCTACTATAAAACATTTTTGTCTAAGAGGACATGAGTGCCTCCTCTGCATATATAGCTGCTTGTACAGTCAACGGTTTAAAACAAAATATTAATTTAATTTCATAAAATCTGACTAATAATTCTAGGAACTGTACAGAGACATTAACAGGGTGTAAACCCTTTAGATTTAAAGTATGATTCATAACTCTATTAGTTTCTCAATAACATTAAGTGTGTTAAAGAACATACCATTCAAAATCCTAAACTAGTAAAGACTCATGAGTGGCCATCATTCTCTACTATTGCTATTGTGTACTTACTATTACATTATAAAATGAAATTTAAGAAGAACGAACGAAAGATGGATATTATGGCAAGGCATGTATCCCCGAAAAATAGCACTAACAAATGCATCAAAATATTTAAAAAATAAACACCATGTCATCACCATTGTACACAATTAGGGAAGCAAAAATATATTACCTCTGATATAAGAATTCTTCGAAATGCATTGGCAATTGCTGGATCAATACCAATTAAATCAAACTCCATGTCACTATCAGTAAGCCGCTTCACTTCAACTTTGAAGTTTTCACAGAAATTATCTAACCGCACACTATTATCAACTCCCAAAGTCGCATAAGCACCAGAATATTGTATAGTCTCTGTCTACAGACACCAACATAGGAAAACGTAAATAACAAAACAAACCCTTTCTATAATACATAGCAAGTTCGATACTAGGAATTCTAACTCCTACAATTCCAGTACCCCCAGTTGAAAAGGTATAATCTTTATGTAAGGGAGAGTTAGACAAAAAAAAAAAAGGTTAAATATATATATGTATAGCAAAAAAATGCGTAAAATTAAAATAACTTGAAGAGAATAACAGAAAAGTTTGGGAAAAAGGGTTACATGCACAGGAGCATCGTTGTTGCAAAGGACACGTGTTTTGAAAAGTTCGAGGTGTGGAGGGAGCTTTGATGGCACATCTTCTAAACTCATTATGTAATCAAGTCCCGATCCATTATTACTCTCCTCCGCCATTGATACATCACCTTCCGGCATCCTTGTTGTGTTTCGTTCTCTCTCCTTCGACTTTTAGTGGTCTATGGGGTCAGCAACTGAAAGGAAGTGAAGGAAGCAGTAAAGGGGAAGACCGGGTCAGCGTGGTCTGCGCGTTGAGTTTCTTCTAGGGTTTACCAGGAAGAACCGCTCGACGTCGTTTATACCAGTACCATTTCGAATCATATATAAACTGTAAACACCACATATTTATAATTATTAATGATAAAAATTAGTTAGTTAATGTAATTCAAAAAATTCAGTTAAAAAAAAGTAACCAAAATATTAAAGATAAAATAATAAAAATTTTAAAAAATCTTATTTTAAAAATAATTTTCAAAGGTTAATACATAATCAATTTAATCATAAATAATTAGTAAAGTAATATATTTTATAAAAAAAAATTGTATTATAAATATTCTCCCACTCTACTTAATATTGATAATAAATAAGTGAATTTTTACATTTTATTATGTAGGATACTTTGAATTATTAGACTTTTCTAGTTCTGCTTCAAATTATGGCTTAAGCACATTAGAGTGAAATTTTCGAACTAATTTTAATATACACACTCACTACAATTATTTAAAATTACACATATTTTACTTAATATTTCTTTTATCTCTTTCTTACTATTATAATTTTAAATCGTTTATATTTCATTTTTTTTCTCTTTAACTATTTTCTCTCAACTTATTTAAAATAAAATAAAAACTGATTGTTTTTTTTAATTATAAGTCCAAACAATTTAAAATATATTTAAAGATTTATTTTGAATAATAATATAATTTATTTCTCACACATTATCTAAAATAAAAATAATAATTAAATTATTGAAAAAACAGTATACTTCAAATTAATTTACAATAATTTTAAATATTTATTTTGAAAAATAATATAATTTAGTCTATATTTAAATAAAATATGTATTTTATATTTAAATATTTTAAATTAAGATAAATATTTTAAACATTATAAATAATATCAATCATGACCTAGTGATTGAATGAAGCGAAAAATAGTTGATTAGGTGAATGTGGACCTAATAATTTATTAAATATGAAAAAAAGTTATTTATTTATTAAAAATATTAAATTTTACAATATTTATCATATAAAAATATTATCTAAATAAATAAATAAATAAATAAATTATTTATAATATTAAAAATATTTATCTTAGTTTAAAACTTTAAAATATATTAAAGAAATTATTTTATTTTAAATATATATTTTATTTAAATATAAACTAAATTATATTATTGTTCATAATAAATTCATGAATATATTTTAAATTATTTTGAAGTGAGATTTGAAAAAAATGTTTAATTTTTGGAGTTGTTTATGAAAAATTAATTATAGTGAGAAAAAATTGTAAGAGAAGGAATATTGTGTATAAATATGATATGAGGAAAATAAGTTGTCTTATCTTATTGTCTAAATATAACTTGTTAATCAAATTATTGACGCTGTTTTGTATTGAGGAGGATGTTTTATATTTTTATTTCATGTGCCTTAAACTAATAATGTTTTGAAGTATACCGTCTATCTTAAACTAATAATGTTTTCAACTCTCACTAAGATGTTAATATAGTAATGCTTTCAACTATAATAACTAATTAAGAGGTTAATATACTAATATACTAAAAAAATAAAATGGTATCAAATAAAAAAAGATAATAATAGGACGAGAATCATATTTTACCCTAAAATTAAAATTAATTTTATTAATATAATTTAAAGTTTATAAAATCAAAATCTATTTTATACTTTATTTAATCTGTTTTTAGTTTTTTAAAGTGTACTAAACGCAATACCAACAACATTTGTCATGATCATTTATCAAATCATGATTATGGTAACAAAATCACTTTATGATCCACTTTAGAAATTTTTCTCAATAGACTCACCATTCACCCACCCCATATATATAATAATTAAAATAAATTATTATTTTAAATAAAATAATGAAAAATAATAATTTTTCCAATAAAAAATACACCTCTCCTTTGTTTATGTTTCAAATTAGAGTATACATTTACATCTTTTAAAATCAGACAAATAAAAAGTCATAATATTTCAATTTAATTAGCATAAATCAATTTTAATATTTATACATAAAAGAGAAACTCAAAAACATACACGCCAACTGGAAAGTCGTTAGAATTAGATGAACGAAGCACAATTACAATAGGAACGATAATGAATGAAAAAAAAAATTCAAATTAATTGATGCCACATAAGAAAAACAAATATTTCTTTTCTGATTTACAGCTTTGCAGATGGAAACTCAAGTGTTTGGAAACTTTTACATCTAACAATTCATAACCGAAGTTTAAAAGAAAAAAAGAAGAAGCTTGAACTACTTGTGGAACTAATTCGAATGTGAAAAATCACTTCCGTGATCAGTTTCCAAACAAACTATAAAATTACCATAGAAAACAAAACAAAAATGTGCCCTACGATTAGGGCATGCCTATGATATCAAGGTACACATCAATGAGACAATCACCCGAACACCACTGTCAAGGAGTTGAGACTGTTATGCTCTAAAACTTCTCACTGCTTCATGCATTGCCATTGGCTTTGGTCTTTTTTTGCTTCTTTTGTTTACTACTTGTTCTCTTTTTTTCTCTTAAAGCGTTTCTCTTCTCCTCCCTGCAGAAATCACAAAATCCTTAAGCTTTTCATGGGAAGTTTTATTTCCACAAGTTGCTAAATATTGATGAAGTTTATTCTCTGAAGTTTACACGGAGAAAACATCTAACCTGGCTTTTGAAATCTCTTCCTTGGATGGAAATTGCCTTTTGGTCCTCTTTTTGGGCTCAGATTCAGAAGATTCTTTGCCATTTACTTTTAGACCGTTAACTGATTTCGAGGGGAACTTTCTTTTTTTCGTCTTATTGGATTCGGATTCAAAAGTTGCATTGCCATTTTCTTTCTTGCCATCATTTGATTTCTCGTTTTCTTTCTCCAACGTAGTAGTACCTTCTTCCTCCTCAGCTATTTCTGTTGATTTTGCACCAGGCTTTGAGCTGCTCATTTTTTTTAACTGCAATATTAGAGAGTATAAAACTGAGTTTGTTTTAAGCCCATATGAATAACGGTACTTTCAGCTTCCCAGACAATGTTTATGATTAAGATCGGCAATAAAAAAGATTGAACTTTCCCGGCTAAGAGGTTGGATATTGCACTCCAATAAGTAGAACAAAACTCAAACCACGAGTTAATAACAAAGATACTTTGACAAGTTTCAAACCAACATAATAAATTTATAAATTGGTTTTACCTAAAACTTTGTAGTCCTACAGCCTTGCTTTATTTAATCCAATTTTATTTATCAAACTGAGAATACACATACCTTTGCAACAAAAAAACCATCCATATTTTGTACATGAGGATAGAAACGCCTTGTCTTTTCCAAAGAAGGGTGAAAACGTTGTTCCCTAAACCTTATAAACCTGATGGAAAGCAAATGTCACAATATAGTGATATACTTAATTCCTAATCATAACAACAAAGAACTAGCAATAAAAGCATTACCCTGGACGCCCAAAATCAAGTCCACAGGGAACCAGTTTAACATCTCTCTTTTTAAGTGCATAGTCAATAACTGCTTCATTCTGAAGAATAATGAAAGAACTTTTACAAACATACAACGTAAAATTGTAAAGAAAAGAAAATGAGCATACAATGTCAGTAGATTCAACTGAAAAACAAACCTCAGCAACCATGATTGAGCATGTCGAATAAACAATGTATCCCCCAGATTTTGAATTAGCATCCACCATGTCAATTGCCGCAAGAATGAGCTCCTACAGGGGAAACAAAGTTAATAACCAAGAGTATAAAAGAATAAACTATTCTTCAGATATTTAAAATAAATTATTGAAAACTTTTCCCACTGCTTTATGGCAGAATACAAAAAATGAATTATCCTGCACCAGCCTGACTTTGCAGACTTCCCAAACAACATTTCAACAAAGTTCAATTTACCTTCTGTAGCTGCGCACATTTCTGTATATCTTCCAAACTTTTAGAGGTTTTCACAGACTCATCTTTGGATATAACCTGCAGATAGAAAGTCCTATAGTGTCTTTCAACGTTCATCAAGAAAAAAGGGACAAGAAATCCCCCCAAACATTAACCCCCTAATATTATTCAGTATTTCTTACCCCAGTTCCACTGCAAGGGGCATCCAATAATACTCTATCAACGGCATTGACACCTAAAACTTTTGGAAGCTGAAATAGATAATATATATGGTAAACAGATGTAAGTATTTACAGCACAGATGTTATATGAACTACAAAATTATAGGACATGCAAATAGCACAGACAAGTGAAAATCTAAAAGTGTAATCATTTACCAAGGATAATAATAATAATAAATCAACAGAGAGTATAGTTTTCTAGGTATCAGTCTATATGTATACTGGTTCCACTGTCTTATTATAAACTTTGGAAGACCTATATCTGCCAGAGAAGTTTCATTTAAGAGATATAATTGAGAAGAATAGTTGGTAGGCTAGTTTGGTTTTTGAAACTTATTGCTCATGAATGAATGATTGGGAGCAGAAGGATGCTGTGGGAGGAGGCTCATACTGATGTTGGTCATGATGTCAAGCAGATTCTTGGAAAGATAATAGTAAGCTATAATCGTATTCAGATGGTTTAGAATGAGAAAAAAATGTCTTGCAAAGCAAGTAACATGGAGCAATCATGAATTGGAAGAGCTTGTATGATGTCTTCACATTTTGCAGTCTATAAAGATGGGGGCTAAAATAGAATGCATAGAGTGTTAAATCATAATGTAGATTCTCAACAGCTGAAGATTGAAAAATATTTGTCATGTTTCTCTCAGCATTTAAAAACAATATAGGGATTATTCCAACAATTTATCAAACAAAATAAACTACAGAGAACAGAGAAGCCAGGTAGATAGTCAAATATAATACAAAACCAAATGACAATAAAACAATCTAATAGCAGTAACGACATTAAAGCTCTAGTAAACACAAACAATAATAATTGAGGGCAAAAGATGCTAACCTCCTTTCCATCGTAGTTACAGACTACAGTGTTAGATACACCCATACGATGCAAATTTGCAGTCAAAGACTTAAGCCTTGGCACCTTCATTTCATTTGCAAAAATGATTCCTGCCATAAAAAATAGTATGATTGGCTTACTAGAAATACATATTTACAAACAAAAAATTTGAAGCAAAACAAGGATGGAAAAGAAAAATGCACGTAGTTCAGTAACTAAAATTCCAATATCCAACAGACTGTAAGAATAACACGACATAAAAAATGAACAGGATAATGCTTTTTTCTAGTGTCACTATTTGATTTTAAAGTTTAATATATAAGCTGAATGTTCACAGTTGCACTTAATTTGCATAGTTACGTCATGGTTTTCATGCATTAAAACATACCAAAACCAGTGCAAAGTTTAACCTAAGTCTGAAAAACAAATTCCACTATCCAGAATAAAGTAAATTGTTTGGTTCCTCTTCCGGCTAATATTTATTTATTCAAAAGTATTCAAATCATCCCAACTATATATTATATGAACAAAATACAGCATAAACATACAGTAAAATAAAGACACTGGAATATAATTACAATTAAAAAAATGTTTTACCAAAAGGGCAAGATTACGTCTTTTTTTGTAGAGCACAGCATTGTCATGGAATATACTTGATAGTATCCAAAATAAATAACATAAGTTACACTGTCGTTCATGATAACATGAGAGTAACAAGATTATAAGTCTCTACCACAATTCTGGTTACATATATATGAAGCAAAGCTAGGAAAAGGACAATACAACCTATTTAGTACCAAATAATGGATATACATGGTTTGAAATACATGAAAAACTAAGAAAAACATTAAAAAAATTACCAGTATTCTTCATTAGAGCAGCAATGTAAGTTGTTTTACCACCTGGTGCAGCTCTGCAAAAGGCAGAAATTTCCTTGAGCAAAATAAAAGAATTGCAAAAAAAAAAAGCATGTTCTGCATTGTTACCAAAACCAATGAGTGCTCATTAAAAATATGAAGGATAAGATTAACATCTTATAACCTAAGAAGGACAGACACATACACTTCTAAATAGCAATCATCCTTGTCACAACCATGTCAGAACTAGGCAAATGTTAACAATTGAATGAACACTTTGAATGATTTTAGCTGCATTTTTACAATGAATTATACTTACGCCATATCAACAACTCGTTCTTTCTCTTGAGGAGCCAAGGCCATGACAGGCAGAAAAGAGCTCGCACTTTGTAACTACATACCATTAATTGACTGTTATTAAGTTCATAATGCAATATTTAATGAAATGGAATGAGACACAATAGTAAAAGGCCACCTACCATGTAGAAACCAGCCATATACTCAGGAGTGGCACCAATTGGCACTTGAGAATCATACACAACAAGTCCAACCTGCGAATAAAAATATTATCCCAGTTTCTTATTAGGTTGTTGCTAGTACTCATAATAACAACAACACAACACAATAACAAAAAGTCCTTACCTTTGACCATTTGCTTAAAGGATCCAAATTAATTCCCCTATTTATCAACACATCTGCCAAATCCCTTCTTCGTGTCTGAGTGAAGGCAGAAGAAAAAATTATACTCTCAGTGGGAAAATGAATAAATCCACATTAACATATAAACCCAAAATGACAGAAAAGGACATGCAACCTTCAATGTGTTAGTTCTCAGACATATAGGGCGTGGCTTTTCAAAGGCTTCAATCAGTTCCATAAGTTCAACAACTGGAAACATCTGAAACAAAACAAAATACAACACTTATAAACAAACTCTCATTACACATTAATGAAATACAACTCCCTTTCTATGTCCTTTCATACCAAAGTAAAAAATGAACAAAAAGGGCAATAATAGAAATTGGGAAGAAATTAAAGCTCAATATGCTAGCGGTAAAAATATAATGATACCAACCTCCACTAGAACACCGATTAGATATTCATTGTAGCCATAGTACGTACAAATATCTTTCTTAAGCTGTTCAACATAATCTTTTCTCGTTGCCCCTTCTTGCCTCAAAACCTTAAAATTTGAAAGAACTCGAACAACTGCAAAAGCAAACACATTCAAAACAGTTACAATAACTTAGCCGTGTGTTTGGATATCTGTTTAGATCTAAAGCACTTCCCAAAGCAACATTTGGAGAGGTAACTATATTGGTGGATTGGGAAAAATGCAGGTTTCGTTTAACCTAAACATTTTCCCAAACACACACTTATATCACAACATGAAGAATGTTCAAAACGACAGTCAAAGAGAGTCAGCGGCAAAGTATAATAACTTACTCTCTTTAGTCCTCCTTTGGAGATTCGAAAGATCAGGTGGACGCAAAGCCTCTTCGTCAAGTTCCTAACAGCAAAAAAGAAAAAGAAACATATTCAACCCACATTCCAACATCCAATAATGTAAACGAAGAGTAACAGGTTTAAATTGCCTTGGGTTAAACACCTTAACTAAGCTTTACTTAACAAAGTTCTTTACATATACTTGCTTATTTTAGTAAGCTTCAAAGAATCTTATCTATAAAGTACAATCAAACAAACCCATTCTAACAGCTTGCTTTACGTGAAAGGGCCAAAATTCCAAATGTACTCTATAATAGCTGTAGCTAAATCCAAACGCTCCCTTACATACAATTAGCTTACTTAGCATTCTGAAAAAGACAGTCGTTCTAAATCATTCACCTATTACTTAGGGAAATCACAGGGGTTGCAAAATAAATGAAAAAATGAAACCTCTTTGGTTGGCAATCTGAACTCATCAGACTCTTGATTGATATTGAGTTGCATTTCGGCCTCTGCATCCTCTTCCTCTCTCGCTTTCTCTTCATCAATAGCTCTCGACTTCTCTTCAATATCATAATCATCCGAATCAGAACCGGAACCTGAGGCTTTCCCTGAAAAGAAAAAAAAAGACACAAACATTAGAACAGTCTCAACAACAATCTCGAATGCTACAGGCGCGCGCATAAGAACACTGAACAGTGAGCACCTTCGTCGTCATCGGTTCCTTGGAGGAAATCGTCGGCTAAGGGGTCGTCCCCGTCGGAAGAGAGCTCCGACGCGGAATCGGAGTTGTCGTCGCCAAGTTCAAGTTGCTGCGGTTGCAGCTGCGGCACCGTGTCTTCTTCGGATTCGGAGCCAGAATCGTGCTTGGGTTGGGTCTTCTTAGGGTTCTTCGGGGATTTGCGTGGCTTTGAAGGTTTCTTCCTAGCGGGAGCCATTGGAAGGAAGTGAGTGAAGCAAAGTAGTAAAGGGGTTGTGTGGTTTGCGCTGAGTTTCTTCTACTCCGCAGAAAAAATTATATTGGCTAGGGTTTAGGGTTTACAAGAAAAAGTAAACGACGTCGTTTACGCTTTGCTTATTAGATTGTATTTTTTCTGGACAGGGTTGGGCCCTTGGGCCTTCCTTTGCTTCTTGGGCGAATTATATTGACAGAATAATTGCGAGTTTAGTTCCACTTTAAAATTGTGTAGGTTAAATAGGTTTTTATTATCTTCAAAATTCATCATGATAAAAATTATATTAAAAAAATAATTGAATGGTTTTTTATTTTTAATACTTAATACAAGTACAGATTTTGTTTTATTATATATATATATATATATATATATATAATGATATTCTTTTTATAACCCTTATAAAAAGGATACAAATGTCATAATAAAAAATATAATTATTATAATTTATATATTTAAAAAATAATAAATATGAAAGAAAAAATGTATTATATATATATATATAATATAAAAAATATTAAATATTTCAATCGAAATAAATCAAAATAATAACTTAATATATTTTTTCTCTTATTCTAAATTATATAAAAAAAGTTTAATATTTATTTAAATAAAAAATATTAAAATGATATTTCCAACAAAATTAATATAATATATATATATATATATAATATTCAAGAATAATGTTATATAATAATACATTATATTCTTTAATATACTAATGACCTGCAAAACACGTATCAATTCACATATAATTGCAAACTTGAAATTTTGAAAGGCTCGTTCTATATATTTTTTAGTTGATTATTGACGTTAGATAAAAAAATTTCTCTACAAATCTAACCAACAATAAATAAATATTATCAATAAGATAATATCCTATTGAATATTTTAAAAATAAGTCAATTTCAAACAAACAAAATAGATAATTAATTGAATTTCTAGACCATAAAATATAAAAAAAATCTATAAAATATAAATATAAATTAAAAAATGTTACCAACCTTATTTGCTTAAAATTTAACAACTCTGACACATGTAAATAAACTCGAATTTTATATATATATAAATTATATATAAATTATCATTAATTTTATTTTTTAAAAATAATAAATAAATAAATAAAACTCATAAATATACCAAAAAACGAAATAAGAAAATGATTTAATATTAAAAGTTATTCTTCAATTTATAATTAATATGTAACTCAAGATAAAAACAATATCGTTAATATTTAGTTCAATAATAATTTATTATTTAATATAAATATAATCTTTTTGTGAAAATTATGTGTTACGCAAGTAATGATATGGATGGACTTAATTTGTAATAATTTAAAAAAAAATATTACACAAGTAATCAATTTAAAAAAAAAATATTTTGGTAAGTTTTAGTTTTATATATTGAAATTTGGTATATTTTTATTTAATATAATTTTATCTTTAACAAAAGGGGATTTTTTTTTCATTACTATTTAAACTAGCATGTTAGTTTCATTTATTTGTGAACTTTTACTTTTAAATATGAATCTTTAAAAAAAATATTTTGGCAATAGAATTTATCTAATCATTTAAATAGATTGTTTTTTCCCATGACTCAATAATTTTCTGCGAATTCTCATAATATATAAGTAAAATGTCAAAATATTTTTTAGACTAGTTTTCCTTTTTTTCATTACACCTCCATTTAACACTTCACCTTCGTATTGCATCTTCAAGCATTTTTTTCACGTTAAGATTTTTAATTTATTGTTGATTTATATTTTGAATAGCATAACATAAATTTATAAAAAAATCATTTTGATTTGCATTGTTAGTATTTCCGATGATTTGTTTGGAATATATTTTTGAAAAATATAATCCCAATATAAGTTTCACATAGGTTAATCTATAACGTATTTTTGAAGTGTATTTTCCAAAAATATATTATAGATTATTGAATTTAGAATATATTTCCAAAATTCTAGAACTCAATTTCAAGTTGTGTTTTCTATAAATATATTTCAAAATTTTCCTAATTTTGTTCTTCAAAAATGTTTCAGATGTTTTTTTTTTTCAAAAAATACAGTATAAAAATGTATTTGGGAAAATACCATCTAAAACTCATTTTCATGATGGATTTTTCAGAACATATTTATATCAGGGATATTATTTTAGATAAATATGGGCTGTATAAAGAAAATATGGGGATGAACGAACAAACAACTTATAAGATTCTTATGTCTTAAATTGATAAAGGCCCAAAAGTTAAAAGTGTATATGCCCATTCTTTGACTTTTTTTTTCTTGTACCATCATATTCATAAAAAAATATAATATTATTTTTAATATATATATATATATACACACACACACACACACACACATATATAAAAGCTATAATTTACTCTTTCCAAACTTTTCCATATTTGAAAAAGGAATCCAGAATTTAAATTATGAAAATTATTTTTAAATTTAACTTTCTGAAATCTTTCTAAAATGATAAAATTATATTATGGATTGAAACTTAAAAAAAAATCCATATATTATTTTGATTCTTAAACTCAACCATCTACATTTATTTTTGATCCTGAACATAAATTATTATCTAACATATAAGAATAAGTTGCATGTAATGATAACATAAATGTGATTAAAGAATTGATTTTTGTAGATTTTTTTATTATTTAATGAATTATTGAACTAAGATGTTTCTTAATTTCTCTTTTGTCAGGTCCAACTTAAATTATTCTATTTAAAAGATATGATTTGGGCTATGCTTTATCTCAACATAAAGAAAAAAATAACAAAAGAAAATAGAAATAACAAAACAACTAAAAAAATACTATCATTTTCATTTTCATTTTCAGGATTATAACCAAAATTAGTTACTTTATTAATAATATTTTCAACAATCTTACTTGTGTGACAATATAGTTATTGTGTAAAATGCGTGTATAGTTTATAAGCTAACAAGTGCAGAACTTTCTCTATTTTTTTACGGGCAAGTTTTAGATGAGAATGGTACCACAATTTAAGTCAGGAAAAGTTTTATGCTCAAAGATTGAGTATTTATGAGAATAAAATGATAACTTCCACTTGTAACCTGTCAAATGTGAAAACCAATTTTGCTATACTTCATCGACCATCTGGAGTTGAACTTTCTTTAGTCGAAGTAAATTAACAAATCTTCATTCTTCGATGCATGATAAGAATAAAATTTTTAGTACAAGTACTATCACACTATGAAAAAAACAAGTATTAATACTCAATCATTCAAACCAATAAGAAACAAAATTTAATGCTTTCCTATGCAGAACTTTAAAAAACATGAAGAAATGGTAATTGCCAGTTAGAAATGGTTGTTCCTAGCGACTTGAAATGTCAATTATCTTCCTTAATACCAATCAAGATAGGCTTTGGGCAGCCAGTTTCAAACCTGTTCCTGAAACAGCTTCACTGAACTGCAAATGTTATTCAGGCTATTCCTTTTCCCTGATAATGGTATCAAGATTAGCTTTTAGTTCACTAACATCCAAGCTCTGGGAAGTCGCAGCAGCCAGTTTTGCTTCATATTCAGCTACTTCTCTTTTAATTCTATCGGTTGCCAGAATTTTCTCAGATATTTGTTCAAAACCTTGGTGGATGCTAACCAGGAGCCTGTAAACCTGCAGTCCTGTTGGATCTTTCTTTGCTTCCCTAAAAAAATGAGAAATGGAAACAAAAATGCACATTACTTACCTTTGGTGAAAAAAATAAAATAAAAAATTAGTAGTATATTTTTCTTTTCATTTCTCTGTTTTGTTTCCCGAGTACATTTCAATTTTGATTCTTCTTTCTTGTTTTTGCATAATGATATGTAGTATTTGTGTGTATATGTGTATGCGGTGGCAATAAAATTTTCATACCTAAAGACCATTTCGTCAGCGACAGCATAGGTTCGGTGCAAGCGTTCCTGAATAAAATTACTCTCCAGTTGAACATCCCTAGTATCTTTCAAGATCCGGTCAATATCGATGTCTTGTTTCCGACTATTTTTTGTAATCTCCTTTATCCTGTCAGTGTAGGATTTCCTGGATGCTATTTTCTGCTGCTTCTCAAGATCTGCAGAAAGTTTAAAAGGTTCCTCCTCCCTAGAGAGTGATGGAGAGGAGAGAACATCCAAGTCAAAAAGGCATATGCATCTTTTTAGGAAATCAGATTATGCTATGACATCAATTCAATCAAAGTTATTCAGTCAGTTAAGATGAAATCAGTTGAAAATTTAACACGCTCATTAATCTTATGTTAGGTAAATCCGGTGTAGTTGTGCTTCAATAACAAATTAAAGATGCAACACAGACAAAATGAACACAAATTCTTTAACAAAGGAAATTAAGCTTGCTGCACTGATGCTATCGATGTAAATGTTTCTGGACTCTTTCTAGGAAGCAGAGTTGCACACACAGTTTGAGAGCTCAGATCATGTATATTGCAAAATTAGCAAATTGGACTTAATGCATGAAGAACTAGATGAAAGATAACTTCCAAGAAGTTTTCATATCTTCAGTTATGGGAAAAAAGGGATTAGTAGTGAGATAAATTCCTTTAAGAAATACTAGAAGGGAAAAAAGAAGGATGGTAAAAGGAAAAGCGGTATATTATTAACCACCAATTCTTAAACAAAACTAAAAGACATATTGCTGACTGGAAGTCTCCAGCAAAGATTTCACAAGAAATAAAAAATTTAGTTAGCAGGGTCTTATCTCAACGCATTTTTTAAGTTTGCCTTTTCAATCTACCTTTGCTTACTTTTCCTTAGAATTTTATTTCAAATGGCAAAATCAATGCAAAATAAGCTTCAGATATGTACCTCTTCATAATTTCAGATAAAATGAACTGTTCTTCCTGCTGCACTTCTTTCATCTTTAGAAGCATTTTTAGTGCATCTGGGTTGTTTGAATAGAGAGTCTCCTCAAGACTTTCCTTTCTCTCCTCCAAGGGTTTTCTTACAGCGTCCCTAAGACATATTGAAAACAAAAAAGTTAAAAATAATTCCACTGCTTTCACTCTCTTAAGAAACTAAGGAAAATTATTCTGTGCTTAAGAATTATCAATTTTGTCTTACCAAAGTGATACCCCCCATTTTGTATTGTAGAGGTCAAATTGAGCATTTTAGTATTCTATGTTATGCCTTTGCTGACCCAGAATTAAAGATAAACCGTATAAGACATGTCATACTCAAACAAGTAATTTTAAAAAAATCACATGAACTGTTTGACCTACCACTCAGACTCCAAATTTAAAAGGTAATTCCTTTTAGCTTGTACTTGTTCATTCAACTGGTCAATGTAGAAGTCAACAGAATGTTGGTTATTAGATGCCATTTCAGTTGCTTCCTTCATCAGTTCCAATTCTCGTTCAAGATGTTCTAGTACTGAAGTCTTTACAGTTACTTCATCGAAGAGTTCTTTCTCCTGAATTTGAAATTTATCAGTTTCAATTCAAGTCTTTTCTAGTCCAGCATCAAGCCTAAAGAAAAGAAACACATAAGCCATTTACTTCAATTTCACATATGTAATAATCATACGACTAAATACAACCTTTTACATTAAATTCAACAATACCTATTTGTTATACACATTTTACACTTGGACATAATAGATAAAGAAATGAGAAAAAGCTGAAAAAATATTATATTTTCTCAACTAGACATCAGCTTATTATGAGATTTTTTTTAGGAAACATACTTTTTGTTTCAAGACCGACAAATGCCCACCCCCACTATGAGCAGGATTCTCTTCATTTCCTAACGAACCTCCTTCTGCATCAACCTGTCCTTCAGACAGTCCCTTCGCATTTAATACACAGTTGAATTCATTATTGATAAAACCTTCCATCCTAGAGCTGGATTCATCTTTGTTGTCCTGATTGATAAAGACGTCACCATTGGTACTCTCTGTTCCACGTGTCTGGGTATTCATCATAAGATCATTTATTGTGCTTACAACTATATAATAATCACCAATTACCTCTTCATCGTCTTCCTTTTCAATTGAGTCCTACAAAGAGCTTAGTTGTTTGTCTTCTCTTATTCTGTGTTTAGTTCTAGTACATGTATGGTTTGGCTCGGTGGCCCTTTTACATTCACACAACTATGAAATCCTCTAAACCAGGAGTTCTATTAATTTATACAGACCTTCTTCAGATGGGTACAGGAAGAGCCATAAGCAGAAGATATATTCTGTTTTCAAGTATAAATGCAAAAGCAGTGAACACAAGAACCATAATGAGAAGAAAAGCAAACAAAGATACCAGAGTAGCAACAACTATCACAGAGCCAACAATACAAGCATTTTGTAACGAAAAAGGATTATAAATCTCCTGTACCAAAAAGAGAGAAGAAAAGACAAGCACAGCGGTGATGGGGGGTTGTTCTACAAAACATCACTCTTCAAACATCAATCATGTTATCACACAGTTTTAATAATTATCACAGTTTTGCACACTACACATAAGCTGGTTGAGTTGGATAACATCACAAAATATGCTTGAGCACCCTACTAAGCCCTAGTTTAGTTCACAATTCACACTCGGAACTGACATAACTAGCTAACTTATTATATTTAGTTTTGCAACCCCACATTTCTTAACTTTATCAGAAATGGAAATTCACCAAAAGGCACATGCATGTAATTTGTCAAGAATTATAATTAACATAAAAGACTAATATGTTGATTCTTATAAAGAAATAAATTAAGTCATCAAAAGATAACAGTGAAAAGGATGACATCAACATGCCCAAAGTTTGATTTCATTCTACAACTAAGATACCAGACTAAATTGTCCAGCAAACTCAAGTTAAGAAAAAGAAGGAAAACAAAGAATGAAAACTGATATGAAGATTTGATCACTATTGAATGATCTGGGATTCCCACTCACTATTCCATTAAGCTGCAATGACTATTATATACAGACGAAACACCACACATCACAATACCATTTACAAATGAAAATCTAACCAAAATATAATATTTTTTCTTACTGGTCTCCATATATCCAAACACTGACCCAAAAGGGAAAATTGTAAAAATTGAGCATTGTGACAGTACCTGGGTGAAACTGATATCTTGAACGTTACCAAAGTTCTAAATCAGGAAGATGATTTCGGAAGGGACGAAACCCCAGAACGACGCCGTATGGTGGATTAAAAAGTTTGAAGTTCTAAAATTTCAATAATGGTGTCTGGTGTAGATAGTCTCCACTCTGTTTGTCAAGTTCTAAATCAGGAAGATGATTTCGGAAGGGATGAAACCCCAGAACGACGCTGTATGGTGGATTAAAAAGTTTGAAGTTCTAAAATTTCAATAACGGTGTTTGGTGTAGATAGTCTCCACTCTGTTTGTTGGACACCAAACGATGTCGTATCTCATTTGCAATATTTGACGGACAAAAGATCTGCACATTATACAAATTGAATGATTATTTTATATAACTTAATATATATAATAAATAAATAATTTGAACATATAAGTTATATTTAAAATTTATAATACATATTTTATATATAATATCAATTTATTTGACATTGATTATAAATTAGATAAAATAAGGAAATATTTATATAGTTAAAATTAAAATTAAATAAAATCTTATAAACTGCATCACACCTTATTTTTATTACTTTTACGTAAAATTCAATTTGTTTAATGTTGCGTAAGAGAAAGATTCTTGAAGATAAAATTTCCATCAAAGGCTCAATGATTGCAGTCACATTCTTTCCTTTGTGAAAGAATGGTTTTATGAAAAGCAAACCTATGAATGCTCGGGAATGGATTTTTTAAATGTTCAGAATCTTCTCCAAACCAAATATTCTTCATTTTCTTTTTATGCATATCAAAATGGCTGAAAATAAACCGAAAACTTCTGATAATGGTTAAAGGGCATGTGTATGAGTATGAAGACTAGAAAAGAAAGAATACAACAACAACAACAACAACTTGTCATGAAAAGTTTGTGTCACATAAACCAAATTTTTTTCCTTTATATATAGACATGATTATTTGTTCGATGCAGTTGACTCAACAGAAAAATATTTAGTTGCTAGAATTTGCCTCAAACTACCTCTCATTGACTTCGTTGATCATGGAAATTGGGAGAGAGGGTGAGATTGTGGACATGTCCATTTCACCCCCAGTAGTTGGTTCCACTATTAACAATGACTTTTGTCAGCGCAAAGAGTTCATGTCACAGACATATCTTCAGAATAAGTACTCAGAGATTGACATAGACATTGAAGGTTCCAATTTCGAACAAAATCGCCCCCTCCCCATATTTCTCAAGGTACTAGGAACTAATGGCTTTAAGTTGTAGGACAATAATGATACAATACATTTTGAAGTAACTAGATAGTGTATAAGCTTGTTGATATTTATAACAGTTACTTTAGAAACAGTACTTGACATTGTTTATTATTGAATGACAGTGTATAGAAATTAATCTCTTCTTTGATGTAGGTATGATTGGTTTATTTTCTAGAATCAATTTATTTGTCTTGTAAACACACTTTTAAAGTGTGTTGACTTTTGATAGAATAAAGCACCAAGTAATGTGTTAAAAAGTTTATGAGAATGTGATACTTTGCACTCTTCTTTAGTTTTTTGTGTGTATTCTTCTTTTGTTGCAAATGGACTAATAGAATCAAGTAACAAGTATCATAACTTGTTTTAGTAAGCCAACAAGAATCATGATATTACTATTTGGACTATTTGGATTTATATACTCTCCGTATCTCATTTGCAGTTTGACGATGTGAAGTATAAAGTGAGAAATAGACAAACAAGATCAGGTATCCTTGTGAAGACTATGGTGTCAAAGGCAACCTCACAACTCACTGTGAAGGTAGATAGATACAAGAAAATTTTAAAGGGTATCACAGGAAGCATAGGTCCTGGTGAAATTCTTGCCTTGATGGGTCCTTCTGGCAGTGGGAAGACAACCTTGTTGAGAGTTATAAGAGGAAGACTAGTTGACAATGTAAAGGGAAAAGTAACTTATAATGATGTTCGTTTCACTCCAGCTGTCAAGAGGAGGTTAAGTGGTTAACATAATCATCTGTTACTTCAGAAATGGAATCCTTACATTCACACATGAATTGGAACCATTAGATTAAGTTCATATATACATATCTGAAGTTGAACCTATTGAGATAAAATATGTGACATCTGATCTTCATCCAATGGTTCTGATTATCTAAATGTGTAAATGCATGAACTCCCTGAAAGAGCTCCTTCAAATACTTTATACTTTTATGGAATATGAAGGTGTGCTAATATTTTTTATTTTCTTTTTCCCCTACGTACTAGGATTAGGTTTGTGACACAAGAGGATGTGTTTTCCCCACAATTAATTGTTGAAGAAACTTTAGTCTTCTCTGCACATTTGAGGCTACCAAGCAGTATGAGCAAGCAGCAAAAATATGCAAAAGTGGATACCACCATCAAGGAGCTAGGCCTAGCAAGGTGTGTTTTTGCGCCATATTTTAATGTGCACATGACAAAAGTTACTTCAATTGAAAGACATAAAAATGTTCCCTAAATAACCCCTTGCATAACCATAGATGTCGCCACACAAAAATAGCTGGAGGATATCTCAAGGTCATATTAGGAGGAGAAAGGAAAAGAACCTATATAGGCTATGAAATTCTTGTTGATCCTTCACTTCTGCTACTTGATGAACCGACTTTTGGCCTTGATTCCTCCTCAGCAAACAAAGTCCTTCTCACTTTGCAAGGACTTGCAAAGGTATCTATAACTAAAGTCATTCATGTTCCATTGTGATAAAAGGTTCACGCGTAGAATTACAACCTAAATGCATGAATATATACATTCTGAGAGTTACATTTGATTTACTTATAGGCTGGAAGGACCATAATCACAATAATACATCAGCCATCCAGTGGAATCTTTCACATGTTTGACAAACTTCGTTTGATATCAGAAGGCTATCTTGTGTACTATGGAAAGGCTAAGGAAACAATGGAGTACTTTTCATCTTTGAGATTCACCCCTCAAATACCGATGAATCATGCAGAGTTCTTGCTTGACTTGGCAACTAGACAAGTGAATGACATAAGTTTTCCGGCTGATATCTTTCAAGATCAAGAATCTTCTGACCCTTCAAAAGTTGTTATTGAAGTAGGATTTTCCTGAGACAAACATATTTATGCACATGTTCATCTCTTACCAGCGTGTTGTTAATTGTTTCTTTATTTTGGTAGTATCTACAACTCAAATACAAATCTCTACTGGAGCCAAAAGAAAAAGAAGAGAATCATAGAGCAGCAAGCACACCAGAGCACCTTCAACTAGTCATTTAGGTTAAGATGGAGTGGGCACTGAGTTGGTTTTGTGGTTCTTTCTAAGAGAACATACAAAACAAGATAAAAGGACTAATTTGATAAGCTAAAGCTAGTTCAAGCACTTGGAATTGCACTTTTGTTGGGGCTCCTTTGGTGGAACTCTTCAACCAATACTGAAGCTCAACTCAGAGATCAGGTAATGTCCATGACATTATTTATCTCATGTTGCAAGGTCAAGCTTCTAATCAAAATTTTTCCTGCAGGTTGGTTTAGCATTCTACATCTGTATATTCTGGACATCTTCATGCATTTTTGGAGCAGACTATATCTTTCCATTTGAGCAGGCTTACTTGATAAAAGAAAGGAAAGCTGACATGTACAGATTAAGTGTATACTATGCATGTAGCACTCTATGTGACATGGTGGCACATATTTGCTATCCTACTTTTTTCATGCTCATCTTGTACCTCATAGCTGGCTTTATGAGAAATGTTGCTTCCTTCTTCTTGACACTATTGTCGCAAACAAAATTGTAGCGGGACAACGAACCAAATTTTTATGATTTAAAAATAAATCAGATCAAAATTTTGGAGTCGCCACTATAGTTTATTCTGGAAAACTATGAAAAACTATAAAGATAAGACAAGGTCTACAAAAACCAGATTCGGGTTTAGAAGTCGGTTACATGTAGGAAAGGTATTAACACCCTACAACGTCCGTCATAAGACGGTTATCCTTAGTTAAATATGCAAAATTGAATGTCATTTTAAAAATATGTATTTACCCCCAAATCAGAAAACAAAGAAAGAAAAATAGAATAAAAAAGAGAATGGACTAAAATATTTTTTAGTTTTTTTGGGGCCCGACAAGGAGTATTCTCATTCAAAATGAGGGTAGTTCTTTGTAGAAAAAGTTTGTATGTTGATTAAGGTTTTGAAATATTTTGATTTTTTGAAAAGTTTTGTATTTTGTTTTAGGTTTTGAGGAAATTTATATTTTTATTGTTTTTGCTGTTTTGAAGACACATGTGGTCATACCCATGTTTCAAAAGTTTATTTAAAATAGAGAACATGACGACATGAACGATCGTCGTCCTCGTATCTCAAGGTTTATTTACAAAAGGAGAGGACATGCACGGTAATCAACCACACAATCCAAATAACCCAATAATAACATAACCCACTCCCACTAGAAGATTACCAATAACAAATAGTACAACCCAAATAGTACGATCCAGTTTAGATAACACAACCAACACCGCCATCCAATACAATCATCAAAGTTTGGATGCAAAATAATGAAAACTTTAGACCAATCACAACATATTAAGAGACTAGATCATCTGCACATCAACATTACATTAGGCTCTAAACGAAAATTTGGCAGAATAACAACATAATACAAACATCACCATAAGACCCACGGTCTTAACAACCAGTACAAGGCAGGACACCATCTCAACATACAATAATAGTATCACCTGTTTTAATAATAATCTTTAACAGTGAGATGGACACAATTCGTACAAACAGCAGACAGCACAACCAAGAAACTCAACAACCCCATTTAAACTAAACCCATCAGAAACAGCCAACATAATCAAATCTAAGCATAACCCACAATCAAATAAACGGAACAAAACCAAACTGGAACCACACGCCTCGACTTGGATACAACCACGCTAAACAGATCCCAATCAGAAACAACAACATTAAGCAAGGGTCAAAATCAACAAAGTTAAACCATCAGAAACGAAACCCTCAATCAGAAATGCAATACCAGATCAGAATAAGGCGGAAACATAAAACAAATCAAGCAAAAAGAGACCCAAAACGGCCTCACCTTCGAGCAGGGGACTCGGTGCTACTCCAGGGACACCACTCGCGGCAGCTGCGGCGAGAGTGGGAAGATGGTTCACTTTGAAGGCGTAGCGAGGGGTGGTGGTTCGCGGAGACGCGCGGGGTTGGCGCGGCCGAGACCCGTGGTGGCCGTGGTGAGGGACGCAGACCGAGCGTGAAGAAGGCACGATGGTTCCACAGTGGGGCTCGCGATAGCCACTAGCGGGGACGCGTTGGCCGCCAGTGATGGCTGGAGGTTCGCCTAGGCTACTGGTGGCTCCTGATTTCGGCGTGATGGGCGGAAATAAGCGGCTAGGGTTCTGGTGAAGGTGGGCCGCGATTGGTGGTGCTGCGAATCACAGTGGCGGCGCGACACTGGCGAAGGTGGCCCTCGAGTGGCGCGATGGTTGGGCCGAGAGGAGAGGAGGTGGCTACAGAGAGGAGGCACGACGGAGATTGGGAACCAGATAGAAGGGTTGGTGCAGGTGAGTAGCCGGTACGCGGCGGCTTGAGCTGGGTTCGCAGCTCCGGTGAGGGCGGCCCGCGGTGGAGATTGGCGAAGGTGATTTAGAAGGTGAAGAGGGTGTTGCTGGGAGAAGATAAGGGAAGGGGAAGAGAATGGGATGAAAGGTGAGTGAAGGTTGGGTGATTGGGGGCGGTGGAGGCTGCCGTGATGCAATGGTGTGGTGATTTGGGAGATATTGATTTGTGGTGAGTGGCTGGAAATGGGAAGTGAAGGTGAGGAACAGGTGCGGGAGGTGGAGGATGTGAGTAAGAAGGGCAAACGGTGAGTGGTGAGGGGGTGGCCTTTACTTGGTGCCGTGCCCGTCAGAGTGAAATCTGGAGGCTGCTTCCCCTTCTTAATAACTCCATCTTATGATAAAAGAATTTGGGTAATAAATATACGCTGGCCAAAAATTTATTTTTTTCTTTTTTATATTGTCAAAATAATTACCTTCTTTTTTTTGTTAAAAAGATAAACACTAATAAAAATAATTATTATATATATATATTTAAAAATTAAAAGGTTAATAAAAGAAAAAAGAATCCTTTTTTTTCTTAGAAGTGTAAAATGCTAGGAAGAGAAATTATATTTCTTGTTCATAAAAATATCCAATCATAAACTAATACTGTTTTCACTCTCTGTTAACATGATCTCGAACACAATATTGTATTAAGTTTTTGTCAAATGACTTATAGTGTATTTGTATTCTTCGGTAATTTTCGTTAAATTAGAAACAATAATTTGTTATTTTCACATTTATATATATATATATGGTTTCGTCAATGGGTAGTGTTTGTAAATGTCAAGTATTAATTATTTTTTATTTTAATAATTAATTTCTTTAATTTTTCTTCTAATTGCTTTTATTTCATAATTTAATTACTCTTTTTCTTTATTTCTTCATTATTTATCTTTATAATCCATTTTTTCAAAAGAATTCCTACAACTTTCACCTGAAAATTTAGATAACAGTAGAACGTATATTTAAAAATAAAAACAAAGAGAATTTAAATAAAATAACTTAATATTTATAATTTAAAATTTTTATCAAAATATAATATTTAAAATTTCACAATGTTATGTTTTTATTTTATTTTATTGTTTTGTTAAACATTGTCTATACATAATATTTAAAAACTAATTATATAATTTTAATAAAGAAATAAAATATTTAGTTGTGACCGTTAGGTCACATGTAGCTATGCGATTAAATATATATTCAAAATTTATAAATATTTTAAATAATAATTTTATTTATTCAACTAGATATGTGCATTGTTTTTTTTTTAATCTCTTCTCTTATTTTCTCACATGCCTTATTATTTTAATTAAAATATTAAATTAAAATTTAATAAAATAAGTCTTTACTATTTTTAAAATAAAAAATATTTAAATTATATGAAAATATTATAATTTAATATTTTTTATAAAATTTGAGATATTACAAATTGTTATCTTATAACTATTAAAAAAATTAAATATTTATTTTAAAGTAAATTTTAATCAATATTTTTTAAAATTACTTGTTATGACTAATCTTTATAACTTAAATTAATTATAATTAGATTAAATTTTTAAATAAAAATACATTTAACTCATAAATATTTTATATTTTTTAATTAAATGAATAATTGTTTTATTATGATAAAATAATTTAAAATTAATTATTTAGGTAATTATAAATAAAATAATTTGTTATGATCACAATTTAAAATAATTAGTTGATATTCTTTTAATTTAATTCTATTAGATTTTAATATAGTAGTTTTAATTATAAAAATAAATTAGGGAGGAAAGAGAAAAAAAAGATACAAAATACACAAAGTCAAAAATAGATGAAAAGAGAGAAATAATAAAAAAAATTATATGAACAACAAATAAATATGTCTATTTAGATAAATAAATTAATAAATATTCTAATTAAATAATTTATTTTAAAATATATTATTTATAAAATTAATTCAATTAAACACAAACTTTATATCTTATATAATTCTTATGAAAATAAATTAGATATGAAAAGTTTATTATAATTTAAGTCCATCAATTTTTTTCTTCTATTTTTTTATATATTTTAAAATAAATTATTCTTAAACGGTTGTTGTATATTATTATCTTAAAAATATTTTAATGAGTAAAATAACCTTTTCAACTTTATTTTTTGTTTTGAATATAATTAATAAAAATGTAAAAAACAAGTTAAAATATATTTTTTAAAATATGAAAATTTGAGTAACACGTAAAATGGTAATTATTATTTTCAACTCTGAATATTTATAAAATGTTTAATATTCTACAGATAAATATTCCTTATTACATGTGTTTCATTTTTTATTGGTTTAAAAAAAATATTATTTATTCTCAATACAATAATTGATGTGTGAAACCAAAATTGTAGATTGTAACAAAGTTTCTGTCTTTGACTAGTTGTTTGGTTAGTTTACACAATGATTTCATCAATAGCTTTATTTTTATATTTTTTTAGTTTACTTTTGAAAATTAGTGTAATTACTTTATAATTTGTTTTGTGTGGCTTAAAACTATTGGATCAATTCATCCACCTCAAAGTCAAACCAAAATTTCAATTTTATTATGTTCACTCTTCATTCATAATTTTTTAAATTATGATACTTTGTTTTTTTCTTTCAATAAAAAATTTAAAATTAATTTCACTAGTTATTACTGTACAGAAGAATTAAAAACTCTTTTATGAGCATTTTTTTTTTGTATACATAAACATAATTTATTTTATAATTTAATGTCGAGTAAATGAATCGTTAAACACAATCTGATATTTTACTATTCACTATTTATTGTTAATAATTACAGTGATAAGGGGAATTTTGCACTATTTACATTGGAACATAAAATAAACAAATAAAAATATTTAAAGTTTAATCAAAATTAATCGAGCTAAACCATATTTCATAAAATAATATATTTATTATAATATAATAAAATTATTATTAATAATAATTTATTTAAAAAAGGAAAATGTATAATAATAGTAAAAATTATTATTATTATGATGATATAAATATAAAAATAATAAAAATGTGAAAACTAATTATAATAAAATTTTATAAAATAAATTAAAAAAAGTTTTCTCAAAATTATTATTAATAAAGTTAAAATTGTCCTAATTTTATAATATTATTTTATGATTTCACTAAACTCAGTTATCTTTGTTATGTACACCTTATCAAATATTTTATCATATCTTTCACTTTGAAATTATTTTTTTATGTCCTCCATAAAATTGATTATGAGTGATAAAATAAGTTTAATCTAATATATTAGTCTAAAAAATTTGAAAAATAAATTAAGTTAGTCAAATTTTATAATCTAAATTGAATCAAATCCTAACTCATAAATTTATAAATAGATATATTTTATACAATAATAATTATTAAAAAAAATAAAAATAATACTATTTTATTAAAAAAATATATGAATTATAAATTAATAATAAATATCAAATTAAATATCTAATATCTTATGATTAACATTAATTATTATTTTAAACTAATAAATTATTAAAATAAATAATAATAATAATAATAATAATAAGTTTTAAAATTTTTATTTTGAGATTGAATAGATTCATTCTCTTATAATTTTTATATTAACTTAGTATATCTTAAAAAAATTAATTTTATTGATAAAATTTAAATTCTCTAAATATATTTTTTTAGTTTGATTTAAATATTTGTTAAGTAATTAATTTTATATAAATATATTAGTTTTTTTTAAATAATCACACAAAAAATTGCTAGTTAAGACTTAACATAAAATCATATTAAGTTAAAATTTTAAAATTTTTAGTCTCTTTTAAAATATATTCCAAATTAAATCATTAAATTTTTTAATTTAATCCGTAAAATCAAATCAGCTGAACTAGACTGTCTATTTTAATAGTTTTAAATTAATTTTGATATCATAATAATTTTGAAAAAAATATTTATTATTTTATTTTTTGTAAAGTCTTAAATATGTACAATATGATATAATTATAAAATTATATCTCTCAAATCTTTTATAAATCTTCTTATTTATTACGAAAAATTAACACATAAATCTTTTACATAACACTTCAATTTTATTTGTAATATCTATAATATAAAATTATGAAATATCTTATTAAATAATATATTAATATAAAAAAAATAATAAAAGATGAAAAGATAATAAATCAAAATTATAAATATATAAATATATATATTTAATAATTATTAAATTTTGAAGATAAAACCACGAATATATAATTTATAAATACCGTCAGGTTCTAATAACGTGAGTAATCTTGAATATCATGTTTTTTTTTAATATTTATTGTATATATATATATATATATATATTATAATATTAATAATAATTTGTTTTAAAAAGAAATATAATAATTATTATTAATATATAAATATAAAATATTAAAACTAATTATAATAAAATTTATAAATTTTTTTAAAATTCTCTCAAAATCGTTATTAACAAAGTTAAGATTATCCTAATTTTATAATGTTACATATTCTTATATTTTTGACTTAAAATTTTATGTCCTATATAGAATTGATTATGATATCTTAATAATTTTGAAAAAAATATGCATAATATCATATAATTATAAAATCATAACTCTCAAATATTTTATAAATCTGAAAAATTAACCCACAAATATTTTATATAAGATTACAATTTTATTTGCAATATTTATCTTATAAAATTAATATAAGAAGATTAATGAAAATAAAAATATTAAAGATCAAAATTATAAATATATATTAAGTTAATACCGAAATTATAAATATTGGAGATGATTACTCGTTCCCAATAAATCTGCTACTGAATATCACAAATTATATATATATATATATATATATATATATATATATATATATATATATATATATATTAAGTCAGGTATGTATATAAACCATTTAATTAAGTTCCTATTTATACATTTTCATGAAATAAGATCCTTTATAAGTTTTATTGTGACATTTAATAAACTAAAAAACTATTCAAATAAAATTACAAAAAAATTATTAAAATGAATTAAAAACATAATATATATATATATATATATATATATATATATATATATATATATATTAAACACTGATTAAATAAGCTTTGTATAATATTTTCAAAGAATTCTGATAACTTCAAAAGAATAAGAAAAGAAAGTAAACGCAAACTACCCATTATCAAATTCTTTTGGTCAATTATATTCTATATCCCTGAAGAATAGCTGTAAATATTTGTTGTAGATTTGATTTTAAAAAGAGAAAAATAATAAAATGGAAAAGAGAGAAATAAGTAAAAATGAAATAATTTTATAATTTATTTAATAATAAAAAATACGAAGTAAAGAAATATAAATATACATAAATTCTGAATAAAAATGTTAAGTATGCAAAGGTAAAAACAATTTATATTTTGATGAAATTTTTTTTTTTTTTTTTTTACAAGTTGAAACAATTGAAAATACAAATTAGTTCCAATTTTATTTTTCTTTTTTCTCCTTTTTATTGTTTCCTATATGTTTTTTCTTCCATTAACATATCAGTAAAAGAAAGAAAAGTAAAGAACAATTTTATTTTATTGATTTAAAGATATTTCATAACCCTTTTTATACTATCCTATTTTTGTTGATTTTGTTAAATCCATGCACTTTCCTATTTTCCCACACAAAAACAAAAAACACAAAAAAATTGAAGCCACTCTTTCATCGAACTCTGTTAGTCAAAACTTATTCAGTTGCTTTCTCTCTCAGTTCATAACTGGCATATACTGTCACACACATCAAAAATCAATCCTCTCTTTCCTATGTTCATGTTCTGCTGAATCATCATCTCACCATGGAACTTGTTCCATATTCCGACCCATCCACCACCGCTCCAGCATGGCAGGACATGTTCCGATCGGCCTCTTCCCGCCTCCCCTCCTCCGCTCCTCCTCCCCGCGCTTCGTGCTCTCAACTCCCGGTGCCGCCCTCACAACCCCAGGATCCGCCCTCGCAACTTTACTCGCCTCCATCACAGCTCCACGCGCCATCCCCCTGTCCACGCGTGTCGCCTAATCCGCCATCTGAGGACGACCCGGATGGAAAAAGCACATTTTCCGGCGATCCCCAGGTACGGCTGGCCCTTTACATAGCCATGGCTCATGCGGGTCTCGCCTTTGCCATTTTCATTCTCTACACTTTCTCCAAGCTTCTGGAACAGTATTTGCGACCTCTCCAATGGGCTGTGTTGTGCTCTATTCCCCTCAGGGGTATTCAGGAAACCCTTGTCGAGTTTTGGTCGGAACCCCTCCATCTGGGTCTGACCGAAACTGTTCTCGCTCTTCCGGTTGCTGTTTTCAGGGTTTTTGTTGGCACACTCGTTGAGATTCGTGAAGCTTCATTCAGAGTCATTTTGAGGAAGCCAAAGCCTCAGCAGAACCTGCCATCGAGGAAGCGTAGTGGGTTCTCCAAGATGCTTCGTTTGCTGGTATCTTTTGGGATTTTCATCATTGCTTATGAGAGGCTTGGAGGGTTTGGGGCTTTGTCACTTCTTATTTTGGGGTTTTTGTTTAGTTCGAACAATGTGGATTCCACTATGCACACTTTGTCTTCTTTTAGGAGCCTTAGTTTCAGGCGTAGTGCAATTAGTGCCTTTTTCACTAGAGGGATACTGAGGAGGTTGAAGATTATTGTGGCAATTGGACTCATTGTTTGCATGATTATTGGGTTTTTGAGTGGGGTCATTTTCTTCTCTTACAAGATTGGTGTCGAAGGGAAAAACGCAGTGATATCATTGAAATTGCATGTGGAGGAGAGCAATTATGCTGAGAGGATTGGTGTGAAGAAGTGGATGGATGAGAATGATGTTACTGGGATGGTGGATAGTTACACTACAAAGATATATAAGACTGTTTCTGATCAGATAGATGGATTGGCTGTGCAGTATAACATGACTGAATTTGTCACTGGCATTAAACATTTTGTGATATCTAATCCGGCAAACTCTTCAGTGCCGTCCAGAGCCTTGATGACTCCCTCACCATACGCTGAGAGGTTCTTGAGCTTGAAAACCCGGGTTAGGAACCGCGAATGGGGCCAGATTTATGCCGAGCTTGATTCAATTTTGCGCGAGCTTGTGATCACTCGTGAGGATTTGGTTGAGAAGGCAAAAGGGTTTGCCTTCAAAGGAATTGATGTGTCTCAGCGAATTTTCGCTAGTAGTAGAACTGTGCTTGGCAGCAGTACAAAGATTGTGTTTTCTATAGCTAATTCTATAATCTCTGGAGCTGCTGAGGTTTTCAATTTTGTTTCTCAGTCAATGGTGTTTATTTGGGTTTTGTATTATCTCATCACATCAGAGAATGGTGGAGTGACAGAACAAGTGATGCACATGCTTCCAATTTCAAACGCTGCTAGGGTCAGATGTGTTGAGGTTTTGGATAAAGCTATTTCAGGAGTCCTTTTGTCCACTGCTGAGATTGCAATTTTTCAAGGGTGTCTTACTTGGCTTTTGTTTAGGTTGAACAAAATACATTTCTTGTACATGTCGACTGTGCTTGCATTCATAAGTCCTCTCTTTCCAATATTTCCATCTTGGCTTGCAACAATTCCAGCAGCCTTGCAATTAGTGTTGGAAGGCAGATACATAATGGCCATTGTGCTGTCGATTATTCACCTTTTTCTCATGGACTATGGAGCATCAGAGATTCTATTAGACGTGCCTGGAAATAGTGCATATCTCACTGGGCTAAGCATAATTGGGGGAATGACATTGTTCCCATCTGCTCTGGAGGTAATTTTTTTTACCCTCCTTGATTTAGTCTTCTGATGATTTTAGAAGCATGATGCTTCATGTTTTAGTCTTTAATTTTTAGCTTTTTGTGTTAACTTGCTTCTTTTGGAGATTGTTGGCAAACTGGTTTACCTGCATAACTTGTTTATAATTCCAGTTTTGACCTTCAAAATGTTTCTATTAAGTTGATGTGGTCTTCTCTAAACTGAACTTATGTTTGCTACTTTTGAAAATAACGTCCCAATGCATTTGGCATCCATTGAACTGCTCAATATCCTATAATTGATATAAAGCAGTTTCGATTCTTCTGCCTTTTGTTTTTCCCTTTCAAGTATTCTCTTTTTTTGGGAGGGGTCAGAATCCGGATTCCATGCACTCACAATTTCAGACAAACAAGAAATTTAAGTTTGATTTACCAAGATAAAATATGAATCATTCTATCTTCATTCAACAGTTTCAAATGGTCAAATACCTAACTGTAGGGAATGTGGATCCTTGAGATCAGAGTTCAATTTTCCTGTTGAGACATTAATTTCAACGTTGTAATAAGCTTCATTTTTTATCATGTTTGGTTCAGTGTACAAGGTACCTTGTTTAGATGCATATGCACTTCTTTTATGGTATCACCTGACATCATTACATTGACTAAAGGGTGTAAGTGATTCTGCAGGGAGCTATCATGGGGCCATTAATTACTACAGTTATGATTGCAGTGAAGGATTTGTATGCAGAGTTTGTGTTGCAAGAACCGAAGGACAGGGCCAAGGAGAAAGCCAGCTAGCTAAGCTTCTTCTTCTTCTTCTTCTTCTTCTTCTTCTACCTCTGTCCATAAAATTATTTATTCGCAGTTGAAGTTTGGTGTAACTGCATGCTGTTCTTTGCCATTGCTGATGGAGTTTTGCCTTTAGATTTTTGAGTTGCTCATAGTCACACAATCTCATTTTTATCTGTATCATTAGATTATTATAACTTTAAAAAATAGGACCTATTTTTTTACCACATTTTATTAATTCTAGGGGTCATCAAATATTTTCACTTGGTGGCAGTGTTTGTCAAAATTGTACACAATATGTATTTGTATTTTATTCCTGTAACATTTTTTTCTTATTCTTTGTACCAAAAGAAATGAAACTCATGTTGGCTTTCAGAAATATAATAGCACCTTCCATATTAGTGGATTTAATCATGAAGATGAGTTTCAATAGTATCTTTATTTAGTAATTAGCAACTATGTTGTGTGGAGGAGATAAACATATACATACTGATTCTGCTCATTTTACATTTTGTACACTAAACATTATATTTAAATCTTACCTCACTTTCTTGCATTCATATAACAAGACTTTCTGCATATACCAAATTAGACCTATTTTTACCCTTAATCAAGCCAACAAATTTAGGTTTTGACTTTTTAATGTTTTGTTTAGATAAAAAAAAAATAGAAGATATAAATTTTAAAATTATTTTGGAAATAATTTATAGAAAAGTTTTTTTTTAATAAAAAATATAAACTAATTTTTTTCCATGCCTCTTATTTTGTTCTCTCTATCCAAACAGAAGTTGAATGATGTGGGCTTGGACCGTTGTTTGTTTATCATCTCCTTGACCTCGTTGATAGGCATAATTTCTTCCTCCATACCTATAATAATAATGTAAAATGACTAAAATGTCTTTTTATTAAATTTTTTAAACCCTAAAAAGCTTTTACACTCTTGCTTTTCTCTACACCTCCATATCTTAATGTTTTTTTGCCTATTAGAAAATATTTGTTTCACTATCCATGAAAGTTGGATTGAAAATGAATATAGGAATTTAGATGTATTTTCAGTGTATCTCTGAAATGCATTTTAGAAACTCGTTTTTAGATTGAATGGTCTGAAAATGAGTTTTAGAACAATTAATTTGAAATATATTTTTGAAAAATTAAATTTGGAACTTTGAAATATGTTTTTGAAAAATCAAATATAGAAATCTTGTTCTCGATTCACACTCTCACATTTAGAAATATTGTATTTGGTAAAAAAAAAAATGATTGAAATTAAAAATCGTTTAAGATTCTTACATGCTTGTTGAAATAATTTTAAATCCAATTTATCTTAAGAAAACAGGTCTTTTCAATTTGATGTAGACCATCTATATTCATGTTTCAAAATTCATTTCAAAGCAAAGTTTATTAAATGCAAGTTGGAGTGTTTAAGAGAAAATCTTCCTTCAAATTTTAGATCGATTGGAGGAGATTTTTTTGGTGGAAGCAATGGTGTGTGCTTGTTTTAAGGAGAGTGTGTGAGAATTGGTTTTGGTTATTGTAAAATGGAAAATGAAGAAATGAAAATTGGGAGAGAAATGAACAAGAATGTGTACACCATGGATGAGGAACTTGAGCATTGGTTTAGACAAGATTGTGATGTTGATGAGGAATTGCAAGAAGAGAATGCATTGATGGAGACAAAAGAGGGTGAAGAACAAGGAAGATTCAATCTCTCCTGCAAAATTGCAACAACATCGTGTGATCCTATTGAACCATGTAAGCATTTCACTCTTAAATATTTGATTTGTAAACCTTAAATAATAAATTATTAACACTTATATGTCCTACAAAATTGTCACATTGTAATGTGTCTTCAAAATTGGATGGTGAGTTAATGATAAGATTCAAATTGTATGATTTTTAAATGTATAGCCTGAAATGGTGAACAACTAAAAAATAAATTTTACTGTAATGGTCAACAAACAAAAATATTATTACCTTAATTTTTAATATAATTTAATCAATTTTTATATCAAAATTATTCAAATATACTGTTTTTAAAATCGGATTGGAGTGACCGATTTAATTGATCTAATCTAAAATTGGTCTAAAAACTCGTATATTACTTTTAAATAATCAAATTTTAATTAAATTAGGATAAAACTAAAAAAATTGAGACAAAACCGATAAAATCAGAAATTTTGGGTTGAACTAGATAAACAAAATTAAAATCAATTTTTTTAATATAAAAAATATAATATATTTTTAATTATTTTAATATTTAATTTACATTAATTTTAAATAATAGTTATTTTATTATATTTTTATTTTATTTTAACAATTATTTATCTTACATTTATCGATGTATTTTATATTTATAATAAAAAAATAGTTTTTAACTTTTTAAATATTATTATTAATAAATTTATCATGTACTTATTATATTATATAAATATTATTTTATTAAATCCAATTCAATCTTTAAATCTTGAATATTTAAAAAAATTGACAATCATAATCTAATACTAACTTAACATTCACAATCTTAATCCAATACTAACTTAAACAGAGACATTAATTCATGTAAAAATATATTAATATATATATATATATATATATATATATATATATTTTTTTTTTTCGTGTAAAAACTTTTCCTAGAAAGAAAACCAATGCTCTTGAACATTCAATCTAAATATTATTATCCAATTTTCCTCTGAAAGTCCCACATGGCAAATAGGGTCAAATACGTTACAAACAAGCTTAAATCATTTCTTTTATTTGTTAATTATAGGCTGTTGTTTTCCTCTACATATCCACCTAATAAGCAACATGTTGGCAGTTTTTATTGGTCAGCCAAAGCTTCAATTCTAGTTCTTCAAGTAACATACTACCCTACTTCTTTCAATTCCCTTTCATACCCTTCTTCTTAAGTCATCTACCCTAATTTAACTTATAATATTTTCAATCACTCAAATTCATGGATTTTTATATTGTGATTATGAAATTAATTGGCACTAATTTTATTTTTGTTTCTATTTGTGATGTTACATATGTTAATAAACCACTCACTAATTAACAATCCTTGAGTGTACATGACTCCTACCCATCAATATCTTGGAGCCAAGAATAAAAATATGTATAATTGGAGTAGAGAAGAAAATGATGTATGAGCCAAATTGATATTTATTTTCCCTTTTACTTCATGCCCATTCCCAATAATTGCTCAAAAATATGATCAAACTTTGCCATCATTTCGGATAGGCCTTCTTTCTATCACATTAATAAGGTGATGTTGACTTCCTTAACCTAGCTTCATCTCATAACTTCATGTTGGCTTCTTGTAGTAGATTTTCTAGTTGGTTCAGGACACAAGAATTATTTGTCTTCACTCATGATTAACACAATGAGGTGAAAATCTTACACAAGACCCACAGTCACAAACTTAATCCAAATAATCATGTAAGCAAACATGTCACAGTCTTCACCTTTCAAACTATCAGAACAGGTTTAAAACAGGTACCCTCAAGTGGAAATGGTGTGGCTAATATGCAAAATTGTGTCAACCATTCCTCACCAAGTAGGGCCACAATCGTCTCAGCATTGACAGAAGTTGCTGGTTGGATTAGGTGGGCAACCATTTACCACACCACAAGATCTCAAAATCACTTGTCCCCGCCAGAATTCAAAATCATTTTTTTCTTGGTTTATTTTTGGTTATATCATATATAAAGAATGCATTTATGAAGGCCACGTTATGAACAAACAAACATTACCCCTCAGAGTCCTACGTATGTATGAATGTATCAGCTAATCACTTTAAGTCTTATCCACTTGAATTCAAAGAGAGAAAAACTAATAAACTTTACTTTAATTCCAAAATAAAATAATAACGGGGGAGAGAGAAAAATAAAAATAAAAATCTTTGCGTTTGTCCTAATTTTCTCAAAGGAAGAGAGAGAAAGGAGGAAAGTTCTGAAAAATTGAAGTCCAATTGCTTTCTCAGCAACTCTTACTTCATAGGAAATATAGCTGCAGAGGAAGTTGGCCAACGGTTAACTTCCCTCCAAACCTTGAGAGTCTCTTGTAATCAAAGCAAAGTTCAGTAGTCGATTCTTGGTCACCTTCTGAGACTCAAACTTCACCTTCCTGACATACCCTTCATACCAATCTTCTCTTTCTGATTCCTACCTTCCTTCTATATACACTTAATCTCCACCTCCCCTTCTTCACACTCACTACACTTTTTCACCCTCTCAGTCTTTCTTTTCACTATGTTATGCTAAAGGGTTTATGACATGCCCTTGAAACCGTGATTTGTAACTGTAGCACTAGTTTGGTTTTGGTGCCAAGTTTTTGAGCTGTGGTGGAGCAGACCCTGAAAATTTCTTCATGCCCACATGAGATAAGGCTTCTGCTTTTCTAGAATATTGGAGCTGGTTTCAATAAGTAGACAAATTTGGTTGCTGAATTTCGTGCTCTTGAGCCTTCAATAGATGGTATTTTTAAATTAATGCACAGTGAAATTTCTTGAATGTTTCTTATGCCGTTTAAATTATCTCCAAGACTTCAGATAAGTTGGCTCTCTCGTACAATTCTTAAATGCTAAAGTTTTGAGAATCAAACAAGACTTGGTCTCAGGCACACACACGTTTTTCAAGTTTTGGACTAGTTATGATCTGAATACATATGTAGAGGCAAAAGGGGTATCCTCTCTTCATTATCCTCTATTAATTTCCAAAGACAACATCTAGAATCAACACACCAATTAATTGAAGCAGCATGGCTTCATTTCCTTCAAATTCTACATCAGATCATACGATGGCCAATGCACAATACAGCCACCCTCAAGCTTCCTCACCTTCTTTCATGACTAGAGTGGCCATGAGAATATCTAGATCAAGATGGTTTACCTTCTTGAGAAAAGTATTCCATTACCAAAATGGACCAAGATCTGATCTTGGCTCCAACCCTTTCAATTCTAGCACTTGGATGATGCTGGAGTTTATTACTTTGCTGGTCCAGATATCAAGCACAACACTCACTTTGGCCATTTCAAAGAGTGAGAAGCCTATTTGGCCTATGAGGGTGTGGATAGCAGGTTATGATATTGGCTGTGTCCTTAATCTTCTGCTACTTTGTGGCCGGTACTATCAACTCCATGTAACTCAAGGAGGTGGTCTTACCCTTTCTGATTTGGAGCAGCAGAGAAACAATGAAGAATCAAGGTACCCTATGCTTATTCGTTTCGACAATCTTCCTATCAGTCATATTTGTCATTCATTAGCAATTGATAGTACCAATAAATTAGAATTTATAGGGTAATCATTGTGTGAATGTGCTGAAAACTTGTAGTTGAAATTAGAAAATGTTGACTCCATTGGTTTTTTAGCTGAATACAAACAGCTTCAAGACAGAATCTTCTGTCATGAAAAATATCTAATAATTATTGAACTTTAATTGAGTAGTATAGTATTTCAACAAGAAAATATGGAATTTCTAAAGATGGAATTTAAATTTTTTTCCTAAGGTAGAGCCCGATTATTGTACTGGGGTTATGGGTTTGCACATGGGGAAACAAGAGCTGGAAAGGGCCCAGAGCATTGATGAAGGTTAAACTCTTGTAGTTTTAATAATGAACCTCAACTTTCATCACATAAGTTAGGACATGAAAACAATATATACCATTTTACTTTTTAAGTAGGAAGTAAGCATAATTTCACAGTGAAAGAAAGTGAATGAGAACGTAACTAAATTTTTCACTGAAAGAAAACTTGTTGAAGCAGGAACCAAACAAGACATGGAAAGGATCAAATAAAAAGCGAATTAAAATAATGTATTAAACAACAACATGCTCGATGTTTGGTACATAAAACTACATCTGAATTTTTGTTGTCACAACTCAAGAAAGTAATTGAAGTGTGCACAATGCAGTGTGTTGAGAGACTCACATGTGATGGAGAAATGCAGAAGTTCTCTAGAGCTTTTCTTTGCCATATGGTTTGTGATGGGCAATGTTTGGGCCTTTGACTCACGTTTTGGGTCATTCGAACAAGCTCCAAAACTGCAGGTGCTATGCATGATCCTACTTGCATGGAATGCAATATGCTACTCTTTTCCTTTTCTGCTGTTTTTGCTCTTGTGTTGTTGTGTGCCACTGATGAGCACCCTCCTTGGATACAACATGAGCATGGGCTCCTCTGCTAGAGGGGCATCTGATGATCAAATCTCACAACTCCCAAGTTGGAGATTCAAAGGGGCTCACACCAACTTGGACTTCGCCAATGACTCTCAAAGCACTCAAAGATTGATCAATGATGATCCAGTAAGTCACATTGTTATCATACATTCTGATATTTATATACACCCTCTAACATACTATTATTACTGACTCAAACATCTAAAAATTTCTTATACTAGAGTTTGTTAAAAAGAAACAGATTGTTCCCATGTGTTTTCAAAAGACAATTTAAACTTTAGTCAAATAGTAAATAATGTAATAAAACGGATAGATCTACAAGTCCAACTGGTATTTCTAACTCGAGTCTATTCTTACATGTGAAAATTATGCATATTTTTCATTGAACTGATATTGTATTGTTGGGTGAATTAATTAACAGGAATGCTGCATTTGCTTGGCCAAGTACAAAGACAAAGAAGAAGTTAGGCAATTGCCATGTTCCCATTTGTTCCACCTAAAATGTGTGGATCAATGGCTTAGAATTATATCATGTTGCCCCCTCTGTAAACAAGGATTACAAAGATAACCATCATCATACACGGCACTCAACAACATTCATCTCAATATATTTTCAATTATTTTGGTTTTTCTTTTCACTTTGGTTACATGAGTGAGTTTGTACATGCACACAAGAGGTCACCAGTAACCAAAAACACTACACTCAAGACCTTGTTCTTAGGAGTGAATCAATCCCTTTACTTTTGAAATTACTCCTTTGTCTCTACAAGTTCCCCCCCTTATATTATCATGTCAAAGGTGTACTGAGTAATGAAGTAAATATTTATATTTATTTTTGTTCTTATTTTTTTTATTCCTCTCTCTCTCTCTCTCTCTCTCTCTCTCTCTCTATATATATATATATATATATATATATATATATATATATATATATATAAGTTTCGTATTATTTATAAATTATATATATTATTTTCTCTCAAATATTTAATACACAGAATATTATAATTAATAATGAGGTCGAAAAATATCTTCTTTGTATTTTTTAACTAAAAATATGTATAATAAAACTATTTCAACTACTTTTTCTTGTTTATTTTTATTTTAATTAAAACAGTTAAACAAACAGAAAATCAATTTCAACTTGACTTTACTACTCGAGTAAAATTTGTTGACAGTCTAACCGCATCTATATTTTAAAATATGTTATAATTTTTAGTTTAGTATGACCTATCAAAAGCCAACAACTTAAAAGGTAAATTTTTATTTAATTAAAAATTAAAAATATTAATATATTTATATCAAATTGTTAATTAAAACAAATATTTAAATAAAAATAAAAAATGAAAAATATATTTTAATAATTTAAATTATATTATTGAAAATAATTTTTATTTAAGATATAATTATTTAATATATAGATTATTACATAATATATTTATTTAATATCAAGAGTTAAAAATTTAATTTTTTTTATCATCATTCATTTTTTTTAGTCATTTATTGATAAAAATAATAATTAATTTTAACTATTACATTTTAGAATAAATAGTTATTAAATATTTACTTAGATATTTATTTACTCTTACTAACTTTTAGTAACTCTTAGCAATTCTTCAGTAAGTCTTAATAACTCTTAGTAACTCTTTAGTAATTTTTAGTAACTTTTCATTAACTCTTCAATAACTTTTAGTAACTTTCTAATAACTCTTCAGTAACTCTTAGTATATTTTCAGTAACTCTCAGTAACTTTTAGTAACTATTCAGTAACTCTTCATTAATTCTTAGTAACTCTTCGATAACTCTTTAGTAGCTCTTAGTAGCTTTTAGTAACTTTCAGTAGCTCTTAGTAATTCTTCAGTAACTTTTAGTAACTCTTAGTAACTTTTAGTAACTTTAGTAACTCTTTAGTAACTTTAGTAATTCTTTAGTAACTCTTTAGTAACTCTTAGTAACACTTCAGTAACTCTTAGTAAATTTTAGTAACTCTTCAGTAACTCTTCAGTAACTCTTCAATAACTCTTAGTAACTCTTCAATAACTTTTAAGTAACTTTTAGTAACTTTTCAGTAACACTTCAGTAACTCTTAGTATCTCTTACTAACTCTTCAGTAACTCTTAATAACTCTTCAGTAACTCTTTAGTAACTTTATAGTAACTCTTAGTAACTTTTAGTAACTCTTCAGTAACTCTTTAGTAACTTTAAGTAACTTTTCAGTAACTCTTCTATAACACTTAGTAACTCTTCAGTAACTCTTAGTAACTTTTAGTAACTCTTCAGTAACTCTTAGTAACTTTTCAGTGACTCTTATTAACTATTAGAAACTCTTTAGTAACACTTAGTAACTTTTAGTAACTCTTCAGTAACTTTTTAGTAACTCTTAGTAACTTTTAGATACTTTGAGTAACTCTTTAGTAACTCTTTATTAACTCTCCAGTAATTCTTCATTAACTTTTAGTAACTCTTCAATAACTCTTAGTAACTCTTCAGTAACTTTTAGTAACTTTTCAATAACTCTTAGTATAACTTACTAACTCTTCAGTTACTCTTAATAACTCTTGAGTAACTTTTAGTAACTTTTCAGTAACTCTTAGTAATTGCTCAGTAACTCTTCAGTAACTCTTTAGTAACTCTTCAGTAACTCCTCAATAACTTATAGTAACTTCTTAGTAACTCTTGAGTAACTTTTAATAACTCTTCAGTACTCTTAGTAACTCTTGAGTAACTTTTACTACCTTTTAAGTAACTTTTAGTAACTCTTCAGTTACTCTTAATAACTCTTTAATAACTCTTCAGTAACTCTTTAGTAACTTTAAGTAAATTTTCAGTAACTCTTTATTAACTTTATAATAATTCTTAGTAACTTTTAGTAACTCTTCAGTAACTCTTAGTAATTCTTGAGTAACTCTTAATAACTTTTAATAACTCTTAGTAACTTTTAGTAACTCTTCAGTAACTATGAGTAACTCTTCAGTAACTCTTTAGTAACTCTTAGTAACTTTTATTAACTTTTAGTAACTCTTCAGTAACATTTAGTAACTCTTCAGTACTCTTAGTAACTCTTCAGTAACTTTTAGTAACATTTAAGTAACTCTTCAATAATTCTTATAAACTCTTCAGTAACTCTTCAGTAACTCTTCATTAATTCTTAGTAAATCTTTAATAAATCTTGAGTAACTCTTAGTAACTCTTAGCAACTTTTAGTAACTCTCAAGAAACTTTTAGTAATTTTTCAGTAACTCTTCAATAACTCTTAGTAACTCTTCAGTATCTCTTCGTAAATATTCAGTAATTCTTAGTAGCACTTTAGTATCTCTTCAGTAACTCTTCAGTAACTCTTAGTAACACTTCAGTAACTTTTAGTAACTTTTCAGAAACTCTTCAGTAACACTTAGTAACTCTTTAGTAACTCTTCAGTAACTCTTTAGTAATACTTTAGTAACTATTAGTAACTCTTTAGCAGCTCTTCAGTAACTTTTAAGTAACTCTTATTAACTTTTAGTCACTCTTCAGTAGATTTTCAGTAACTCTTAGTAACTCTTTAGTAACTCTTGGGTAAATCTTAGTAAATCTTGAGTAACTCTTAGTAACTTTTAGTAACTCTTCAGTAACTCTTAGTAACTCTTTAGTAACTTTTAGTAACATTTTAGTAACTCTTCAGTAACTCTTAGTAACTATTGAGTAACTCTTAGTAACTCTTTAGTAACTCTTGAGTAACTCTTAGTAACTTTTAATAACTTTTCAGTAACTTTTCAGTAACTTTTAGTAACTCTTGAGTAACTTTTCATTAACTCTTTACTAACTCTTAGTAACCCTTTAATAAATTTTTACTAACTCTTAGTAACTTTTAGTAACTTTTAGTAACTCTTCAGTAATTTTTAGTAACTTTTCAGTAACTCTTCAGTAACTCTTAGTAACTCTTCAGTAACTCTTAGTAACTCTTCAGTAACTTTTATTAACTCTTCCATAACTCTTTAGTAACTCTTGAGTAACTCTTAGTAACTTTTAGTAACTCTTGAGTAACTCTTAGTAACTTTTAGTAACTCTTCAGTAACTCTTAGTAACCCTTAAGTAAGTCTTAGTAACTCTTCAATAACTATTCAGTAACTCTTTAGTAACTCTTAGTAACTTTTAGTAAATTTTAGTAACTCTTTAGTAACTCTTCAGTAACTTTTAGTAACTATTTAGTAACTCTTAGTAACTTTTCAGTACTCTTAGTAACTCTTAAGTAACTCTTTAGTAACTCTTAGTAATACCTCAGTAACTATTAAGTAACTTTTAGTAACTCTTAGTAACTCTTCAGTAATCTTAGTAACTCTTCAGTAACTATTAGTAACTCTTAGTAACTTTGAGTAACTTTGAGTAACTTTTCAGTAACTCTTCAGTAACTTTTTTGTAACTCTTAGTAACTCTTCAATAACTTTTAGTAACTTCTCAGTAACTCTTAGTAACTCTTGAGTAACTCTTCAGTACTCTTAGTAACTCATAAGTAACTTTTAGTAGCTTTTAAGTAACTCTTTAATAACTCTTCAATAACTCTTAGTAACTCTTTAGTAACTCTTCAGTAACTTTTTAGTAACTCTTTAGTAACTCTTAGTAACTGTTCAGTAACTGTTAGTAACTCTTCAGTAACTCCTTAGTAACTCTTCAGTAACTCTTAGTAACTCTTAGTAACTCTTTAGTAACTCTTAGTACCACCTCAGTAACTCTAAGTAACTCTTTAGTAACTCTTAGTAACTCTTTAGTAAATCTTCAGCAACTCTTCAGTCCTCTTAGTAACTCTTCAGTAACTCTTAAGTTACTCTTATTAACTCTTTAGTAACTCTTGAGTAACTCTTAGTAACTTTTAGTAACTCCTGAGTAACTCTTAGTAACTTCTCAGTAACTCTTTAGTAACTCTCAACAACTCTTCAGTAACTATTCAGTAACTTTTAGTAACTCTTAGTAACGTTTCAGTAACTTATAGTAACTCTTTATTAATTCTTCAGTAATTCTTAATCACTCTTTAGTAACTGTTGAGTAACTCTTGAGTAACTCTTAGTAACTTTTAGTAATTCTTGAGTAACTCTTAGTAACTTTTAATAATTCTTAAGTAACTCTTCAGTAACTTTTCTATAACTCTTAGTAACTCTTCAATAACTTTTAGTAACTTCTCAGTAACTCTTGAGTAAGTCTTGAGTAACTCTTCAGTACTCTTAGTAACTCTTAAGTAACTTTTAGTAGCTTTTAATTAACTCTTAGTAACTCTTTAATAACTCTTCAGTAACTCTTCAATAACTCTTAGTAACTCTTTAGTAACTCTTCGGTAACTTTTCAGTAACCCTTTAGTAACTCTTAGTAACTGTTCAGTAACTGCTTAGTAACTCTTTAGTAACTCTTTAGTAACTCTTTAGTAACTCTTTAGTAACTCTTAGTAACTTTTAGTAACTCTTTAGTAACTCTTAGTAACTCCTCCGTAACTCTTCAATAACTCTTAGTAACTCTTTAGTAAATCTTCAGCAACTCTTCAGTACTCTTAGTAACTCTTCAATAACTCTTCAGTCACTCTTAGTAACTCTTTAGTAACTCTTG